ATTCACAAGAGACTCACAGACAACACCTCCCACTCCCAACTCTTACAAGTATTCAGCTTCTCCTATATCTTTATTTTAGCCAGTCGTTGCTGCTCTTACAGAATTAGCCACTCACGGAGTCAACTAAAAGGCTTTAACCAAGATTGCTTAACTCTTGAGCGAAATCAGATAATAATTAGTCTCAGAAAAGGCTGCTAAAACTGTAATCATTCAATCCAATAATTAAGGACGTCGAAGAAAGATAAGCTGCTCACTGGGCTGAATTCAGCGCTCACTTGAGTAACGAACACACCAGATTAGTCGAAAGAAAGGCCTAATTGGAAGTCTAAATCTAAGAATAAAAGGACACCATTGAAGATGCTCAATCATGGATCGAATTCCACACCTTAGAATTAGAAAACAGTGAAGAAAGACTTGCTGGATAATAAGCATGGTATGCAGTCTAATCAGAAATCTATGAAACTCAAACTGCTGAAAGGTATCATAGAAACTATAATCTAGAGCTGCATAAAACGAAATCGTTGACAGACTCTAAGAACACATCAGCGAGAAATTATCAACCACCGCTCAATTCATCAGCAAGAGAAATTGATTCATTAACATATACAATTATTGACAATTGTTCTACATTTAACATTATATCAATCCTCTCTCTTTTCATTTCACTCCCCATCATTTTTAAATATATTATATGAAATTTTTAGCTCTAATCTCAGGAGGCAAAGATTCAGTCTATAATATAATTAGATGTGTCCAAGAAGGTCACGAACTTGTCCTATTAGTGAATCTATATCCCAAATGTACAATTGCATCTCATTCTAATTAGAAATTGGAATTGAATCTGATAGCTTCATGTATCAGAGTGTTGGCACTAATGCAATCCAAGCTATTGCTTAAGCTATGGACAAACCATTAATGACTAGAGAAATATCAGGAATACCCAAAATTACTAATTTAGACTATCAAAGCAAAGATGAAGAGAGAATTGGAGATGAAGTTGAAGATCTCTATCTTATTTTAAAAAAAGCCTTACTTTAATACCCTGATATCAAGGGAGTCAGTTCTGGAGCTATTGCTTCCACCTATCAGAAATTAAGAGTTGAAGATTGGTAAATCTATCCTCTAATTGTAGTTGCAATAGATTAGGCTTAACATCCCTTGCTTACTTGTGGAATCAAGATTAGTTTTCCTTGTTGGATCAAATGATTCAAAATAATATGAATATAATCCTCATTAAGATTGCAGCCATGGGATTAACTCCAAAGCATTTAGGCAAAACCATTCATGAATTATACGATTATTTCAAAGAAATAGTACAATTTTTGATGATATCATGTTTAGAATAAAAAATTTGGTTTTCATCCTTGTGGAGAAGGAGGTGAGTTTGAAAGTTTTGTACTCGATTGTCCCCTTTATAAAAAAAGAATTCAAATGTAAAATCTTGATTTTAATTCTCATAGAAATGAAACTGAAGTAATATGCCATGAAGAAAATTCTGTTGCGCCAGTTTATTATCTTTTAATCAAAAAATATGAACTCATTGAAAAGAATTGAATTGTAAATTTGTATTTAAGTTTATTATGTAAAGTAATAGAATGAACTCTAGGATTATTCTTTTGAATGGTTTTTTATCAAATATTTTATTATCTATAAATTGTTTTTGACTTAAACTTTTAATAATAATTATAGTATTTTAATTAAAATAGTTATAGTATAAAATTATCTAAGTTAATTTAAACCTAATTATTAAATGTTTGGCTTGACTAATAAAGTAATATGAATACTTAAAAGAAAAGGATATTATTCATTATCGAATCCAAAATATCCAGATTAATTAAATTTCATCTTAATTTTGAATCCTAAATAATTTTATATTAATAAGTTTAAAGAATTAGTATTGGATCATCTCTCAGCATCCATACCAATATTATTAAAATATATTGTTTTGTTGTAAATATATTAATCTCTTGTTTTCCTATGAAAGAATATTGAAACTAAGTAAGCATGATAAAAATAGGGCAAAAATCTAAAGGTANTAAGAACACATCAGCGAGAAATTATCAACCACCGCTCAATTCATCAGCAAGAGAAATTGATTCATTAACATATACAATTATTGACAATTGTTCTACATTTAACATTATATCAATCCTCTCTCTTTTCATTTCACTCCCCATCATTTTTAAATATATTATATGAAATTTTTAGCTCTAATCTCAGGAGGCAAAGATTCAGTCTATAATATAATTAGATGTGTCCAAGAAGGTCACGAACTTGTCCTATTAGTGAATCTATATCCCAAATGTACAATTGCATCTCATTCTAATTAGAAATTGGAATTGAATCTGATAGCTTCATGTATCAGAGTGTTGGCACTAATGCAATCCAAGCTATTGCTTAAGCTATGGACAAACCATTAATGACTAGAGAAATATCAGGAATACCCAAAATTACTAATTTAGACTATCAAAGCAAAGATGAAGAGAGAATTGGAGATGAAGTTGAAGATCTCTATCTTATTTTAAAAAAAGCCTTACTTTAATACCCTGATATCAAGGGAGTCAGTTCTGGAGCTATTGCTTCCACCTATCAGAAATTAAGAGTTGAAGATTGGTAAATCTATCCTCTAATTGTAGTTGCAATAGATTAGGCTTAACATCCCTTGCTTACTTGTGGAATCAAGATTAGTTTTCCTTGTTGGATCAAATGATTCAAAATAATATGAATATAATCCTCATTAAGATTGCAGCCATGGGATTAACTCCAAAGCATTTAGGCAAAACCATTCATGAATTATACGATTATTTCAAAGAAATAGTACAATTTTTGATGATATCATGTTTAGAATAAAAAATTTGGTTTTCATCCTTGTGGAGAAGGAGGTGAGTTTGAAAGTTTTGTACTCGATTGTCCCCTTTATAAAAAAAGAATTCAAATGTAAAATCTTGATTTTAATTCTCATAGAAATGAAACTGAAGTAATATGCCATGAAGAAAATTCTGTTGCGCCAGTTTATTATCTTTTAATCAAAAAATATGAACTCATTGAAAAGAATTGAATTGTAAATTTGTATTTAAGTTTATTATGTAAAGTAATAGAATGAACTCTAGGATTATTCTTTTGAATGGTTTTTTATCAAATATTTTATTATCTATAAATTGTTTTTGACTTAAACTTTTAATAATAATTATAGTATTTTAATTAAAATAGTTATAGTATAAAATTATCTAAGTTAATTTAAACCTAATTATTAAATGTTTGGCTTGACTAATAAAGTAATATGAATACTTAAAAGAAAAGGATATTATTCATTATCGAATCCAAAATATCCAGATTAATTAAATTTCATCTTAATTTTGAATCCTAAATAATTTTATATTAATAAGTTTAAAGAATTAGTATTGGATCATCTCTCAGCATCCATACCAATATTATTAAAATATATTGTTTTGTTGTAAATATATTAATCTCTTGTTTTCCTATGAAAGAATATTGAAACTAAGTAAGCATGATAAAAATAGGGCAAAAATCTAAAGGTATTGCATTTGCTAACTTCAAAATTATGAGGAGAGTGAAAACTAATTAGACGATCAAAGGTTTATTTCTATCACTAAGAATACAAATCATTTATCCATTAGATTTTATTCCTTAAGCCAAAATCCAACTGTTGGAATCATCCAAAGAATATGTTACTCCTTATATGCCATGCTTACCTGTCTCTTTATTGACTTCTGAACAAGCCATGGATCATTTCATTTCTGGATAAGCATCAAAGGTATAAGCATTAAGTAATATTTCAAGTTGTAGGTATTGAAATGGGTGTCAAATTATCAGTTGCTACATTTTCATCTTATTTTAGCAAAGCTTTCTTATCATAGCATCGAACTGTTTATTCGACTATGTTAGCTACTAAAATGAAAAACATGGAATCGATAGTTGATTAATTAATACTAGATGGTCAGGTAGGAAAGATAGGAAAACAAACTTCTCTCAAAATACAAGAGCTATTATTGATTCTATTTCATAGTGGAGAATTTGAAAATTTTGAAGAGTTGAGTCTCAAGGTTCCAAGGAAAGTTACTGGAGTTCCTAGTTAATTTCTTCATCCAAAAATACTGAGATGTATTTTACCATCATTATTCTTTTTATAAAAGCAATATGATAGCAGATTAGAAATTTCAGTAGCTAAAAGAACTTTTAAACATATCAAGGCAAGGCTTCACCTGAAGTCATTAATGCTTTCTCAAAAATGTGAATAAAAGTTAGAAAGATTATTATGAAATATTCAATTCATCATTTGTTAAATCTTGAATCAGGATTTCCTTATTAATTTATGCTTATGAATGATTAACAATTTAAAAAAGTTGTACTTATAAATAGAAAAGATAAAAATTATAAATTTTTAATTTTTAAATAAAATATATATTAAATAGCGTTTTTTCTAAAACTATGTAAATTTACAATAGTCCTAAAAAAACTTCTTCATAAACAATAATGAGAAATTGAACAAGAAGATAAACTAGTTTAAAATGTTTTGTTTTATAATGTTCTACTTATTTAAGATATAATTCACATCATCTATACGAACTCATATCTCATTAAAGGATGAGATTAAGGATAAGGCAGGTATTAAGGGGTATAATATGATTAAACCGATTAGATTGGCCAGCTTATAAAGTTTTATTAGACGCAGAATGTAAAAACAGGTTATGGAGCATAAAAGGATCCCTAATATCTAAATGATTTTTTTACTTATGATTAATTCATAAAAATGAAATCAGAATGAGGTTGATTTGGATTTTCATAAACTTATATAGATTGGTTATCTTATTAGTCACTAATTTTAGGTTGATTATATTCTTCAGGAGAATCTAGTTTGAAGTTTGTTGTGTTTAAAAGTTTAGATTCAAGTTTAGAATTTTTTTAATTTTGAACATTTGAGCCATTTGGAATGGTTGATTTGCTGTTGTTTTCAACAGAACAGTTTTCTTGCTTTGAATTCTTTCTTCTAAAATTCCTCTCCTTCTAGGTTACGTAATTATTACTAATTATTATTTGAATATTCTTTACTTTATTACAAATAACTGATTCAGCATAGACTTTATATAGTTCAATTCAAATTCTTAAAGCTATCGAAGTTCTGCTTTTTCTGTGAACCTATAATGTTTGATAAGTTATTGAAATTCTTTTTTCACCTTGTCTTCAATGTTGAAAATTTTAAACGAGTCTTCCTTGCTATAAATTATTCCTAAGACACTGGGCTTGACCTATTTTAATACATCTGATGCTAAAGAAGAATTACTATACAATTACATTAATCCAGCCCGACTGCCTTACTGAGTCGACGTAAGACTTTTCTTAGAGTAGCATAAAAATAGTTCTTACATAATAAATCAGAACGGCCAGGCATTTGAGAAGCAATTCTAGCCCAGCAATTTCCAAAAGATTGTTAAAGGTTAAATAAATTATTTTCTTCCTCTAATGTCCAATTACTTTTATTCAAATTGGGGTTAAGAATGTTTTAATATCGTTCCCTACAAGCTGCAGGAGATCGGACTTTTAGGGGATTTTTCCCTTGAGATTGAAGTTCAAGTGCAATGTGATTCCAAGATGTACAACCATAAAGTTTAACAAGTTCTAATAAAAGTTTGTCTTCCTAGGGGTAATTTATGGAAAAGTCTTACTTGATAGGACCAGCTCTATCTAGTTTCTGATTATTTAGATTACATTATTACTGAGTAAGTGGGCAAGATTATTTTAAAATAAGATATATAATAAATATGAAATGAAATTTTGGATAATCATACTATAATATTAAATAAAAATGTCATTTTTTAATGCTGGATTATTGTAATTTTTAATTAAGCAAAAGTTTGGCTTCTTGAAGAACATCCTCATTATTACTATCATCAAAACTGTCTTATTTTTATTTCTCTATCTTACCACCCAAATTATAAAATGCTAACTTAATTTTTAATAATCAAATTCTTACGCTTGTTATACCAAAAGTTGAAATAATTATTATTCCTACTAATTTTTGAAATTTCACCAACCTGTATTATTTTTATGATAATCTCTCCTCTACTATTTCCTCACGAAGGCTTCTTAAGTACTTGTTAAATCTTTACATGATTTCCCTTTTTCAAGCGAACTTTTCTAAAAATTAAATATAATTAATGAAAAATTAATTTTCATATGGATCAAAATATAATTCTCAAATACAACAAACCCCATTTGGAAACACTTAGATAGTATAAAAAAACAATTTACAAAGCAAATCAAGGTTACCTATCTTCGATGATTATAAAATTCAACAACCATAATCCTTCTCTTAATTTAATAATTTTTCTATAAAATAATTGTAAACACATTAGAAATTTGATTAAACCTAATAGAAACCATTTAATGTAGTTTAAATACCAAAGGGATTAAACAACATCGGAAACAATTGTTTTATGTAACTAATTTAAATAAACATAGGAATACAATAATATAAATGTTGTATAGCATCAAGTAATTTAGAAAAGCCATCCTAGATTTGCCAGTAAAATAACTACAAACTGATTCAATTACTTTCCATTTGTAATCCCTATTTTAGGAATTAAAATTATCCAAAATGCAATATTCAATAAATCCTAGTCAATTTTATCATGCTATTTGTATATTATTTCCATATTAATTGTAGTGAAGAAACATAACTAATTTTAGTTTGGTAGATAAGAGGATGCTCATGAATTTTTATTGTGTTTATTTTAAACCTTAGGATCTGAATCTAAGAACTAGCAAAATGAACAAAATATCTTTGATGACATAAAGAACTTTTTTGAAGATATTTTTCTTGGGAATAATAGAGATTTGGAATCGAAAATTGAAAAAGAATGGAGATCAAAAAGATAATTGGAATGTAATATTATTACGAACTTGTTTGTTGGTTTATTTAGTAATAAAATCATATGCAAGAATTGTTAATTTGAGCAAATACATTATGAAGAATTCAATGTGTTGCCATTGAGTTTAGAATATTATTTAGGTATATGTACATTTTAAAAAGAAAGTTGCCTTTTGAATGAACTAATCAAATTTTAATTTAAACCTCAAATCATTACAAATTATAAATGTCAAAAGTGTTAACAAGATTAGCACTAATTAATGTAATTAATAAAATAATTCCAGACAAAAAATTGCGAAACTTCCGAAAATTTTAATTATCCAATTAAAGAGATTCAATTATTTGAATTCTGCCTAGAGAATAAATACTAACATTATCTTCCCTCTCGAAAATCTGTCTTTGATTGAGTAATGTACTCCGAACATTAGATCTTGTTCATATGATTTGTAAACAATAATCCATCATTCTGGAACTTGCAATAATGGCCATTACTATGCGTAAATATAATTATGTGAGAATAATAATTAGGACTTGTAAATATGAGGAAGATAATGCAATAAAGTGGTTTAGATTTGATGATTCAATTGTTGAGGAGGCCCAATTAGAGAAGAGACAATACGATACATATGGTACTCCAACACCATACATGCTAATTTTTGAGTAAAAATGATATGCATAATGATCAATAATATTGTATTCATTTTAATGGATAAAATACTAGTTCTTTAAGTTGAACCTTGATTCTTCCAGCTTCATCTTCGATATACTGATGTAATTGTTCAATCCTTTATGCAAAGTGTTCTTATTAGTAGATTATTTTCTATTCAAAGCCATTACTTTCATTATGATTTGAATTTTAAGCGAAGTTGTGTTTGATAGCATATTTAATGAAATCGTTAGCCTAACAATATAGCAGATCTTTTTCGGAGAACACTTATTCTTTGAATGTTTTCAATGACATTAATTTAATATTGTTCTAAGCTACTATTTTATGAATTTGTAATTGCAATTGCTATAGTTTTTATTCTGAACCAGGGTCATCTTTTAACAATTAGGATACTTTCTCCCAAACATCTTCAAATTAAGAGGAAATAGATTCAAATAATTCAAATTAGTCACTTAATTATTGAAGTTTCATTTAAGTGCTAATATTAATTCAACAATACTTACTGCTCAATTAATTTAATCATCTATTACCCTGGACTAAAAATTATTGTTTCATCTGGAAATCCATAGTCTGCATGATCTCTGACATCCTTTTTGTCTTCATCAACTGTGCTTTCCTAAATACCATAGCTTCTTACCAACCATGCCCAAAATATTTCTTAATGTCTATGCATTGAAGTTTCAAATTCTAAAAATTAGATAATCTCTTTTAAATTTGTTGTAATTTCATTTAATTAATCTGGATCCGACAAACTAAGCAATTGATCCACTGTAAAATCCTTTAAATTCATTTATTATACTATTTTATCAATCTGTTGTTATCTTATATTCATTATACCTGGTTTTATTGGGCTTCTTTCCTTTTAAATAGACAAGAGAGTTGTTTGAATTAGTGTCTAATAATTCTATTGAGATTTTCAAAATCCTTGACTTAACTACCTTCACTTACAAACTTGAGTGCTGGGATCTCACCATCCTGTTCTTTAGGCTTATTTATTAATTTTATTTTTAAATTAGCCACTTTTTTTTCGATTAGCTTCTTGTATTTCTCAAAAATATCTGATTCCGCCAATATTTATCCAACAACTAAGAGCAAATCTCTACTTGATGAATAATCCATTCCTGGCTTCCCATTTTTATAAATGATAAAAGGGGAATTTCTTAAAGCAAGCAAGATAATTTCTAAGCCATCTGGATCTCCATGATTATTGGTAATCTCATTTAATTTATACTCAAAATCAAATAAGTCTAATATGAGTAAATTATGCATTATGCTTGAGATCGGTTTAATCTATCAATAAGGTTAATATAATATTACTGCTTCAGAGAGATTATGTTTAGCTTATCTAAAAACATTTGGATCGATATTGTTGATCCCAAATGCTTACAAGATGTTACATATGGCTTAAACTGTTTCTTTTACAGTTTGCATGTTGCCTCTGAAATTTGATTGATATAATTAATAATTATTACATTTAGTAATTAATGGAACCCCAAAATTGTAAAACTTACTTTTCATTATAGTATTAGCAAAGTCTGCAATTGAAGGATTTGATAATCTCTTGTTGACTTAAACCCAATTTATGACTCAGAAGAAAAAGGTTTTTTTGGAAGACAACATAAAATATGGGAAGGAAATAGATCGAGACTATAATAAATTATAAGACATTCTTGATGTAAATAAATGATTGAATAGGAAGAATTTATAAGGGAAGATTGATAAAATTATAAAATCTTAGGAAGATGACTTTATGATTGCATATAGAGAATAAATGACAGAGGTTCAAAAAGAATTGAAGAACATGAAGAGAAAAATTGATGAGGAAGCCTTGAGATAGAAGGCAGATGAGAAAAAGAGAATTCTAGAAGAAGAAAGAGATTATTTTAAATAGGAAGCCTTAAGATTAGATAAATTGTGTTAGGAATAATTGAGAACTATCGAAGAACTCAAATTTAAATTAAAGATTACCTTAGAAGAAAAGCAATATTACGAAGGCTTTGTGATTGGTATTAGCTAGTAATATTAATTAGATTCAAAAAAGGAGAATAAGGCTTTGAAATATGAACTATTGTATTTATATAAACAAAAGAGCGAGGAACAAAAAGCAATTACAAGATTGGGTTCAGGTGGAAATGTTGGTTAAAGAAACAAAGCAAAGAAAATGCTGGACTTGAGGCCTATGACCTAAGATGGCACTCATGTGAGTTCAACAAAAGATGAAATTAATGAGGGATCTAAACGAGGGTTTTCATCAATCAAATAAACTTAAAAGACTTAATTTTCAAGCAAACTTTAAGAGTAAGGTTCTTCTTTAAATGATTTTTACAAAAGAGAATTGTCCTCTTAATAGTAAAGTAGACAAAATCCAGATATGGAATAGGTAATAATTGCAATATATTAGATTGAAGAAATCTCCAAAAAAGATATTATTTCAGATTTGAAATAGTAATTATAAAAAGAAAAATAATAAATTTAGCAATTGAAAGCAGAACTTTCAAAATAAAATTGCTAAAGAGGAGAGTTGGAATAAATTTTATTAGAATGCATTGCTGAAACAAAAAAAGAAGTACATTCTCGTTAGTGCTTACAAAAACAGGTTCTGAATCATAGATATTTGGATCTAAATCATAATCCAGGAGATATAAATTTTACATAATTCACTCACACAGATAAAATGTATTTAAAATTTAAAACATTAGAGCATTGTTAAGAAAGTATATAGAAAGAGAAGAATTCTTGGATTAATTATATTAACTCACTTTTAATAATTAACTATAAATTACTTCATCACTTAAATTAAATGAAAAATGGAAAATGGATGCAGAAGAAGCAACTAAAAAATTCAATACCTTTAAAACCTTTAAATATAAGCACATTACTAGTCAACGTACTTTATATATTATTATCATAGCTATATTAAAAACAGCACTTGTAAAGAAAAATGAAATAGAATCATTAAATAATTTTACAGATAAAATTAAAGGGTTAAATTGAAAAAGTAATTCTGTGTTATTTTTAATAATATCAAAAAATCAATATAATGAATAATTGGTTATTACTAATTTCCTAATTTTATTGATTTATTTTTCTTTTATCTCAAATTCAGTGTTAAATTCGTATCATTGAATTAAAATATAATCCAATGTTAGACTTTGTGGCTTCTAAAAAATAAAGAGAATTTTCAAAGTATCTTTAAACAATACTTTTTCTCAAATTGGTTGTGAAAATCTAAAGTTTACAAATCTTATATCTACTTTGGATATAAATTTAAAATTTATTTAGATTCAATCATATAAACTTTACTGTTAGAATTCTAAGAGAGTTTGGTATAATTATGTAAATTTGAAATTATAAATTGTTATTTAAGGTTTGCCATACATTAGCTTAAATATCAAACATCAGAATTATGAGCCATCTTTATTAATTGTTTTGACAGTAAATAAATTCTTTATGAATTAGGAGAAAAGCAAGCTGAATTAATTGAAATTCTTATTTTTTTTATTATAAATAATTTAAGTTATTTTATCTTTTCTTTACTCTTATAGTTTATATAATTTTCCTATTTTAATATAAGAATCATAAAATTAAGTAAATAATTAGCTATTTATCGCTTCATTTAAATGAATTAATTGAATCCCACACTAACTGTTTTTATTTCAAAATTCTTTCTTCTTTTTATCTTCAGTTTAAACTCTAATTTTTTAAAAACTCCAATTCTCTTATAATTTATGACTTCTTTATACTTATTTCACATTTTAAGATTATAAATAAATTATTATAACAATAGACTTTTTTATCGTTCAATGCAATTAAAGTGCGCAGAATATCTTAAAGAAGCAGTACTTATTTATTAGATGTTAGGTTAACACAAATATAGAATAAATTCGATATTCATTTATGTCGAAAGCCTGTAAATAGATTGCATAATTATTACCTTTCCAATCAATGTGGCATTTATTGTTCAAATAGGAGAATCTCTTTTTTTATATGTTGATGCTCTAATCAATGTTTGGTTAAAATATCAAAATGCTCTTGGAGTTAATAATTGAGAGATTTGCTCCAATCACATAATTTTAGATATAGTTCTTAAATGCCTGTACATTGGTGTTTTCACAAGACACTTATATCTTGTCGGATGTAATCAAAAGTCATCTTCCAAACATATATAAAGAGTGCATAACATAGCTACAGTTTTTTATCAAACAAATTCCTAAAAATGATTCCTAGGAAGGTTAGTCAGTTGCAGAATAAATAGCTTAGGCTTATAAAACTATTTTAGGAAATATTCATGATAAAAAAGTTACTATCGAACTCTACACCAGTCTCCAACAAATAGTGCACAAATGGCCTTTGATACACAATATAAATCCATTGATTTTTCATGAAGTAGAGGAAATAATTGCAATGAGAACTCCAAGAAATGTGGAGATCTAATTCTATGAAGAACCAACTGAATGTGATAGTCCAACCAAATCCAACTCAATTAGAAAGGAAAATCAAATAGTAGTTGAGTTATAGAGGTGGCTCAGCAAAATGAATTATCCAATTCCTGTAATATCCAAAAGGATAGCCAGCAGTGTTATTAATTCATAAAACATGTTTAAATTAAAAGAAAACATTGAGATTATGCTCTCATTTATCTATTGCCCTTTAAAATACGATCCTGCCAATTGTGTAATATATTAGTCTATCATAGTGGATGAAAATTGAATTTGATTAGAAAATCAGTTTAAAAGATATTCCAAATCTAAAGGATTGTTATTCCTTATAAGCCCCTGCTCATATCTATCACATCAGATCAATTAGGTCATTGCAGAGTTTAACCGATGAGGAGAATCACTAAATTATTGCAAAAGTAAACCCTTCATATTTATAAATTGCTTGTATTGCTATTTTATTAATTTTTAGTTTCCTATTTGTCTGAATGTCTTAACGAAGATAACTTAAAGAATTGTAACTTTAATCATTTAACTCAATTACTGATATTTTATTTAGAAAAAGAATAAGATATTTCTATTTACTTCTGTCTGCATTATAATATTCCTTATGCATTTTTACATTACATCAATTATGAGCAATCCTCTACATTTCTCATTAATCTCTTTTTGTAAATTAATTTGCTGGGACATCACATATCAGAGCATTAAAAAAAATTGTATGAATAAGTATGGAGATATTTTAATGCTGCCAAATTGTTTGATGATATTATTAACTTGCTATTAAACCCAAAAAATAGATCGGGTTTGTTACATAAATGTACATCAAACTATAGAAATAATAGCATGCTCGAAGCATTCACTTTACATCCAGATTTTCAATTAAAGGAAAAAGTATATTAGTAAAATGAAAACAATTTTAACTTTACTTTGGAAGAAAAGATTCATTTGAAATGGGATATCGATCAAATTAAAAAATTTGTTTAAAAGAAAACAATCAAATAATTATCATTTTTCAATAAAGTTTCACATAAGATCTTACCTTCATTCAATGAGAATCCAGCTTCTATGATGGATGTTATTAGAGTGGCAATTTAGAATGCAGAAATCATTAATGAACCTCATAAAAAACGATAATCTAGAGCTACACGAGAAAAGCTTATTGTTTTAAGGAGTGCTTCAGTAATGTTTGATTTAGATGAATAAGATTCTTAGAAAGATCAATTTATTCCTTTTGGCTATAATCTGAATCCTTTAGAGGTAAGAGTTGAAACCAAAGAGAGCAATACCAAATATGACTAGAAATCAGTTTCATTTATGAAGGACAGTCAAAAGGGTCCTAATTAAAAAAAACACTCAAGAAATTTGTCATTATAATTGTATCCACTTTCTTTGAAGGATGTTACACTAGGCATATGGGATCATGAATAAAAATAAGACCAATATCAAATAGAGAAGTATAGAAAGTATAATATATTAATTAGTTTGATGAAAGATGAACCATTTTGTTATAATTTACTATAATTTTTATCAATCCTTATCTAGTAATTGATTTTAGGAGATCATAAATTGTTTTCTAATACTCATTTTATGAATAATAGATAATAAATGTTAGGGATCATTCTGCTTAATGAAAATTGCAAAGTTTTTGACAATCTAATGAAAGTAATATTTGTAATTATCATCAGATTTACTTATTTAAAATAAAATTGACTCCATGTATGAAAGAAAATAGTGCTGTTTTATGTGGGTAGTTAGTAAATCTAATCATTAAGAAAAAGCCAGAGTACATGAACTTTTAGGATAATGCACAAACTTACATAGATTATTTGTGTAAAGTGATTATCAACTCCATTTAATGGAAGACTTCCTCAGCCTAAGCTATTGAATTGGATATAGGTAAAACTCTTTTGTGTGAGACACTTTGTTTAATGATTGAATATGGAATCAATAGAGGGCAGATCTAATTGCTAAATAGGATAACTGCTACAACTTGGAGTTGTCTAATTGAAATCTGTAAATACTGTTTCCCTATTCGACCCAATCAAACATTTTAAGGGATATTTATTAAGTTGATGAAATTAAATTTGGAGTTTGGATCTGAATTCAATATCCACACTATATTTATGAAGTTGAATTTCCTAAGTGTGATTAAACAGTTGGCAGAATTAACATAATTAAATGCTGTTTAAATTAAGAAATTTAATTATTTAAATGAATTTATTAAGTCTATCTGCAATTTGATTTCTAATCAGATTAGCAAATAGCCATCTAAAGAGTGCTTTAAAATAATTTAAAATTTAGATTCGTGGAATTAACTTAGATAATAATATAAAATTACATCTCATTAACATGGAAATAGTTTTTATAGTGTAGATTCGAGAGTATTAAATAATTCAACTCCAGCAACAAGTCAAAGTTTTACAAAAATAAGAATTCGTAAATCTGCTCATTCATAAGCATCAAAAGAATGATTCATAGATGTTTTTTATATATAAGAACTTATAATAATTAATTTCATTCATTTTGGTTTAACAATATCTTAATCTAATCCTTTAGTTATCTCAAGCTAAGTGTTTCATCTACAAAAAAGTGTTTTTGATTATTATGTTACTATAACTATATTTATTTTGAAAGACTTAATGCTCTTTTCCTAACAGAACCTCGTTTTGACTTAATTTTTTCAACTGTTTCTTTTTGAGAGCGTTTCCTACCTGCATTAGACCTTCTATTTCCAAGATTGTCTTTTTATTCTCTTATTTCATTTTTTTCTTAGATATTCTCATTCTTTTCTGTAATATTGACATTCGCTTAATAGTCTTTAGGTTCTTAAATAATTTTAGATTTTTTATTTTTTAATGGAGGCTCTTATGAATTAGTTTCTTTTTCAGAAAACTCTTAATTTAAGATTTAATGTTCCTGTTTTTACTCTTCAAGAAATCTGGCATGTTTACTATTTTCTACTAAAATTTAATTTATTAATACAATGCTCTTTAATTATTTCTGCTTATTTTATTTCCTCAAAACTTTCTTATCTTTCCCCTCTTTCTTCTATTATTGATTATTATCTATTGTTGTGTTTTTCAACTGCAGTTTCATACAATGTTTCAAGAGTAGATTCATCTTTGCGCTATTTTGCTTTTTCACCTGCATTGGTGAATTGAACTTTTTTACTATATTTCTCTTGTTCATTGGCACTCATATTGTTCCATTCTGCCATTAATTATTCGAATAATCGAGCTTTGTTTTCATACAATTCTTCAGGACTATATTCATGAATTTTGTAATCCATAAAATATAAAAGTTGAGTGGACTTAACTGTTGATATTCAATAATTACTAATCTTATTAATGCGCTTTTTCCCCTATCACAACTCATGATAACAAAAAATTATAATAAAATGTTTTAAATTTAAATAATCAAAATTTACCAATACAAAATTCAATATTCATATAGAATATTTGACAATTAAAAAATTAATAACACAATTAATTGGATTTGATTTCAATATCCCAAATCAGTATAAAAAGTTGATTATTTGAATACTAATACTAAATAAATATTAGCAAATAAATAAAATTAATATTTATAATGAAAGTAAAATTTAAATTTTATAACAATCTCAAAATAATAAATATGTTCTAATATTTGAATTTAGAAACTATAATTTTCAAATTTTTGAGTAAATCACATCTTATTTCTAATAACAAATAATGACTAAAGTATGGTTATCATAGACAATAATTTCTAAAGTATAAGTGTCTAATTTAAGATATATCAACGATCATTCTTCGTTTGTTGATTAGATTTAATTCTAAAATAACGATTATATTATGGTATTTTGGCATAATAAAGTGGAAAGACTTGCAATTATTTAAAATTGAATTAGAATTACATTTAATGAGAAAGTGTCTTGAGAATCTTGATGACAATAATGATGAATTGCATATGAATTAGTTTAAGAAATTCGATAAAAATAAATTAGAAAATGGAAAAATAAAAAACCCTAATTGATGTATAAAAATAATAGTAATATTAGCTTACTTTCGAGCATGGACAGAGTTATGAAGAAAAAGTAAGAAGGAAGTAATGGTTATTTGAGTATATGACCGAATGTTTAAAGGAGGTATTGAATTTATATGATTGATTAGAAAATTCTGGAGTTATTTAACACAATGTTTGAAGACTATATTAATGATCTATTTCTTATAGCTAGTTTCATTTTGATTTTAGTGGGAATAGCTTATGATGACACTACAGAGGATGTCATATCATCGTAATTATTGAACAATTTACAAATAGACTCATTTTGTTTATAGTTTACTTATTACCCTTTCTGATCGAAACAGGAATTAGAGCATTATAATTATTGATTGAGTAAAAGTAAAGTTGGCAATCTATTTTGCAACAAACTCGCATCGCTTATACTAGACTAAAAGGATTTAAAAAAGAAGACTTGGTCTATAATGATACATAAAATTTCCTCAAATAGGCTCGCTCGTCTTCGATTAGAAGTATTTAATACCTTGACTCATAATCTAATGTGCCTGATATTCTGCCTGCTTCAAATGTTGAGGATGTAAATTACAGCAATTTGAAAAGAGGAGATTTTATTCTTCTCAGTCGTAATTAATAGTGTCCAGGCGACTTAGTCATTTTGGATATGAGCAATAGACATGGATACTTTTATTCGAAAAGTTATTTTAAATAGGCTTTTCTGCAACGCAAGGAACCAATGAAAACAACAAAAGTGGAATTGAATGCACCCAACAAAGGAGATTTGAATTATTTGAGGAAGATATTAAAGGGTAAACTAACATTTAATAATAATTACAATTTTGATTAATTTGAAGGTCATATTAAATTATCTAAAGATCCAAAAGGAGAACCAATTTTACCAGAAAATATTCTGTTTTTTGGATAAGCATTGCAATTTAGTGAATGGGTATTTGGAATCCTAATCAATGTAGGTGGACAATCATTATATTGTAGAAAAGTTAAATCTGTAAAAAAACAATAGAGAAATAAAAATAGATATAAGAATCTCAGCATATTATAATTGTTCCTTTACATAATCATGCCCATAATTGCATCATTAATCCAATATTATGGATACTAATCGAATTCCTCATTCAGTCTAATCCTATTACATTGTTATCAACAATTTCTGGCTATTCTACCATCTTATTTGAATTTGTTTCTGCATTTATTTGATGTAGTTCTTATCATAAATGAAAATCGATCACAATTACAATCTAAAGACTGTAAGGAACTGATATTGGAAACAAAATAGACAAGCAAATAATAGAACATAAACTATCCAGTCAACATGACAGAAATCATGGATACTACTCATGTATTTCTAAATATTCAGATATTATCTGATGCAAAGATCGAAGCCTTATGTCATGGAGACACTATTTATTAAATTGATCAAACCTTGATTCCAGATTTAGTGTTATCACAGTCCTTTAAGAAAACCTAGTTTTATTACAATCTAATTAAATAAGTCAATGATTAAAATATTGAAATCTTACAAGAAAAGATAGAAACCATCAGTCCCAATGTGCCTCCTCAAAAATTAAGCATAACTTCTCATTAATAAATAAATTTCAACATTATTAAGGATACTGGAAATAAGAGACCATTTATTAAATAGAACACTTAAACTCTACACTCACCAATACTCAATAATCCTAGTAGTGCCAGACCCTCATTGGAAATCTTCCACAGTATGGATGGAGGAGGTTTAATCTCATCCACTTTAGCTGGGAATCTTCTAAATCAACAATAACATAGTTAAGTTAGTCAGGAACCAGAGGAAGAACAGGTGAAATAAGTCTAAATTTATAGGGAAAACACCCTTGTTGAATTAGGACTCAGCTAACCTTTCTAATATTTTGAATTATTTTGTGTCATATCATTGTGCCATCTAACTAGAAGTGAGTTGATGACTCTGGGAGAAGAGAGCAGACTTTCTTAGAAAAATTCCAAATTAGGATTTACCGAAAGGGAAAGAATCAGAAAACCTAAATTCAACATCGATTAATATTTTCTAGCCGAAGACGAAGCCCTTTTAAAATTGAGCAAACTGTTTAAAATTTCATATAAAACTTATGGTTATAATAAACAGGAGTAACTTTGTTATGTTTTGAAGATTAATGACTTAGAAATACCTTATATAATTCATTATCGACTATATCATTAAGGGTTCATTGATTATGATGAGACTAAAAACAATAAGATGTTTAAAATTCCCTCAAGATTTATAGCTATGATGATTTAGGACAATAATTTTTAGATTAAAGAGTCAAATCAATTGGTATTATTGTGTAGATTCTGTATTGTGACAATTTCTGATATTCCTGGATATGAGAAATTTGATTTAGTTAAGAAGACTTTGTTGCAGAGACAAATACAATATTTAATAAATAGAGGAGACATTATTGTTTGCTTTTTGAAAATGTCCATTAAATAACAAGATCTCCAAGAATCTAAGAGTTTGATCATTAATGATTACGAGAAAACTATTTAATTGATCGAATTATTGTCTGAAAATTAGTATGATATTATTGGACTGTTCGGAATTAGTTAGAATGATAATTAAGATCTAATTAAAGAGTCTTTTATTACGAATAGAGCAAGGATTATTATTCAATCAGAAAAACCTTACGAATTGGTTCTACCATTTTGTATTAAAAATAATGTTCTGCATAATGAAACAATTACTTATATTTTCTAATCTTCATCAAGAGATGATATCCTTTATCAAATTAGATAGATTATCAGCAGTCTTAGTTAGGAGGATCCAAAGAAAAGTTCCAATTAATTAAATCGCAGAAATGCATAAATTTAAACTGATAAAATTAAGATCAATAACAATGCTTTGATTATAGATGGGAATGTGTTGGATTTAATCTTAAATGACAAATACCTCAATAATCATTTTGGATTCATTATTCATTTTAATAAAATTATTATTGTTTATAATATGAACAACAATTTGAAGTAGAAATTATTGAATTTTTTAACTGCTTATGATAGTGAATATTCTTCATCCTTATGTGTGAATTATAGTGCAGGATCACATGGTTTAGTAAAGATGAGTAATTTCTCTTATTAGAGACATGATGAAATTGAATCAGATGTTATGGGTTTTATTAATTAATATTCAATAAGCATTGATGAGTTAGAGGTGTTTGACAACTTGGTTATTAAAACTGGATTTCAACTATTTTAAATTAAGGATGCAACCTAACGCATATGTATTCAATGGAACCTATGTTTTGCACTATTGCAAATGACATTCTATTGTTTTCCATATTATAATGGATAATTGCTATCCAAGGATAGATTGTTAATACTGTAAATATTAGTGCCAGCCATACTGTTGACATATGCAATAAAGACAATATTTGTAGAATAAGAATATTTGAGCGTGAAAATAAATACAATCAAACAGAAATCCCTTGATTTAGAGAATAATCACATTGTAGAATTATTATTAGAAACAATAATGGATGTGGTATTAATAACAATAGTAAAATACATTTTTTATATCAATGATATTCAAATAGGAGTCTACAATACAAAGGAAGAAGTAGCATTATTTTTTAGTTTTATTTTGATAATTCACCTCTTTAAATTGGCATTTTTATCAAAGGAACTCTATCTGGCATTATTCTTGTCTTTGAGTACCTTATTATTGATACTATTACACATAACAATAGAGATGATTAATTTGGATTATGAAATATTAAGAGAGTTTTTAATTTAACCTACAACGATAATGTCATTTTTAATGATGTTGGCAATGAAAATAGTGGTTAATTTGTTTGGATAGTTTAGCATTTATTTGTACAATAGTTTTTTAGAGAGATCCTAATAGGATATAGATTTTAATTTAATTTTGGAAATAATTTCAAAAGAATTGCAGAGTTTAAAGAATATCTAATATTTAATAAAGAAGGTGTTTAAGGATTCGGAAATAGATTTATCAGTAAAACAGATATTCAACAAGGGAGAAAATAAGAATCAATTAATTCAATTAAATAATTACACATTGAATTTCGAAGAACATATTTATAATTAAGAATTCATACAGATGTATATTTCAAAATGGAAGTTCATTGGGATCATAACAAATCTAAGTTACTTCTTTGGCCTCGACATATTTTTATTGATACACTATGGAATGAGATTTGAGCAGATTAATACGGCCTTGTTTTCAATAATGCTGATATTGACTTTTTGCTAAGCATTTCTTATTAATTAATCATGTTATCCGAAATATGAACAGTTGATAATCTATTTTGGATTCTTTTAAACCATTTTTCGATTATTCATAATAAGTATAGATGTGTACGATCATGATAGCTAATTTTATGCATTCATCTTTTATTACCTAGTAATTTTTTCATTAACCCAACAAATCAATTACAAGTACAGTTTTATAGTGATTCAACAAATAATGACTTTGATATCTGGAATAGTGATGCTCTATGCAAACAAAATGTAAAATGCAGAAGATGTGTATTTAGGAGAAATAATAGTATTATTTGTGGCCTTCAGTATCATATCTTTACAATCTCGTTATCAGGATGACGTAACACAAAGAGAGGATTACATTTGTGGAAAGGTATTGGAAATTGAAAGATCAAAGTATTAGTCAGTAATGTCATTGTTGTTGCCTCCATTTGTATTGGGTAGACTTGATTAAGGGAATTTGAATTTCTCAGAGAACCAAGGGTTGGTAGGAATAATCTTTGTAGATATGTGCAGTTTTGATGTGATAGTAAGTGAGGAGGCTCAAAATATAGTGTAATTGATGGATAACATCTATCGACAATTTGATTAAATCTGTTCATCAACTAATTGTCAGAAAATAGAGACTGTTGGAAAGACCTACATGGCATGTTCAGGTTTGTAATGTGTAGAGAAATTCTAGCCGAAGGGTCATCTGAAGAACCCTATCGAAAGGTTGGTAGAGTTGGCCTTTGGAATTTAATAAGAAATTACTCATTTCAAGTGGGGACCCAATCAAAAGAGTTTTGGATTGAAAATTGGTATACATTATGGTAGAGTTCTAATGGGTGTGATTGGATCAATAAAACCACAATTTTCATTGATTGGAGACACTGTCAACACGACTAGTAGATTATGTGCTCATTGTCCAGAAGGATTGATATAAATATCTCTTCAGGCATTTGATCAAATTAAAAATGTGAAATCAATTAAATTCACTAATAACAAAATTGAAGCTAAGGGTAAGGGTATAATAGATACATATTTGATTGAAAAGAAAAGGAATTTCGAACAATCTTTTAGTAACAAATAGAAGAAGTCAGAAATGCCACACATTGATTAAAAATTGAAATTTGTATTGAATAATGAATAGCAACAAAACTCTTTTAAGAATCAAAATCAAGCAAGCATAGCAGCCATCAGATAGAAAACTACTAGAAATTTAACCAATAAGTTGAATTCTATGAAATAGGACGATCTTTAACAATTAAATCAGCCATAATACAATTAAACATAGCAACAACCAAATCAGTTGATTCCATCCACTTAATAATAGGGAATTCCTTAGAAGACGCCTACTCTGAATTTTACAGCTAGTTAATTGTAATTATTCAGGAAGCAAACAAAGAGAAATTTAATTAACAATTAAACCAATTTGTCAACTCTGAATTAAATCTAATCTCCTCATTTGTTACAATAAAATCTTAATCCTCTAGGTCCTAATACTAAATTGGTTCCTTAAAAATCTATCTTCAGTCAACAGCAATAGAATTAATAAATGTCAGCACAATTAGAAAAAATCGATAAGTATTAATAATAATCCTCAATACATCTGCCCTAGTAAGATCCCTCAAATTAGAACATTTTAGTTGGCATCCCTGATATCCCTTTAGATCAATCTTTGAATGTGATGGACACTTCGATCAAAGACCAAACTCCATTTAATTAGAGGAGGGATGACCAGAAGAAGTTTATTGATTCTGCAATTCGAGTGATCAAGTTTAATGATATAGAGTTATTCATAAAATCAAAACCGGAAGTTTTCAATAAGACCATCCCTTTGTTTAAGATCTAAGAGTTCTTTTATGAAGGCAAGAGTCCAACATTGTAGGAGAATAACAATAACAATTGGCATTTGATTTCTAAAGATTTTTTATTCGAGGCATTTAAGAATAGTGAGAATGTGACTCGATATTATGGAATGGAATTAGAGAATGGCATCAGAAGTGTTGTGGTATCCTTATTGCTTCTCCTAATAATACACATCCTTTTTATCATACTATCTCAATTGCAATAAGTAAATACTCAATAGGCAGTAATAAGAGCATTAGGATGCTTTTTAATTTTAATTGAATTGTACTTGTTGAAAGCACACTTTTTTGAATGGAAAAGAGAAAGATTACTAAAAGTGATTATAATTCAACTAGTATCTTAATGTGTCATATTAGGAGTGTTCTATGATTAGGATAAAGATAAATCAGTAATCTTATCGATAGAATCTATAATAACAAGTTGTCTTCTATTTGCTCATAAATGGCTCTATGTTTAAGAGAAGATCTTAATTTGTGCCTTCATGTTCACAGTTTGGTTGATTATAATCAGCTCAGTCTTTATAATAAATATTTGGGAAGTGTTCTTCCTACTAATTTCAATTGCTTTATTGTTACAAAGAGAACTGTTAAGTTACTTGTTTTCCTATAAATAAATGCTCAATTAAGAACAAATAGAAATAAAGAAGGAAGATAAAATCAATCTCCTAAGTTGTTTATTGCCTATTCATGTCTTGAGTCAATTCTTGGATGATTCCACAAGTGCAAGGCAATTCTCTGATGTCTACAATGATTGTACAATCCTGTTTGCAGATATTGCTGGATTCACAAAATATTCATCAAGTGTGTAACCTGAAGAAGTTGTTTCTATGCTTAAGAATTTATTCGATGAGTTTGATACACTGACTCAAGTGAACAATGTATTCAAATTATACACCATTGGAGATTGCTATGTGGTGATCGGAGTAACTGACAATTTCAAAAGAGACCCAATTCAAGAGGCATTGAATGTGGTGGAAATGAGTCTCAATATGTTGGAAGCCATAACCAGAGTCAGGAATTAAATAAAGTATCAGGATCTTCATATGAGGATTGGAATACATACGGTAGTTTTAAGAATTTATTGTAGGGTAATGTGATTGGAGGTATCATTGGGACAGATATCATCAGATATGATGTGTATGGAAAGGACATTCTCATTGCAAATAAAATGGAAAGCAGTTCAGAGGAGGGCAAAGTTTTGATATCAGAAACTACTAAGAAATTAATTGAAGAGAACTTCCCTTAAGATTATATATTCCATGGAAGAAAATTAATTAATATTCCGTCAATCAATACCACGATTACTGGATTCTTCTTAGAAACTGCAATATGATTAAATAATATATCTTATAGAACGATTGAATTAAGAGATCAAATAAAATCTATTGAATTATAATAAATTAATTATAAAGAAGAAGAAGTCCCAAATCAAATTTAAAGCATCATTCCTATGAATTCTTCTTAATTGATTTGGCCATCTCCATTTGAATCCAGTTATCTTGATAACTATTCATATTTTTTAATTGGTATCGACATATCCCTCAGCAATTTCTTAAGTTCCTCTTTATTTAATTAACCACTGTGATCACTGTCAATTTATTAGAAAATCATCATCAGTTTTTCTTTGTTGAAATATTTCTTTTGATCTATGGTTGCTATCACAAATTCTGCCTTTCATAATTAAGTTATACCTTGGTAATCTATTTTACCACTACCATTTGCATCTATCTTCTTAAAAATATTATTGACTTCCTTTAATGCTCTGTCATGTGGCAATGTCCTTGAATAGACACTCAACAACTCCTCCTTTGACAATTAGCCATCATTATTCAAATCAAATTTCATAAACTCATCCATTAACTTTTTCTTGTCCTCATCAGACATCAAATTATCTGCAATATAAATTAACATTGCCGTTTACAACTGAGATGATATCTTCATATTATGTCTATATGCATACTTTGAAATCACGCATATGTCTTTGCAAAGTCTTGTTGGGATTCTAGAGAATCCGAGCTCTCCCAACAAACACATTGTGATTCAATACCTATCGAGCAGACGGTCTCTATGATGGATTGGGATGTAACATCTTACTAATTAATTATTTCAGAGAAGGATCAATGTTGTTCCACTCAGAACCTTCAAAGTTAGGCACTCCTCTGAGAATGGAATTTCTTAAGGACTGGATGTTGTTCGCTTGGAAAGGCATGTGAGATGTCAGGAAGAAATAGAGAAGACAACCACATGACCATATGTCAGATTTCATGGTTACTTGACCCTTGAGAGCCTCAGGTGATCTAAACGACAATTCGTGCATTGTTGATATTGCTCTCCAGTTTGTACTTAAAGATTTCATTGAATTCGAAATACCAAAATCCACCAATTTAATCTTGTCCAATGATTTATTTGTAAACATGATATGTTCTAAACGAATATCCCTATTATTGACATAATCTCTCTACCCGTGAGTTATTTAATTCTCATGCAAGTACTGCAATCCAGCCATTATTTAACAGAATATTTCTATCATCGCAAATTGTTGCATCTAACTAAATACATCCAATCTCAATAACAAATTCCCACCTTCAAGGTACTCGCCTATCAAACTTAATCTTTTCTTATTACAATAGTATGACATAGTCCCTTGGATGTTCAAATGTTTCTAAAGTTTAAACACAGCCAATACCAACTACAATAAAGTATTTACATTCTCTTCAAATTCCTAAAGTAATTCACTCCTCATATTTTCGCAATTGTAGGTTCTTACAACTCTAGAGATAGTATTTGACTTGGAAACCCCCTTCATTATATAACTTCTTTGAGCTATTGCAATATTACGTACACAATACTGATGAGTGGGTCCAACTTATGGAGAATATAATCTGTCTCTATATTTTGAGTATCCTCAAATACAGAAGAAACATTCACTGCTTATGAGATTGGTTAACCAGCACTGGATGTTTTAGGAGTTTTAGAATCGGTTTACTTTTTCTGAGCTTTGGGCACTACACAACCCATCAATTATTGTTATGTAATAAAATTAATATATCTATATGATTTTATAGTATTTTTAGACAGCATTTCCTCTCACTAAGTATTTTCCATCTTATCCTCATACTAATCGTCATTATTAATTCCTATTTTTATAATGGAAAGAGAATCCCATTATAAATACTCAAAGAAAGGCCTATAGTATTGCAGAAAAGATTTTATTTTTATGCAATATTATAAAATATTGGATTTACGATTATTTATGCATGTGAAATTAATGTTCAATTTAATGTCTAGCTACTCTGTGGGAATTCAATTTGACATTTAATACTCGGCAACATTGCCCAGGTCTCCTGTTTACTGGGGTTAGTAATTTGTGGTTTAAAGTGTAAGGTGGAAAAAAATTGAGTTGAAATTGAAGTTTTAGATATTATAAATGATTATTATAACATTAATATGAGTTCCGTTTAAAAAGAATTAGATAATTCAAATTGTAACGGAAGAGGATTGTATTAGGAATAAACCTGCCAATGCGATTTAGGCTATTTTGGAGTGGATTGTTCATAAAAATTAGAGGAACTTCATGTTGCCTCCTATTTTACATTTATCGGATTGTTTCTAATTCTTTTTATGCTGCTACTAGTTTTCACTGTGAAACAACTTCAAATATCCCTAAAGACCAATAAAATCCCAACTTATTAAAGGTACTAAACAGCTAATTATGCTTTGTAGAGGATTGAGTTATCTAAAGAATTTTCTAGGTTCTCCATTAAATTGCATTCTGTGTTTAACACTCCTATTCAATGTTTTGAAAATCGTATGGCTCATATTGGATCCATTCCAACCATTTGTAACATTCATCAATAAGGTAGGATGGTGACAAAAGGGTGTTTGAAAGAATCCTCGCAGAAGTAGTGTACACAATCCTGTTCTACATCTATGGAATCCTATTAATGGTTTGGTACACCATGTACGATGAAATCTCATTCAATGTTATAGAGAGAAACAACAACTCGAAATCTCAATCAGTATTTAAAGATGAATTAAAAATTGAAACCAGAAAGTGGATATTCGTATACTATAAGGACATCATGAAAATAAGGCTCTTCTTTGTGTTTTTGATACAATTAACAATCAGTACATTAAATGGTAACTTGATTATCTAATTAGGATTAAGATTAAGTTAGTAATATAAAACTATCCTTTACATAGCATATGCAATTTTACTGTTGAATTTCATGTATTATTGAAATTTATATACAAAGTTCCTTCATATTTGAATTCTTTCTCTATGGAAAATTGCTGAATCAATGTATCGAATCTCAATTAAAGAAATTGGACAGGGATAGTAAGGAGAAGAACATAGAGGAAGTTGAGAAGAATAATGAGGAACAATTCGCACAAGGAAATTAGCAGCAATAAGTAAGAATTTTAACAATTTCAAAAAGATTGTATTCTCAAAGAGTTCATTAGGAATTTAATAGGATGAGTAACTTTAATCTCCAGAGACTCAAGATTAATAAGTCTTGAGACTGAGTTCGTAGAGTGGAAGTGAGGACAACAATGAATAAGTGTCGACATTGAGAGCCATCGTCTCAATTGAAAAATTAAATCTTTCCAATATCAAAAAGTCTGTCTCCTTTAAGAAACAACAGAATTCTATGAATGAACTACCAGATCAGCCTTTTAAAATCAAAGTTGTTCAAAGTTCCTATGATTTAGAGCCTAATAAAGATGCACAGAAAAATCATTTGAAAACAATAGTGAGTGAAGAGTCATAGAGTTCTAAAGATGAGGGAGCATTTCATCAGAAAGTTAATTCTTGTTTATTGAATGAAGATGATGATACCAATTAGGAGAACGGAAAGTGGGACATTGATAAAAACAGATAGAACATTAGAAAGATTAAGAATATGCAAATAAAGATTGTCGAGAAAACTAAATAGTAAGTGATTGAGACAAAAAAGTTTAAGAAGGCTACTCTAAAGATTAATAATAGGGAGACCTTATTCGATGCTCAAGTGAGTGATGAAAGGAAGACTAAGGTTTTATCGGGAGAGGACTATTAATAAGAAATATAGGCATAGTAGAAATAAATAAGAACAGCCAACCTTAATGCAGATAAAAAAGTGATCGTCAAAATACAAATATTAATTTATGCAGGTGTATTCTTAGAGATTTGTTTTGGCTCATTATCTATTGTGATTTTATTAACAGATCTATTAAAAACAGCTGCAGGTAAGTATTGATACAATTTATGTAGGCACTCTTTGTTATTTATATATCTCAGCTATGTTGTAGTATCTATCTCTGATTACTGTGTTGAAATTGTTTAGAGATGTGAGAAGTCAAGAAGTTTTGAATCTAATTTGGATACAAAAGGTTGGCAATGGCAAAAATAAAATCAATCAAAAGTATTTCTTTACAATCCCACAATAATAAACCAAAATAGATGATTCAAAGAAGAAATTTGAATAAAGAATCAATATGCATATTAGATGAATTTAAATTAGTTTATATATGTAAATAATATAAAAGAAAATGCAAAAGTCGGAATTACAAATATTTATTTAAATTTAAATTATTTAATAATTATAATCATAATCATAAGTTTGGCTTCTTGAGTTCCATTTTGGTCTCATTGAAGTTTACTTAATTTAAATTATTTTTGGACTATTATTATTATTTTTCTTATTATTGTTCCTACTATTCCAAATATAGTTGATATCTTTCAAGCGAGTCCTGAGTTATTTTGGTAGCCTTCTTGAAGCAGAAATCAAATGTTTCAATGAAAGTATCCATATGACTTGAAGATATTATATATATTAATACTCTTTGGTGTGTTATGGTTGAAGATTGACTCTTAGACGAGCCTATCCCATTTTTACAATAGGATACTCAATCCCATTGCAATGAATACCTTCATCAAGCATTAATCTAGTCACAATTCTGCATGTTAATTCATCCCCAATTAATAAGGGTAGAATGGGAGAAGGATATCCTAAGATTTTGTAATTTCTGGAATTCAATTCCTTCTTCATGTAGTGATAGTTCTCAAGCACTTTTGTTCTCAATCTAACACCCACTTCACTGTTTAAGATCCTGAGTTATGCCAAAGCAGTGGCACATTATACAGGGTTAACAGAATTAGTGAACATATAGGCGGAAGAGAAGAACTTAAGATAATCTATGACCTCAAAAGAATTGCAGGCTACCCAGCCAACATTGGTGGATAAACATTTAGATCCTCCAGACATCAAGAGTACATTAGAAAAGTCCTTCAGTCCTTATATCTCAAAAACTCCCTTTCCTATACAAATTCATACTAATTTTAATTACCTGTTTTACCCATACATCCAAAGTCATGGGCACAATCTATCAATAAAAATGCTTCGTATTTCAATGTTATCTTTTACAAAGCCACCAAATCAGTGTAATCACTATCCATACTGAACAGACCTTCTGTCACAACCAAAATGCATGCTTCTGGATTATCTGATCGGACTTCAGAAATCTTCTTCTCCATTGCTTCGAGACTCAAGTGAGTTACTCTAAATACATTCTTGGTTGCTGCATGAGCTCCTTCAGTTAAACAATTGTGACATAATTCGTCCATGATTACGAAATCATATGGTCTATATATTCGTTGATATTCAACAGTTACCTTATTAATCCCTTTACCACTCCATATCCTGCCAACCAACCAGCACTATAAATGATCACCTCCTTCATATTCCAATAATCTTTTAGTTCTTCCTTCAATTGCATGTAATATTTTGATGCTCCAAAAGCTAATGGTGCTCCACAAGAATTTACAGAATATTCTTAAGCTGCCGTTGCTGCTGCTTCCTATTTAAATTGTTTAATTTATGTACCTTAGCTTACTCATTTGTGCATAAACCCAAATAGTCTGCAGATGCAAAGTTGATCCCATAAAATATATCTCCATAATCGTCCATTCCTATAATTAACATCTTTAAATACCGTAACATTCCTGTCCTGGGGCTGACATATTTCTCCTTTCATATAGTATAATCTTTTGTTTTCTGAATTGCCCAATGAGATCTTAATACCCTTTCACTCTTTCAAACAAGTTCTAAATTCATTTTAAAAATGCTTACTTTTCCTTCCACATTTCTGTACTCTAAATGATTAATTTTTAGGTTTGTTATTGTAACGTTTCTGTTAAACTCTTCCACAGAATTGGTTGTCGGGTACTTGTTCATTTTCCTTCTATTTTGTATATGTTATTTGAAAATTATGTTCCTAAATTGTTCTCAAATTTGAATACCCCCTTTCGTTGATTTAAGTTATAAATACTCAAATAATACGCATTATTAAAGTGAGTTTAGAATTTATACTACAATTCCTCATTAAGTCAAAGAATATAGAAAAAGTAATTGATTGAGTCAAAGGACAAAAATAATAGAAAAATAATTATTTTACAATAAAATTATCGTATATATATAAAGTCAATTTAAATGAAAAGGATCATAAAATTCATCAACAATATCTATGGAGTCAAATTACATTTCATCATCATCAACTTCCTATTCTTAGGCAATAAAATTAAAATTGCCATTGTAAAAGTCCTCCCACTTCTTATTTTATAATTGTGGTTCCCTGAAGTAGGAATCTGGAATCTCTCTTTTATCCTCTTTATCTTCATTTCCTTACTCGTCCCCTTATTCAGATTCCTTATCTTTCGACCCTTATTTATCTTTAGCCTTTTTATTGGAATCTCCGCCTTTTGATGATTTCTTATTCTTCTTTTGTGATTGATTGCTTTGATCATCCCCTTCTTGAGGAGTTTCTTAATTCGTTTCATCACTATGAGAAGCATTATTACTTTCATTATTGGCTTCTCCATCTCCATTATTGCCTTCTCCATCTCCATCTTCTTATTATTACTCCTACTCATTGGAATCCCTGGCCTCCTCATTTTATTCTTCTTCCTATTTTTTTTTATCTAAATCCTCCTATAATTTCTTTCTTTTGGCATCCTCCTCTTCTTTCTTCTTCTTTTTCTTCTCTTCTTCCTCTTACTTTTTCTTCTTCCTTTCTTCCTCTTTCTTTTTCTACTCCTCCTCTTTCTTCTTCTTCTCCTCTTCTGCTTTCTTCTTTTTCTCCTCCTCCTTCTTCTTTTTACTTTCTTAATCGTTTTACTTCTTCTCTTCTTTCTTCTTTGCCTTCTCTTCCTTCTTCTTTTGTGCTTCATTCTATGTTGATTGAGTCTCCTCCTACTACTCTTATTATTGTTCTTCCTCTTATTACTACTATTAATCCCCTTCTCCTTCCTCCCCCTGATTAAACTTATCTAACCACTCAACAGTCTCTTTATATCTCTTCTATAAGGAATCAATTTCCTTTTCTATCTCTTTGACCAACGCTTCTAATTATTTAATTTGATTAACCACCTGTTATTACTTCTTATTATATTCTGTATTAGATTCGCTCTCTTCCACTCCTCCTCTGCCATTCAAAGCATTATTCTTATCTTATTCATTACTCTCCTCTTCATCAACATAAGCAGAATCTTCAAGTGGTTTGGACCAATAAGAATTTTCATCGAATTCCTCTTCATAGACCTTCCTCAATTATTATGGACAGGAATTCTATCGACTTTCTAAATGGAACCACCCATTTTTAGGACATCCTTAATAATCATAGGGTTATTATAAACACCCTGACATATATCGATTATCATCAATGCACCAACCACATGAGGGATCAGCTATACACGTCTTATATAAGATTGAATATGTTACTGCACATGTGTTGTATTTATGACATTGTCTCCCATTACATTATTTATAACTATAGAAATTGCAACTGATCTTTTGTGGTCCTTTCTCATCTCCTTCAACACATTTATCTTCCATTGAACACCATCCACAACTCTCATCTTATAAACATTCGTAACATGTATAAAATTTGCTGCACTTATCGGAAAGCTTGGGAATCTTGGCTTTAAGTTATTTGATCTATTATTTGATCCCTGCCAATTCTTAAACTTTCTTATCCAATTAATCCATGATTATTATTAAGGAGATTGCTTCTGTTTGATAGATGTGCTCTTGAACTCTATCATTGATTCTGGTCATCTTGGTATCAGTGACATATGCCATTTTATCTAGTATTTTCTTGATGTCAGAAGACAATTCCGAAATGTTGTCAGCTCTCTCTTCAGTGGCCCCTCGCAGTTCCTTGGCTAATGCTTTATTTTATAATTTTAGTGACACTTTAATTCTATCCACTTCATTTTATAATTCATCTCCCAATCCCATCCTGAATTGTAAATCAAATTTTACGTGCCTGTCTGCAACAATAGTTGCTCTTGTTTGTGATGGTGATGGACAGCCAACCCAGAAAATATAATTACGCTTTCGATTAAAATAATAAACATAATTAACTATTAGAAAAACGAACAATTCTCATTTTGGATAATACTTCTCAAAATCTCTAAAATGCTTCTTCCTTTATTTATAATAATCTTTGTAATAATCTGTTTCTAAATCTCCTTCTATTTCCCTTTCTCCTTGATCTTTATATTTTTTATCCTCAATTGCCTCCTTGTCAACCTTCTTCTTCTTCTCCTTTTCCACATGAATTTCTCGAATATCGACCTTATACTCTTTGGATGTCTCGAAAACATATTCCACATCCTCTTCTCCCTATTCAACTACTTCCTCCTACACTTCCTCTTCTAATGCTTCAGGCATTTGTTCTTCTTCTGGCGTTGCTGTTTCTTCAGCAAATATTTACACAATTTCTAACTTATTAACATAGACATACTCTTCTATTTTTTCTCTTTTTTCACTTAGACCCTGTTGTTTGCTCCTTATCCTGAAGCGTTGGATGCATCCTCCTACTCTTAATTTTCTTGAGGTGATTCTTCTCCTGCATCCTAATCTTGATTTTCAGCAGCCTCTGATAGTTCTATGCCTCTAGCCTTTATATATTCATCAACCCATGCTTAGATGTCATCCCTTCTCTCTATGAGTTCATCTACTAAATTCTTTAACTAAACTACTTTTTGCTGAAGAGTGTTTTTATAATTCAATTACTATTGTACATAAGCACTAGTTTTACCACTTCTTTATTTCTATTCTCTTCCCCCTTATACTCTGACTTGTCATTATATTATTGTCTCTCCTTTTAGATCTTCGCCCTCATTGCAGAATCCACAGGTTTACACTCAGGAGGTGGAGCCTTGGGTCTCATCCAAAATTTATGAACAGGCACATCTTCTTCCATCTTTTGTTTCTATTTCTTAAACGGACAAGCAAACTGCTCTCCTGCTATGTGGTGCCAATGACCTTCAGGACAACCTTCAAAATTCCTGGGTTGTTAGAGACAAACTTTGATGTCATCTTCATCCACTTAGCACCATCCACATTCTGAATCAGATAGGCAGGTCTTATGGATTATTTTATATTCTTACATTACAAGTAGAATATTTCAAGCATTATTTGCCTTAGCAAAACTAATAGTTGTAATGTTGACATTGTTAAAAGAGTGGCCCATTCTCATCTCCAACTACACATTTATCATTTAATGGACACCATCCACAACCCTGATTGCTCAGACATTCCTTGCATGTATAGAATTATGCACATTGTTCTTCCTCATCTGGGATTTGATCCTACAACCTATACAACTAACCATAATATATTTTAAGTTGCTAATTGGCTTTCCTGATTTGACTTTCGATTGCCTAATCATTTAGAATGAGATCAATACTATTATCGCTGTTTTTGCTGATGTGTATCTGCTGTCTTCTAGTGCAAGGTTCATTTTTTAGAATTTACTATAGACTCTATAGGTCCAATGATCAATATTGTCAGTCAAATCGTATATTAATTCTTCCATTTCTTCATTTTATTCAATTGCATCTCCATATAATGCATCCATCAATCTCTGATTTTAAACAACCATAAATTCATCTAAATTTCTAATGATAGACCAGGCATCCAATCTTAAATTCTCCTCTGTTTCTGCATCTCTGGGATTTCCGCCTGCTAATCCTCCCAATCCACCTAAACTTGGACCACCACCTCCTCCTGCCTCAATCTCATCATCACCCATATCATCTCCACCACCATCATCTCCTCCTTCATCTTCAGATAACTCTGGCATAGATCTTAATTTATTAACTACTCATCGTTACCTCAATTAAGCAAATCGCTTTTATTTCACCAATACCTAATGTGGTTTCCCATTCACAAATATCATTTGACCATCCCCTCCCTATCGCAGAGTAGCTTCATCAATAAAATTCAAGAATAAAATAAATAAAACGAATTTTAACATTTATAAATTAATTTCACAATTACATGTCAACCCTCATACATTTTGCATTTATAGCAGTCGGAAATCAGTTTCAAATTTTTGATCCAAATAAAACTGCAATTAGGGTATCAGAAATATCATGTTCTTAACTATCAGAGTTCTTCTTATAAGGTATGGATAATAATAGCGTACCAAAATAAAACCAAGAATCACACTGATTGCTATTTGGATACCAATTAAAATCTAATTATTCCTTAAATTGTTATACTTAATGAGCAGCTATTAATTCTGAAGTCTTCTTTGTTACTGAATGAAATACTTCAGTTTCTAAATATAAAACTGAATCTGACGCAATTAATCCAATTTCAACCTCCTCAAAGGCACCCGATTTATTCCTGTATTAAACTTGAAAACCTTTGGTATTTTCGTATTCCGTCTTGATCTAACTGTATATTTCAGTCAGCGTATTTATCAATCCCAACTTCATCACTCCATCATAAATTAAATCACAATGCTCTTCAGCCAGAGTTACGTTGTACTAATCATTATAAATAGGGTTATTACATGAGTTACAAAATTACACAGATTTGATGATTGAACACTTTAAAATACTTCTGTAATATCATCATCATTTAAAGAGGAGTCACTAATAGATATTGCTATATTTTTACAAATCAAGATACAAATAAAAATATAGATATTCGCTTATTTTATTAAGTTCGTGCTCAACTTTAGCGTTTTATTCAATTCGTTTTTAATCAGTAAAGAAATCGAAAAAAGGAGACTTACCTGAAATCATATAATTTATTTCTCTTATCTCGTAAACTGCTGTCACTGCTGATCCTAATGATGACAATCTAACCAAGAGATCTATGCTTTGTGAGTATTTATCAAAAAAGATGCCATTCATAGATTCTAATATTATTTAAGGAAGTAAATAAATTGTAAGTACGATAAAAAATATAGTAATTAATCCTAATCTAGGCAACTTGTATTCATGACTTATGATTCTACTCAAATTTATTTTCAAATTATAAGAAAATGTTTGAGCTGAGATCTCTTTCTCCCACACACTTACTTCAAAATTGTAAATTTAGTATGCGTCATCATGATTCAATATGTGGATCATTTTTTATAGCTTCTAAATCTCCTTCTATAATGCAAATGTATTGATATTTGTAAATAATCCAAATAACTCTGTTTGTTTGTATTGATTTTACAAAACTAACGATATACCCAAAGTCACTATTAACAATTGCAAAAAAACCATCTTTAAGAAAAACTTTGTCTGACTGCTCTCAAAATTTTTCATTCTGGTTTCTACAAATATTTCAACCTCGTCATTCAAGTAATCAAAATAGTTATCAACATCTATAACATTAGCCATATAATAGACAAAATCATTTGAAGGAATTATGGAAAGTACATTGTAATAATCTAAGATTGAAACGAAATATTAAGCTTCTTAATAGTAAATCAAAGCAGGCTTTAGTGATATGTTTCGTGGCACCAGGGTTAAATTCTCAAATTAATACATTACTATTTCCTTATCATAGAAAAACTCTTAGAGGTTTTGGTTGTCTAATTGAGTAGAAAACGAGGATTTTAAATGTTCATATGATTTATAAATGGAATCTAATCCAAATTACATTTTTGAAAAAGCAACCTCTTGGCTTATTTCTTTAAATACAAATGCCAAGAGCATATAATTAACAACACTTACCTATGCTGTTACACAATTATGAATAGGAGCCATAAAATTGCCTTTAATACTTAACATATCAAGATCTGAATTTACTTTATAAAATTGAGGTAAAAATTGAGTCAAACTTAACAACTAAAAAATAATATTTATTAGTAATGCTAAAAGAAACAATAGCAAAGCCATTGTGATATGTCGATTTCTCTTGCTTTAAGTTAAAAATAAGTTAAGCTTGTTGTATTTTGAATAAAATATTGAATTATCTAAAAACCCTCTTGAAAACTTTGATGATGCTTAATCATTGTTGATTTCATCTTTTTACTCTTTATTACTTAATTATTATTAATTTTTTGGCTTTTCCTGAATAGGTTCGCTAATAACATTGCTATCTTCTTTACTTTTGATTGTTTAGTTTTGTTTTATATCACTTTGCAATAATTCTTAATAGGGTTTGTCTCTTCTTGCCAAAGATAGAGGACTATTCAAATCATCAATAAAAAGCTGATTTGGTATTAAGACTACAGATTCTTGATTAAGTAATAAACTACAGTGTTGACTTGGTTCTTGACTAAACACTTCGTGATTTAATAAATAATCCCAATTTTCATCCAATATGACCAATTCTGCAATACATCTTCTTTCAATATACTCTAAAGCTACTTCTTATAATTCATATGTCAAACGTCCCTTTATATACTTCTATCCAAGATTTTGCTTATTGATCATGATTACTTTACTAAGTTCCTGTAAATATAAAGATTTAGAAGTAAAATTCATGTTTTTTTTATTGATGTACTTCAAAAATGATGTGGTATAACCAATGATTTGGTTTTGCTTATTTATGAATACGGAATTAGGTTGTTCTTCATTTATTTTAATGAAAACATAAAAAGATAATTCTGGTTGATTGGAATTTTCAATATTCAATTAGAACATAGAGTAAAAGTAAACATTATCCTATCCTCTAATCAGCATCTCTGAGATCCTATTTAAATACTTACAAGTCCCACTTTCCAAAAAGTGTCTAATTAGATTTTAATGAGTATCATAAAATGCATCCGGGAAGAGCATTTTGAAATGAAAAAAGGATTCATCTTTTAATTTATATCCCAATTTCAAAAAGAGACTCTAACTAAAATACTTTATTTAAGTATTTAGTAGATTGTCTTCTAATTTAAGATTGAGAAAATCCATATTTTCTAAAGGATTCTATTTCAACTCTTCATTATTCAATTAAAAATACTTGAGAAGTTCAGCCTATATTATATTATTAAAAAATTCAACGTAAAGCATGGTCAATAATTAATGAATGCGATATGTTTTCTAGGTAGTTAATTCCTATCTCAAATCCTATTATATTTACAAGGCTTGTTCAAGGATATTGTAACTTTTATTAAATATCCCATTTATTTTAGTAGGTTTCCCCTCTAAAAGTTGAGCATAAAGTGCTTCCTTTTCCTTAAAGAGATTTAAAATCTAAATTTAGCTTTTTTGAATCTGAACTTTGTAATGAATAAAAGTGCTTGAGTTGAGTTTGTCCAAATCAAAATTCTTATTGATATTGTAATTTAATAATTAATAGACTTCATTTTTGATATTTATGAGTTTCAATTATTGAATAAATGAAATAGTTATCTGAACTCTTACAAATTACTTATTTACTTCAGAATAAAATTAGGACTATTTGAAATTGTGTATCAGGATCAGAGTCTCTGTGTATTACCGTTATGATAATTTTATAAGAATGTATTTATAGTACCAAAAGGCTTTTTAACTCTTTTTTGATTTGATGATTTTATTGTTAAACAAGATTAATTCGGAATTGAAGGGATCATCTGCATTTGTTGTTATTTATTTTAGTATCAGGGTTTAGAAATTGTCTTTTTTATAAATATTGGATTTGTTTTCATCTAGAATGAGGAGGTTGTTAAATATTTGATCAATAGTTCGATTTCTCTAGTAGACAATAATAGTTGATCTTCTTGAGTAATGGATAACTAAATTTAGGAACAAGGGGCATAAGACATAGAGGAGTGCTATCTAATATTCCTTCTTTGCGGTTTCAATAACAAAAAAGAATGATAAATTATTAAAAAAACCATACGTGAGTAATAATAATACTAAAGTGTTTAGGTAATTGACTTTCTTCTGGCACTCTTAATAAATGTAAAATCCAATTATAATTAAGTTAATGATGTGGAAAAGGGAGGTTTGCAGGCCTCCGGTTTCGTATTTCAGATATAAGCTAATTACTATAAGAAATATGTTAAAATATTATCCAACTGATAATACATTAAAATGAATTGGAGAACTTGGAAAGTGAATCGATTCTGAACACATCAGGGTTAGTAGTATAAATAGTAGTTTACAAAAAAGGAAAAAAAAAGAGAAAGCGAGCACAGCTATTGATTCTGGCAAATTTGATATTCCATCTCTAAGAGACAACATAAAAAGGTCTAATTCGTATAGTGATATAGTGTACAAATGCACCTGAAAGATAACAGACAGTATTTTTTCATTATTGTTATGAATTGCTTTAAAATTCAACTTTTTTTATTATGCATTCTTGCTTCTCACTTCCTCCATCCATTATAAGAAAAAATCAATCATAATCAACGTAATCAGTAGCGAAGGTATTAGGAAAGCATATTGTCTGAATCCCTTATATTCGATTAAATAATTGTAGGGTCTCCATATTTGACCGTAATACTAAAATAAATTTAGCAAGTTTATTTATATCTGCTGATCAAAAGTATTATCTTAAGTTGATTATAGTAGGCAAATTAGTTGAGAGTAATAAACTATAAATAAGATGGAAACAATTTATTCTGAATCTATTTTAACTTTGTGATGTTTATTTAGGAAATGACTTAAGACATAGTGATAAAATTATATCATTATATTAAATTAAATAATCTCCCTAGTAATGATAGAAATGAGTAAAAGGAAGTACATTTAGACGAAAATAATACCAATCCTTAAATTGATTTTATACATTTCTAATAATATTCACACAATTCCGTAATCGATTACAATATACTAAAATAAAGTAATAATACACTGCTTAGAAAACAATTAATATTTTCAACAGATAACGATAATGAGGACTGTTTTGAAAAATTATTATTATTATAAAAAATATTTAATAGTCATTAATTTGATGACTGCAAAAATTCTGATTTTATTAGGGTTATTCGTAATTGTTGCTTGGCAATTAGTGGCTAGATGCACTTGCTAGTAGTTATTTTGGGAAGAAGAATGTTTACAAGGAGGATGCTTTTGGAAGAATGATATTTGTATTTAAGTGAGTTGTGAGAATAGGATTAATGAATCAGAATGCAATTAAACCTCAACAACAGATGATTGGAATCCCAATTGTAAATGGGTTGATGAGAAATGTGTAGACATTGATACTTATCATTGCAGTGACACATGTTAAAATTCAACAATCTGTGAAGTTGATGACACTGGTGCCTGTTAAATTAAATATTCATTAGATAGAAAACATTGTAGTGACTTTTCAACTAATAACTGCAATGTTCAATTAAGTAATTATGAGTTTTGTGAAAAACATGATCACGCATGCTCTTCTGTGACATACGAAACAAAATGCAATGAGATTCTTACAGAAAAGGCATGCAATGGTTTAGGATGCTATTGGGATATTAAGAATACCCGATCCAAATGCAATTCAAAGGAGTGTCTCTATTTTGATCAACCAAATTGTTTATGGACGATTAATGGAGAGAGAAAATTCACTTTTTGTAGTTGGAATGAAACAAGAGCATTTTGTTAGGAATCGAACGATACAACTCCATTCACCAACATCTCTAGATGCAGTTTGGATTCCAATTTTATCTATCATTTTGATAATAGTACAGGTAATCAGGAATGTTAAGCCTGTGTTGATCCAGCAGAATTATATTCTCAATTAATTTAGATAATTTCATTTACAGTCATAACTCTATATTGATTAAATAAGAATAAATTATATTTAGATCTACAATGGTCTATTTATTATATTAATTTAATTTGATATAATTTTTATTATCATAAAGACCAAAATCAATCTTGTATGAGTAATTCATTACATATTGCTTATTGATTTAACAATATATCAATGAATTTATTAAGCATTTCAAGTTTATTCGATTGCAAAAGGTCGTATTATAACTCAAATATTTCAGAGAGCAATTTTTGCGAAAATACCATTCTCGCAATCTTGAACAAAATGAATTCTAGGTTATTTATACCTATATGGATTAAAAAAGCAGAATTAAATATGTAAAATATTGATCTTTTATTATCTTTAAGGGATATTTGACATTTCATGTAGTAATCAATACCTAATCTCTTGGGTTGTGAATACAAATTGATTAATTTTAATCTATTTTATCAGATTTTTCTTAAGTTTGATCTTGATATTAATTAATAATATGATATCCCCATTTAAGAAATTAGGAATTTATTTGGAATTCTAATAATTTTTTAAAATGAAGACAGTCAATGACGAAAAAATTACAATATACAATGGAGAGGATATTAAGCACTTTATCTTCCCAGATAAGTTTGATCATACCTAAAGTGGAGTTCCAGGGAATCCTTGTTATAATTTTAGATTTCGGATTTTTGTGTTCTTTTCTTATGTTGTTCTTACTTAGCTATTTCAACTGTTTTGCACTCCATCTGAAAAAATAATTGGAGTTTGGGATGTGGGACACTAAATTACAACGCCAATCAACAATTTATATAAAGAACATCGATGGTACTATAGTGATGCTATTTAGGTTTTCTATTACTATGTAATTGCTGTCAGCCATTATCTTGGATGTTGCATATCTATATATTTCACTTTATTGGGTTCTCTACCAAAGGAATTTTAGATTATTCGCAGCCTTAATTATCTTTTATGTTATTCGAGCTATTCACTTGAATCTGGTGAAACTGGAATTCCCTTAAAATTACTATTGGGAGGATCCAAACATCCCAAGTTTGGTAGTGAAGTATGGATTTTTTTCTGATTTCTTTTATTCTGTAAATATTGAATCCATATTAATTTAGGGACATGTTGGATATTTGGTGATTTGTGGACTCGAAATGAAAAGAATAGGCAAAAAGTATATGTCGACATTTTTCTTTTTGTGTTCTATGTATTAGGCTTTTGTTGTAATTACATTCGCAATACACTACACAATTGATGTATTTTAATAATTTTAAATTAGGTAACAACGGGATGTATATTTGCTCACTATTTTTACAATCAAGTGTGCTATTGGGAAGTTAAGATAGATTTCCTCTTGAAAATACTAGCTAACCTCTTTGAAAGGACTTCATAATAACCTGCTGCCAAATATGAAGTTTAAGGCAATTAATAAATGGGAGTGACTACTGTATGAAATGAGACTAAATTTTTATAAATTTTTGATTAATTATAGTATAATTTAATTGTTATGCAACAACAACAATCCTCACCTAAAAGGATCGCTGAAAAAGTATTTTGATCTTCAATTCATCTTTAGAGAGGCTCTATAATTAAGCAACCCAATGATTCTCCAACCATAAGTCCTTCCTAACTGATTAAAATGAATTAAATTGACACACAGAATTAAAATCCTTTAGAAATTAAGATGGTATTGCTTTTGTCTATAATTGAAGTTCAAAGTAGAGAGATAAAATCCAAGAGTAGGTGATTTGGTAGCCGAGGATCATGAAGCCGATCTCACTTATTTGGGGAATATTCCGAAAAAATTAGAATAAAAATAAAAGGGAGATTACTAAAAGGAATATTAAATGGCTAAAGTCGATTAGTAAAGGGATTCCTACAGTCCAGACAAATCTATGACTAATTCGTTAATCATAAGTGCTTATCCGAGTATCATAAAGAACTTTTAGTTTTAATAACAATCTGACTTTCTTACTTCCCCTATTTAATAATAAGGGATAGTTCAATGTGCATTTTAGATAAACAAATCAGGATTTAATACTTTTAGACCAAAGTTCTACTTTCTGAAAGATAATTAATGCTATTTGGCAGCTAAAAAGGTTGGAAATAAATATTTGATTAGTGCAGATAAAGAAAATATAGAAAGGAAATCTCCACAATTTGTAGGGCAGGTTAGTTGTAAGAAAAATAACTAATATTACTTTTATGATACAGGATTGAATCCCAAAAGGAAGAAGGAGCCTTATAGAAAATGTCTGGGTGAGTTGTGCATATATGCAATTCCAAAAACCAATGAGCCAAGATAACAATGCGTATTGTAATCATAGTAAAATTGTAGTTTAAATTTCAAAATGATCCAAATAATGAATATCTTAATCGAAAACCAAAATGGGATGCAAAACTTCAAACTTTTATCCTCAATTTCTATGAAAGAGTTAAAATTTCTTCAATAAAGAATTTTTAAATGATTCTGAAGGATGAGATGCCTGAATAAATATATCTATAATTCGGAAAGTGGGATAAGCATTATTTTAATTTGGACGTAGCAGCGCCTTTTAGTCCTTTGATAGCATTTATGATTGCATTAAGCAATTATGATCAAAAATTACAGGTTTGAGTACATCATTTATTATCTTATTAAAATTATTATATTATTATTTTGTCTTATGAATGGAATTGTGAAGTATCAAATCATTTAATTAGTTCTTTTGAATTGTAGTAAATTAGATCAAAGTCCCAAGACAATTTGAAATCAGTAATTTGAATTGAAAAATTTAGATAGTAGTTATGATAACAATACTCAGCGGATTTTGCTTATTATACAATGCTCATTTAATATTTTAATGGGACTATAAATTAATCATTATCTACTGCTGCGTATCCTCATTCACAATAATGGTGCATAGATTACTTAAAAGTCGAAAGTATAACACTTTATTATTTCTAGTCTTTCACAATACTGTTGTTTTAATATTTTCGAAAGTTTAGTCTTAATATCCTATTTGCTTTCCATAGTCTATTATTTAGAGGTAGAGAAAGTGAATATTAATTTCATTTCTTATGCTCAACTCGTCTTGCAGTTCTTGATTCTATCAGTAACAGTTCTTGTCAATAGAAATACATCTGATAACGATGCATTGGATCAATCATTTTAGATTTAAGAGATTGTAAATTGATCTTAAACTCCTAGTTAATAGCAGCATTTAAGAGTATCAGTGCTCTTCAACTTGTGTTTGTCAGTCTCAGAATAACAGGACAAATTACTTGGGGATGGATTTAAACATTAATTATAATATGGTTTTTACTTGGATTGTCATTTGTGATAGCAATTTGTTTATTTATTGATTTACTCTAGAAATGCAGAAATAAGTTAGAAGGGATCGAAGAAGATAAAAAATCAATCATTAGTTAAAATAATTTATATATTTAAGTTAAAGGAGGGATTTATATAAATTTGATTGCATTTGGAATCACTATATTACCATTTGCAACTCTATTCGGATGTGCTTTGAAACTAGACTTTCATGTTGTCTAACTAAATCAGTATGCCTTTGGATTAACAATCCTGTTTTACCTACTCTAATTAGCGTATTTTTATAAGTTTAAATAAAAACTAATGTAAGAAATGAATAATATTAGAGCGATTACTTTTTATATTATGATATGGCGTAGAGCAATTTGTATGTAGAGTAATAGATATAGCAAATCAATTAAAATCAACAGTAAATTGAAAATAGGATATAACTAAAAATGAAGAGAATGCACAAAGTTAGTATATCAAAGGTGCCTCAATTCATGGTTAGATTATCATAAACTTACTATAGATGTGCTCAGAATCCTGATAAGTAACACAAACCTTCTACTGTTCAAAAAAACAAATAAAATTAAATGGACAATCAATATTAAATGAATGACAATGAACAATCAAAGCGATTCGATCTGCTCTTGTCTAGTCCAAGATAAAGATTGGAAATCAGTTCAAGTTTAGGATAAGATTTAACAAGTAGGAATTCTGATAAAAAATAATTCGAAGATTAGTCTTCTCTTAAATAAGAGTAATAGAATCAGAATTCTTAAAAATTATGTTTAGTTTGTTATGAAAAAGAGAATAATATGATCAATATGCCTTGTGGTCATGGTGGATTTTGCAAAGAGTGTTGTGAGTAATTGTTGAGCAAAAGTGAACTTTGTTACTTATGTAGAAAACCTGTTACTCACAGTTTATAGATATAAGAAGTTCAAAATAGAGAGAGTTTGGTTGAAGTAATTGAAGTCTTGGAACAATAAAATTATTGAATAAATTGATGTTATTTGTATAATCTTATTTGAGTGTTATTTACATCAATTTTAATACATTATTTTGTGTCCATGATCAAATTATTCCAAATGTAGCATAAGATTAAGTAGAGTAAATTAATTTGTTGAAACCCTCTTTCATCAGTGTTTATTCAATTAATAACTATCATTAATCAGAGGATAGAAAGAAATTAAATTCTTTTGATTTGATATTTTTATAAGTCTAGAAGTTTAAATTGAATATACGACCAAATTAAATGATGTTCATATTAATATTAAAATTATTCTGATATGGGTAATGCGTGTTGTAATCACTCAGAAATCCATTACAATCACTTATAGAGTAACACTTAAATCTTGACTCCTACGTTACAAAAAATTGAGACTTGGAATTCGTTTCAAGATGACGAGGAAGACATTACTTCCCCCCTTAAACAATATATTACACCTAGTGCTGCATCAAAAGTCGATCTTGATTTCTCTTCAGACACCAATCAATCTAAAATGAAATCAACCATTTAATTACCAGGCTCCAGAAAATCTGTGAAGATAAGCTACGATAATTTTGTTACAATGAAACAAGGGGGATGGAAAGAACAATATAATCTCATTAAAAAATTAGGATAAGGAAGTTACGGATGTGTATGGCTTGCCAAACATAAGAAAACTGGTATTTTAAGAGCACTGAAGTAAATTAAAAAAGACTCACTTTTATTTGAGGATTAAGAAAGAATGTTATCGGAACTGAATATCTTAAAATCTTTAGATCATCCTAACATTGTTCGGGTTTTTGAATGCTTCTCAGAAGACGATCAATATATAATTGTTACTGAGTAATTATTTATCATATTTAGACATCTTTCTGGAGGAGAATTATTCTAAAGAATTAAGAAACTGCAATGCTTTAGTGAGAAAATGGCAGCTGGTTACATTATATAAATCCTAAAAGCTGTTAGCTACTGCCATGAAAAATAAATTGTACATAGGTAAATTTATCATCATATTTAAAGAGATTTGAAACCAGAGAATATTCTCTTAAGTGGATAAGGTGAAGAAGTTAAAGTTATTGATTTTGGAACATCCAGATACTTTTCCTCAAATAATAATATGAAGAAACGATTAGGAACTCCTTATTATATTGCCCCAGAAGTTTTAAATGGTAAATATAACGAAAAAGTCGATATTTGGTCCTGTGGAGTAATACTATATATTTTCTTGTGTGGATATCCTCCTTTTACTGGAAAAACTGAAAATGAAATATTTGCTAAGGTAAAAAATGGCAAAATAATATTTGACAAAGACGATTGGTCTAATGTTTCAAGGGAAGCTATAGATTTAATTCACAATATGCTAAATACTGATGTCAAAAAAAGGTTCTCTGCCTAATAAGCTCTCTTGCATCCTTGGGTTTAAAAAAATGCCAAATAAGAAATTATATCCTAATAGTTATTAAATAATATTGAAAAATTCTGTGTATTTTATTTTGCTAAATTTAGGTCAAAAGTAATTTTCAAAAGGCTATCATGACTTTTATGGTGAATTAAACTTTGCAAAGCCAAGAAATCAATGAACTGAAGGCCACCTTTAATGCTCTTGATAAAAATCATGATGGTAATTTGAGTAAGCTGGAATTGATCGCTGGTTATCAAGAAATATTAAAAAACAAAGAATAGGCAGAAGAGAAAGTTAATTAAATTTTAGATGCTCTAGATTTGAATCATTCAAATTTAATTGACTATTCTGAATTTATTATGGGTGCCATGAAGTTTGAAAAATTAGTTTCTATCAAAAGAATTAAATAGGCTTTTCGCATGCTAGACACAAACGGAGATGGTTACATATCAAAAGAGGAATTGTAAGATAGCATGGGATTTTTAGAGCCTGAGATATGGGAATAGTTTTTAAAGGATTGTGACTTAAATAAGGATGGAAGAATATCTGAAGAAGAATTTACTAATATTTTAGTTACTTTATGATTTGATATTTAATTATTAAAGAAATCATGTACTTTATTCCTTTATTCCTAATGCTTATTACAATTTATCAACTAATTGAGCCCCTCCAAATTCCTAAGCTGTATTTAGCATGTCTCCTATTCGACATTTTAAGATAATCACTTCTTCCTATATCTTCTCTATTTTCTCATTAGAATTATGTTGAATGTGGTTCAAAGATTACGCTTCAATCAATGCCTACTAATAATTATTTGAAATATTAATCTTCTCAATCTCTAATTCCTGATTTTTTTATTCTAATTCTTTTATTGTTTTTTATAGTTAATTTAATTGCAACTCCTATGGTTAATTTTATGCAACCAAATTTTCATTCGTAAATTAGATTTTTGAGTTATATTAAAAATTCTCAAATTACTCTTATTCCAAATTATTTTTAATGCTTTCTAAAAATTTAATCCCATTTTACTACTCCAATTTAATTTATTGGTTATTTTGAATTTATTACATTTAGTCATCCTTATACTTCAATCCATTCACATAATTTTTAGTTATTAATTATATCTCTGAAGCATGTTTATCCTCATTTTCTGACAATTAGTTTTATAAATTTAGTAATTTAACTTAATCCTGTTGAGACTACTATGATAATTCTTAAATCTATTTCATCATATTATTACTACCCTATATGTTTTTTAATTTTATTTCTTGTATTTATTATTCATATTTTTATATATTCTCTAAACATGATTATTCTAAGTTTTATGTTCTTTCATTAATTTATTACAATTCTACTAATTATTTACTTAAAATTTCATTCTATCTTCTTATGTCTGAAAGCTAAATATCCTTTTCTTTAACTTGATTTGTTAACTCTAATTATTTATACTCTAATTCATCAATATATTACTAAATTATTTCTTTTTCCTTTTGGCATTAATCATTTTCAGTAAATAATTGTTATTGTAACTCTTACACTTCTTTTTAAAATTAAAATTAATTCTATTTGAGTTAAGTTTCTAATTCATCAATTTTGTTATTTTTCTATTAAATTTATATTTCACAAGCATTAAGTTATATCCTTTAGCTATTGCAAAGAGATTATAAATTATTATTCATAACTCTTGATTGCTCTAATTAAAGTTTAAGTTCGGTTTCACTCAATGCAACCTTCTCTAATATTTAATGATATTCATTTTTTAGTTATTCAGTAAAAGTCTAGGCTTGCAAGAGCGCAGAAGTTTATTAATTTAATTAAACAGTTAATGCTTATAATCTTTATTCTAAAATCTACTATTTTTATTAACTTTCTTAAGTTTCTTCTATTAGAAGTGGGTTGAATAAATTACCAACTATATATTGATTATCTTCCTTTTTACTTTAATCTTCATTTTTTTATTCAAATAGTCTATCTTATTGTAATTTTTCAATTTAATTTTCTTTTTATTATTTCTAATCAAATATTTATTGATTTGTAATTTGTAATGCTTGGATTTTTCTATTCAACTCCATAATTAAACTATTATTTTGCTAATCTTAATCTGATTTCGAGATTAAGAATTCTTATTTTAATTACTATGCATGTTGAGTCTACTCTTTTATTTAAAATTATAATTATTCATTAATTATAATTTATTGTTAATTTTGCTAGCTTAATTATAAAATTTTGCTTGATTCATTATTTATCAAATCTTCTTTTTTCAAAATTTCAATTTACAAAGCTTTTATTTGAATTTATAGATCCTATTTTTAATCATCAACTACTTTAATTTACTAGCTTAATTAATGATGAATTTCTTCTTCTCTTTATGATTTTTATTTAAAATCTTTATTTTAACTTTCTAAATTCTCAATTTTTTGGTTTTAATTTAGAATTATTAGATTTAAATTATTTAAACATTCAGATTTTGTAGCTAATTATAAATGTAAATATTTGTTTTCATTTAACAAATTATCAATTTTCAATTTGGCTTAAGTTAATTCAAGGGTCTTTAATCATAATTATTTTATTATTACCATGTGCTGATTTTCTGAATTCTCGATATAACTCTACTCCTGAGCCTATATCTACAATTAATGACCTTCTAGATCCTACTTTAACTTAGAAAATTTCAATGCTATCGCCCTATTCAATTCAATCAATTGATTTGGAACTTCAGCCTACGCGTTTGGAATCTAGGGGTCTCGAAACAACTTTCTCATAACTTCCTTCTGACTGATACTATTCGTTTAGCAGTTATTACAATTAATTTGTTGATTGCAAAAGGATTTGAACTTTACTTTTTAGTTCCTCCTCTCTCTCATGGCACTTTTTTATTTCTTCTTAGAACTACGACTCCTTTTCCATATAATTTAAATCTGGCTCTGGCTGTATTTGTCCTCCTTCTTTTTTTGATTTTTCAAGTTATTTCAAAACATCATCTAGTTGTAATTTTAATTATTTGCATGTAGTCTATTATGAATTTAATTCATTATTTTTTTCATTCAATTCCTTATTTAATTATTAAATAGTCTATTGATTTTGATTTAATATATCTTCATATTGCTACTTAATTTCCCTAAATTATTGATTTATTAATTCTTATTGATTAACAATCTGCTTAGATTATTCATCAATCTAATCATCATATAATAATCAATACTTTATCATTCATCATTCTTTAAGTCTACTATAGTGAACTATTTTAATTCTTTAAATTTAATAATTATATATTTAGACTATTAAGATTCTCTTTCTACGATTCATTTACAACATCTTTACTGATAAGCTTGGTTTTAAGCTGTTCTACTTACTGATGCAATTAAATGATCTAATTTTCAAAATAAATATTCTTCAGCTAGCTATCATTGTTGGATTTCTCTAAAGCTTAATATAATTGATCTTTTTCATTACAAATTTCTTCCAATTCCTTTATCTTTTACTTTAATTAGAATGCAGATTTTTCTTCATAATTGATGCTCTATTAATTTTAATTATACTCCTCAGATAATTTATTTTACTATTACATAGCTTTTTTGTAGTTTAAAGTAAGAGTTTCATTATCTTTTTGTGCTTACCTTAATTGACTTTGAATTTAGCTTAGTTATTGTTCATACTAATATATCTATTCTTGATATTTATGTTAGTCAATCATATTTTCCATCTAAAGTCTTTATTCCTAGACCTATTTATTCAAGGCCTCCTTTTTACCTTTCTCTATCTCCAATTCCTATTTTAGTTAATCATTCTAATCCTTCATTTCTGTATACATAATCATTTATTATTGGAGCTCTTCATGCACATCTTATAAATCTTATTAGACCTATTAAAAATTCTATTATTATATTTGCGAATTGAGATGAGAAGAATCATCTTTTAAAATAGGATAATTGGTGTAATTTCTAGAAAATTGATTTTCCAAATTTTATGATTATGCAGATTGGTTATCTCCAAAGTATTTCTTGACAGTGTTTTCAAGTGCTGCTTTTAATGGTGTAAAAAGGCCTTACTTTTTATCTGAACCTTACTAAAGAACAATTGAGGACTGTGGATTTATTACTTCCAAGTCTACTTTCTCAACTTCTGCTAATCGAATTTTTGAATAAATTTTGGCTTTGTGATCAGGGCAATTTTCTAAGAGTAATTCTTAATTAATGTCTAAAGTGCAATTATGAAATACCATATTTTTCTTAGTTTAACAACTGCGCAATATTAATATAGCATTGACCTGCTTTTTTATTACCTTTTGTTGTTATGAGCAAAATTAGCAACTCTATTATCTTTTCTTAAAATGTTCCATTGATTGATTACAAATTGGTTTGAATGCAGAGAGTTTCATTAATAATTGCATTACCTTAATTAAAATCAGCCAATTACTATGTCATTAGTTTTTAATTCCCTTAAGTGATAGAAATAGTATATACCACATTTTAATATGACTTACACTTTAAATGATAAATTGCACTTCATTTCCAATTTCTCAATATATATTTGAACTTCAAATTTATAACCTTTTGGATTCATCTTTAATCGAGTTTATAGTTTAAAAATTATAAATAAAACAAATTCATATTATAATAATGATTCAATTCAAAATACCCTACTTATCCTAATTCAGCCTAGTAGTATTAAGGACAATTTAAGAACTCAAGACATTTTCCGTAAAACTCATTTATTAAATAATTAATAATTTTTTGTATAGATAATCAAATGATCTTCTTTACTTTCAAGATGTTGGACTCATCTGGATTTTCCTCGCTTCCTCCTAGTAAGACAATACCCTTGTCTCCAGTTTTAATAATTCCTCTCGATTTTGCTGATTTAACAGCATAATCAACTAAAGTATCAACTCCTTAAAAACTTGGAACTCTAAGGCAAGTAACTCCACTTGTCATACTTAATCCTTTAATTGTTTTGTCTTCTGTACTAATAAAATATTAAAATTTCAAACCTAATTGCTATAATGGGAGCTCTTGGTCTATATTTAGCAACAAGTCGTGCAATTTCACCTGTGAGAGTGAAGCAAATGATCACATGAGCTTTAGTTTCAAAACTCATTTGAACAGCAGAAGCAGCCAAAGCTTCTGTATCGCCCAGATATCCCCTATCGTGAATTCTATTCCAATAGGTTTTTTCATGATCCACACATTTTTCTGCCTCACAACATATCTATCAATTAATGAATAGATTTACTCTTCCCATAGTTTCTACAGCAATAATTGGAAATGCTCCATTGGCAGTTTCTCCAGAGAGCATAACACAATCTGATCCATCCAATACAGCATTAGCTACATCTGAAGCTTCAGCCCTTGTTGGTCTGGGATTAGTAATGATAGATTCCATCATCTATGTGGCAGTAATGACAGGTTTCCCTGCATCAAGTGCTCTTTTGATCATCCATTTTTAAGCCTAGAATACTTTTTGGGGAGGGATTTCCATTCCTAGATCTCCTCTTGCCACCATAATTCCATCTGCTGATTTTAATATTTCATCATAGTTTTGCATTCCTTCCTAATTTTCTATTTTAGCAATAATCTTGATTCCACTGCCTTTGGGACCTAAAATATCTCTGACATCCTCAATATCTTATGCCTTTCTGGTAAATGATAAAAAGACAATATCAATATTATGTTTCAAACCAAATTTCACTAAATCTTCCTCTTCCTTCTCAGTTACTGTAGGCAAATCTATTATAGCTCCAGGCAAAGACATGTTTTTCTTTTCTCCAAATGATGCATCATTTTAGACTGTTACTATTACACTGGACTATTAATGAAAATGAGCATTTTCCATACTTCTTTTATTTCATCCACAATTGTCACTACAGATCCATCTGCTATCAAGATTTATGATCCAACATGTACGGTTTTGCATAAACTTTTGTAGCTACATGCAATACATTCTGATGTCCCTTCAAATGTATAATCGGTGGCTGAATATAAGATTACTCATACTTATTTCCAATTTCTACCCTTTCTTCAATACAACCGATTTATGTTCCTTGTTCACACCAGTTCTAATTTCTGGACCCTTTGTATCTAATGCTATTGCCACTGGCTTGTCCTTCCTTTATTTAAATGCTTCTCTCAATTTAGCCACTGTCTCTCCATGGACCTTGTGATCCCCGTGAGAAAAATTTAGTCTAGCTACACTCATTCCGGCATCAATCAATTATACCAATGTAGGCACATCCCAGCAAGCCGGACTAACATATTTTAACATAGTCTTACCCTATAGTGCAAATGATCTTTGTAGCTCTCTTTGAATAATCGGTTTCAGATAGGATTGTTTATAGTTCATAATGTGCAAAAGAATCACAGTGCATTTTTATTATAATAAATTCTTAATTTCCTTAGAAAATCTAATTTTCAATTAAAAACACATCAATATATTTACAATAATTAATTCAAATTAAGATTCATTTGAGATAAGGTCTCAACCTTTGTTACAAGCTGATTTTACTTTTACTCAAACTTATATCACTAGGCAATGTTCTAATCCTTATATTCTGATTGAATTAAGAATCTGATTTTTACTAAATCATAATGTTTTTCTATTTATTGATAAACTAACTCTGCTTATAATTTAACTAAATCTATTTATTGCCGTTGTCTTATGATCTAGATTATTTCAATTACGAAGAAATTCTTCCAACATCTACACTCCTCTTTTCAGCCAAAAATTATTTGTTGAATTCATTGAGACTTTGCTGATTAATCATTTCCAATTTTTATTTTTATTATCCACGAACACCCTTCTTTTATACCTTATTTTTATCTATAAAATTTTGAACATATTGAGCAATAACACTATGAGATGCTTTCCTACTGAAAATATTGAAATTGCTGTCACTATGTAATCTAGGAGTCAGATATTAATTTATTGTATTCTCCCCTACCTATATCTTACTAAATTATGTCTTCTTAAATTGAATCTTAGTCAGTATCTAAGGAGAGGATTCACAAGAGGAATCTGCTTAATCCTAAAGGGATTTATTATATGTTTTACAAATTTATTAGCCATCACCTCTTGATATCTCAACAACTTATCTCTTGAAACTAATATATTATTTTGAGGCTCTTGTATAAACGTCTTCCTTTTCAGGATTAAACGAGAACATCTTTATGAATAGATTAACATTCTAATTTTTTTCTCTAATTCAGTATCCAGTCTTAATATTGGTCCTTGGTACAATTAATCCACAACTGTCTTAGCCCTCTTATGCTTGATTTTTATTTATTATGGCAACAAAGCACTCTTACTACGTTTAACCCTTTGTTGCTTTCTTAGCATTGACCTTTTCATAAATTCTAATTGCATTATTCATATACTATACTGCATTTTTCTTTGGTTTAGTTTTTTCTTCTTGCGCACCGTCGCTTCTTTAGAATGTTATTTTACAAAAACGAGCGGAGCAAAACTATCAAGTCTTCTTTACTTTAGACTAATATAATCATATTAACTGGCTCTTCTGATATTTGTTTTTTATGAAGGAGTTTCTTATATTAATTGACTCGCCAACGATATTGCATCCATTAAATCATGTTTCTCAGATTTCAATGATTTTCTTGCTGAATTTCCATAATTTGAAGAATTTGCTATCAACAACATAGTTTTAGATTTGGGTTACTTTTTCAACTATTAACCTGATGGCAGGATGGTTATGTAAGGTAAATCAAAGGAACGAGATCTCTTCGTTTTCTAATTTAGTATATCTAAACATTATAATTTGATTTATCTATCTTTTCCTTTTGTAATTAGCCTATTTTTCATTTATTTATTTAGAATTAACATATAACTCAATATACATTTCAAAATCATTGTATTCCGTTAAATCTATTGTAGAAACATGAAAAGATCTATCAAAACTTGACTTTTAAGTAAAATGTCCTGATTATTTTAATATAGAAATACAGAAAATATTAGCTACCTTCTAAAGAATAGCAGGAAATTTAGTTGAAATTAGAGTGATTTATTTGAATAAAATCATGAAAAGAAATTGCGTTAGATATTTAGGAATTTAATATACAGACATTAAAGAAAGTAGAATGGCTGTCCTATTTAGAATATAAAACTCAATTTTTAGATAAATTTTGTGTTTACATTAGGTAGCAATTATCTAAGAAAAAAAGAAATTTGTTGATTCATTTCATTTCTATTTAAAAATCGAAAGTACTTTTAGATCTATTAAAAAATCTTTTGTAATTAAAAGGGTCAAATAGAATAAAAGTGAATATATAAAAATCTATTTTAAGATTTCTATTAAAGATAATCAAAAGTTGTTATTAAATTGTATCGAAAATTTTTAATAAAACGATTGATGTATTATTATTTCTTTTTAAAGTACAAGTCATAATATCACCATTGTTAAATTGTGCTGAATAATTAAGAATTATTTATTATGGAAAATTATAGGTTTTGATTAATTTCAATTTAAAATCAATTACTTTAGAAAATAAATTTTACTTAATATTTTAATATATTAATTAGGAAATAAATCTCTTAATCTATACCTTCAATAGATTTACTGAATGTGTAATCGTTTCTGAATATTAAATCTGATGTTCCTTAACATTTAATGCAGTGGGATAATCGTTTCACCATATTTTGAATTAAAGAAAAGAGTTGTTTCTCTATTTATATAATGTCTCCTCTCTTATTGTTCAAAATACAGTATTCTAATCAAAAATTCGATTGATGAATCTATGTTAGCCCCTGTTTTTTATAAAAGAAACATATTTCCATATAAACAAATTAACATAAATTAAATAATGTAACAATAGTCAAGCGTCTTTTCTTAATGTCAGCGCTTTATTCCTGAATTAAGTGAACCTATAAGTTTGTTTGAGTTTACAAATTAAGATGTGCAAAAGAAAATACTTTCAGAAGAATTATCAAGTTCTTTTAATCAGATTTCAGATCATAAACCCAAAAAAAGCCTTGAAAATGATAAGAGTATGAGATTGTTTTAATAATATAGATAGTTAATCCATACAAATCAAATTGGGCTAATATTTTGCTAAATAAACATTACAAGGTAGAAGTTACATGTTAAGGAAACAAATGGGTGATAAAGAAAGCAACGGAGGATGAGCCTTCAAAATCTATGGTAGGTTTTTTGTCCAGCCTTCCTAAGCCTATGTAAAATTAAGGAAAATTATTCTCAAATACAGCCTCAAAATAAACAAAAAATAGACTAAATAAATTTATAATCGATTAGCATAGATAATGTGCTTTTAGTCCCAATGAAGCTCGATACTAATAAAATTCATCACTTCCAAATTTAAATACAAATAAAAATGAAGGCAATAATCATTAGAACAATAATAATATCTATAACACCAAAAAGAACAATAAGAATAATAATAATGATATTGATGAAAAATTTAAACCTAAAAATAATATTGACAATATAATAAAAATTCGCTTAAATTCAGAATCTCCAAAATAAATGCCTATTTTTGATATTAATTTTATCAAAACCCTTTAGCAATTCAAACAATGATATATAAAATCAGTTTTATACATCTTATTACATGAGTGTTTAATTTAATTAAAACAAGCAACAGTTGATCCTTCCAGGTACCATCATTGATGAAACTGAAACCATATGTTCCAAAGCTTATCTTATTCTTTCTAAAATGATTCTTCTGTCTGTAATGAATTCAACATTTTCTAAAATATTTGTATAATTTCTTTGTAATTTAATTGAATTTACTTTTGTGTAGTTTTAAGTAAAAATAGTATAATCTTAGAGCAAATCCAACAATATTTAATAAGAGAGAGACTTGGATGTTTGATAATAATATTTGTAATAAAACATGTGTAATTGAATCTTTTTCTAGGATTTTGATAAATCAATAAATCAAACACTTTAATTATCAAATGAGAAATGAGAGAAATATCGATATGAAAATTTTATTTGAAGATATTAAATTATAAAATACAAAGTTTAATGAATGCTAAAACCTTCTCTCATTATTTTAAACAAATCGATTTATTCACTAAACCTGTTCAACTGCTAATTAAAAAAGAGGAAGGTCATAAGACACATATAGGCGCTGCACTCTCGATGATTGTTCTGGTTGTGATGTCTATTTTTTTTGTGAATAGCATAGTTGTGTATGCGGATCGTTCAAAACCTGTCACATTAACAACAGAAGTATATCATGCAGAACCAAATTTGTATGAGTTGAGACCCGAAAATTTTACTTTGCAGTTTGGCTTTTAAGATTCTTCCTTTGCCACTTATATAGATGAATCGATATATTTTGTCGAACCTCTGCTTGTGAGCAAATCTGTAGAAATGTATGAAATCATTCTCATTTTAGAATTAATGGTACTTAGCAAACTCAATACAATTATGCTGACTTACCTCTTGTCTAGTGTTCGAAAGATATAATAAAATAAGATTCATTAGCTGAATATTTTTCACATTTTGATCTTTCTACAAATTATTGCATAGATTGGAATAAAATCGATAAGATTAATATGCAAGGTACTTTTGATGCTGAGAATTATCAATACATATTGTTAAAATTTAAAATGTGTACTGAAGAGAACAAAAAGAAAAGTATAGTCATCAATATCTTAGATGTTCCTAAATGCAAGAGCAGAGAGGAAATAATGAAAAAGTTGACTCATAATTATTTATCTTTGCAACTCTCTTCTTACTATGTAGATCTGTAAACTCCTTAGAATCCCTACATCCCCAAAGGTGAAGACTTGTTTACTACAATATCCAGTAAAATTTTCAAAGAAATTACAATCTATCTATAGCCAGTCACGACTTATACAGATTCAGGCAACTTCTTCTAAGATTTTCATTAAGATACAACAGTCAAATATATGCATCACACTGAGATGATTGATTTTAATGAGGAAGACTTATTAGCAAATGTTGCAATTAGATTGCACACAATAGAATAAGTTAACTATAGACAGTATTCAAGAATTTAAACTCTGTTAGCTGAATTAGGAGGATTATGGAATGTCTTATTCACAATAGCTATGCTAATTTAGGTACCTTTTAGTACAATATCATACAAACTGTAAATTATTAACTCCTTATTCAACTTTGATGGACAAGAGGAGACTATTAATGATGACTAAGATAATTATTTGCTTGAATAGCAAGATGCTCCCATTATAAATAGCAAATAATCAAGCAAGATATATGTAGAGAATATTCAAAGAAATACTTTAAATGATAACTAATAAACAAATAGAAAATTAATCTCGCCTATTAAATAAAATACTCCTCTCAAAAAGTCAAAATTCTAGAGATAAGATTCTTTTCGATCCTCAATAAAATCATCATATAAGGTCTAGCAAAAATTACAAGAACTAAATCAACAATGTATGAAAATATAAAATGCTGCCACTTTAGAAGAGGATATTAAAGTTAAAACAATAGACAAATTGAATCAGTAAGTCAAAGGGTTCTTTTAGACTGTCTCTAAAAAACTAAATATCCCATATTATAAATACATACTTAGTTCTATGAAACTGTATTAAGATGATCAATAGGTTAAATAAATGAATTTCTCAATTAATAGAATGGAAAAATCTTTCGATATTTTATATATAATAAAGAAATTGCATGAGATCGACAAATTGAAAATGATTTTATTAACTAAAGAACAAATAAAATTATTTGATTATCTTCCAAAACCTACTATTGCTTCGAATCCTGATAAAGAACTTAAAGGACATCAATATTTCTCTATTTTAAAACCTCTTAAGAGTAATTTTTAAATGGCTCTCGAAGCCCAATAAGCTTATAAGGAAATATTATTCAAAATGCATGATCCCATCAACAAGCATTTAGTCGATTGTATGGATGAAAACATATTAGAATTCTTGTAATTCTAGTTATATCGAAATGATGGCGAATAGTAAGATGAAGACATACTAAATGATGGAACACTTTAAGTAGCTAAATAATAAAGAATGAATTCGGAATAAATTTTAGATAACTTTGATAGTGAGAGTTAATAAAACATTTGAATATCAATTATGTTTTTATTAAAATAACTTTTAAATAAAAATACAGTTTTTTAGATAAAAAATTTACTACAATATTTACATCATTATAAAAAGTGATTGGCTTAGAGATTTTGTAAGTCAAGATTAGGCCCATCTTCGTTAGCCATTTCTAAATCATAGTCATCATTTGATTATCGAAATTTCCGATTTTCTTTATGCTCTTAGCTCTATTTAAATGAAGTGTATGATTTAGAATCTTTTCTTTTAGAGAACTATGTAATGTTATTAAGAATATAAGGTTAAGATTCAATCTAGATTAAAGTATGATTGCTAGTTTGATAGTTGTTTTATTTGCTTGTGGCTTAACTTTTAGGTTCGATAGATGTGTTTTTTTGTAATTAAATCTATTACACTTATTTATGTGAATTGTGATCAAAATATTTCTCATGCAATTCTTTCATAAATTTGACATGATGCTAATTTTCTTATTTTAACCGAAAGACTTCACCTTCATCATCAACGGGTGGAACAAAATCTAAATCACTTTTTAATCGAATGTCTGGGATCGAATTAGGATCAATAAGAAAATCTTACTATTATTGATTCTCTATTGTTTTGATTTCCCAGTCGTATAATTAATGATTATATTGAAGTAATTGTTTTTCGAATATATTTCTTAAGTGCGAATAATTAGGTTGTTGTTGAAATAATAGAGACTTGACATGTTGAAAATAATGGATAAAACACTTATATTGAAATAAAGAATACCTTCGGCAAATTCAAACATAGTTGATTTAAGGGTAAGCTCATTTTAATTTATAAAATTTGCTCATACTTGTCCTCTTTATTTACAGCCTTTACATTCGACCAAGGCAACTCCCCTCTTACGAGATATATCAACATGTAACCCAGACTTTCCAGATCATCTCTTCTTGATTATTCCATCCCTTTAAATAACACATATATCCATACATTACAATGTATTAATACTAGCGTAACGTGCAGTTCCTATTACACCTGTCTTTTGAGTAAATTCTATATGTCTACCATCGGCTACTCGGTAATATTTGGACAATCCAAAATCAATCAAATAAATTATTGATGTGTCCTCCTTAGAAATTAAGAAATTTTCAGGTTTTATGTCTCTATGAATGAAATTCATGCTATGAAACACTGTAATTATTAATCGAGAACAAATACCTTCCAAACGATCTATCAATTGTATGGAAAGTTGAAGGACGGTTTGTAGAGTAAATTTACCACCACATTTTTATAACAAGACTTCCAAATTCTCGCCCAACAATGTACTCATATAAAATTAATATTGGTTATCTTTTCCATGGTGTATTAATTCTGGAAAACCTAAAATTAAATTTAATAAGTGAATAACTATCTACCATTGATGCCTCTCAACTATTTCAAAATTAGTATCTCTCGATTCATCATTCTCATTTATAAATTTCTACTCTCGAATTTCGTTGCACAATACTCCTTCTCCTATAAGTCATATGTTAAGAAAACAATTCCAAAGCTGCCACTTCCTACCTTTTTAAGCAATTTGAATCTAGAGTCTATTATTAAACCTGGCTATAAACTAATTTTTTAATCCATTTTATTAATAAATTTTAATATGTCAAACATCTTGACTTTTTATTCTAATTCAAACTAAATCTCTAATAAAATCAAGTAATTAATTTTCAATATCACAACCTTCTCGCTTCATTAAATGCACTAGTAAATCAGAATTTATTTATATTAAAACAAAGATCTACCAGAAACCCTAGAAATCAAAATAAGATAATCTATTTATTCATATTTAATAACCATTTTTATAATATATTAATTGAGTCCTAGTTAATCTACCATCCTTGGCTCGAGTCAAAATCAGTCAAATCCTCATGCTTAACCTAAATAATAAAAACCATTTTAGAATGAGAGGAATTTCAATTTTTAATTCATATAAGCTTCCTTAGAGAATATGAAAATAAATAGATATCAATGAAATGTGATATTTTTAGAATGATAACTCTAATATTTACAACTATTTTAAAGAGATTTAATGAACTATTATAGATTATATCTGTTTAAGAAGTAGTATCATACTTGATTCTAAATTTGTAGGATAATTATTCTTCGAAATTCGATTATTTGATTACTTTTCCAAATTATTTTATTATAATTTAAAATAAAACGTTATGATTCGAACCAATTCAAGCGTTCAAATTCAAAAATTGCAAATACCATTGTAATAAATAAGTCCTTTTAATGGTCAAATACGATATAGCAATCCATATTCGGATACTCCAAGCACTCCTTAGAAATCAATTATTGGTTAATAAATTAGAGGATCGTCCACATTTACTCCTAACAAAACTTAATAGACATTTTATTTTAAAGAGAATTCAAATACAATTGAGAGTAAAATACAGTCATTGGTGAATGAGAATTGCTACCTAAATTAGGAATTAGAAAAAGCAAGAAATGAAATATAAAATAATGCATAATAGTAGGAATAGTTATACATAATTAAAGAGAGAGTTAGCAAATTAGAAGAACTAATAGATACACAACAAAATGAAATAGAAATATGGAAATTAAAATATTAAAAAGCAGCAGCAGGAGATTCAAGACTAGAAATACAATAAATGGAGTAATAAATATATAATGTGATTGACGAAAATGAACGATTGAATAAGATTATTTCTAATTTGGAATAATAACATCAAGAAAAGGATTAAGAAATCAAAACCCTTATGATGTCAAACTAAAAATATGAAGTCGAAATGAAGAAATAAAAAGACAAACTAATAATATTAGAGAAGGCAAACAAACCTGCATTCTCATGTAATCCATTTGCTATTGACAATAAAAAACCATCAAAATCTTCCACTAATGATCTAAGACAAAGCAAATGTAAAATAAGTGAATAAGATGCTATTGCAAATAGAAAAAAAAGTGATCATACTTATAAATAAGTTTAAGCTAAAAGCCAATAAGACTATTCTGATTTACAAAATTAAATTAAATAACTATAAGTTGACAATTAATAGTTGCAACTGACTATTGAAGAATTATAGGAAAAGTTGTAAAGTAAAGATCTTCAGAAAGTCGAAAAAATAGATTCACAGAAAGATACTAACTAAGATTAGAACATATCAATATTAAAGCAAGTAATACTCAATTATTATCAAATAGGAACTTTCAAATCAATAGATACTAATACTTGAAGAATTTAAGAAGTATAAACAGTGTTAGTCTCAAAATTCTATGATTAAGGAACAATTACTTTAATGCGAATAGTTTTTGAAGTCCCTCACTAATCAAATTTGTACACCAAATGAGGAGGAGGATGGAATAGATGCTGCTATTGAGGAATTTCAAAGTAGCTCAGCCAACTGCTTACAATTAATTGATTAATTCTAAAAATGATTATATAAATGAAATTTAACTTTAATTAATGAAAAATTCACTATCTACTTTAAAAATCTGAACAACTTCATATATTACGAAACTCAAAAAATACTAAACTATTTTATTATAAAGAAAAATGGTAGTTTTTAATAGTTTTATCCTAATTTAAATAAAACCAGATTCCTCATTGAGAATCATTTAAATATGTAATAAATAAATCCTAAATATAAAAAATGATAATTAAAAAATTATTTTCTCTTCTCTAATAATTATTTAACTAATTATTATAAATCAATCTATAAGGGAAGCAAATAAATAAAAAATAATTAAGTATGCATTTAATTAATACCTCCTTAATCTACCAATTCATAAATAATATAATCCTTCTTAAGCTAAATTTATAAATTGAATATTTACTAAGCAATAATTTTGAGCTTCAATTAAACTTTAAATATGATTAAAATAGTAGTTATATTTTTGATAAAACAATTGAATATATTGTTAGGTTTTGAAATTCAAATTTGAAAAAGCCTTATTAAATATTTTGAGTGTTATTCAATAATTATTTTTTGTTTCAAATTTATTTTAAAAAAATGTCTGAAAAATCGCAAACTCAAAAAGACTATTAACATGAAAATTCATTGATTAAATAATAATTGCTCCAATATTGGGTGAAGATCTCAAAAACTCTTGATGACGAATACGAAGAAATTCTTTAATTAGGGTCTGATTCTGATCCCAATGATATTATCAATGCAGTGTTTATAATTGAAGATGCCAGATAAGAATAATAGAAGGTGTAAATATTAATATAGTTTAGTTAGATAAGTAACAATTAGAGGCATTGAAGAAGTAAATCGAGTCTTCAAATGAAAAAATTATTGCTTTATAATAATAACATGAAAAATAACCATAAGTCAACAATAAGCAGGAATTTAATCCTGAAATTAGATAATTAGAAATAAAAATCAATGAATTATCTTTAGCACTTGTGAAAAGCAAGGAAGAGAAAATCATTTACATGGAGTAAGCTCAAAAATAGATATAGCTTCTTAAGGAATAAGAATTAGAATTGAAAAGTAAAATATAGAGACTATAATTTGAATAATCAAAGAAATCTTCATTTGCAGAACCAGAAGAAAACTTAGGAAAGAGTTCAAAAGATTTTATTGAAGAAGATATAACACGCTAATCTGTTTCTCCTTAAACATAAAAAATTAAATTAGATTATTCCAAATTAAGTCTTAATTAAAATTTGAAAAAACTAACAAAAGTTGACTAAGTTCAAGGAGCATCGTTACCATCATTTAGATTCGGTAATAAATGAATTTGAATTGCGTATCCTCTGTATATTTATTTCTTTAATTATTTACATTTATATCAAATTTAGGTATAAGGATTTATTTATTCTTTCTCTCTTGTTTAAATTAATATTGATTTAGTCTGTAAGCTTATTAAAGGGAAATTCTAATGAATAAGTTGTAAAAGATGAGTGAGGATTTGCTTAGATTAAAAATTAGTACTAATATTTTTTCTTTAAGCTCCAATTGTTTAATAGACTTGTTTCGTAAAATAAATAAACTCAAATAAAGAAAATAAGAATTAACCTAAAAGTTATATAATATTTTGGTTGAAATTTGATGTAAAAATCTTCTTTTGTTTACTAAAACAATCTTGGCCAATTATCTAGATTAACCTGGTAAATGAAAAAACGAAGGATAACAATATATGCATTCAATAAAAGGTAATCAGTAAATAATTTTTTAAGATGAATTATTAATTACAAAAAGATTAAGCATTTAATTTTTATTATTTTATGTCATCATTAATAATAAATATTTTCAAAATTTAAGAACTTTTTTTCATTGAAAGCTTCTGGATAGAGTAAATGTATTTATTGATCACATTGAATTTTCATTTTATACTCTTCGATTTTCGCTAGAATGTCTAGCTCCTCATCTTCCTCCTTGAATTCTAGAATCGCCTTATTCTATTTATAATAATCTGGTATTGTTATATAACTAGTGTCAATATCATTACAAGTTCATACTTTGAAGAAAAATTATTTTGAAATTCTTGAAATGCAATTTCATCAAATTTATGTTTGAATTGATTACAATACATTACCGATTTGCTGTATTACTACTATACATTGCCTTGACCCATAAAAGATTCTTAACTTTATAACTTATAAGGACTTTGTGAAACTAAGGAATGAGTAAATAAATACTTATCTTTGCTAGAACCTATATGGATTTTTATGTATTAAAATGAATTTCTTTGGGCTAGCTAGATGTTCCTTTTTAGGCTTGCTCATATAGATTCATATATTAGACAATCAACTCAACTAAATCAGGTGTTATCTTAGCATATTTTACAAAATACTTTATATTCTACATCAAAATATTCAAATCCTGCAATGAATTTATTTTAATTAATGAATGTGTCGAGTTAGTTGCAAAATTTGTATAGTAGTCTTGTGATTTCAGCCATTTAAAGAAGATCCTCCAATTATAATTACTCAATCTTTTTGATCAAAACATTAAATGCTACAAGTGAGCAACTATAATATTTAAATAGATCATTAAGGATCATTAGAAAGACATATTAACAAAGCTTATATTTTAAATGGCCATTTTGTTTAGTCTCTATGACTTCAAAAGCTTTATCAACAAATTGCAAAATTAAATTGATTTCATTTTAAGTTTACCCAACAGAAAGCTGACTGAAATGCAAAAACTTTTCTTTTTTGTACAATGTCAAAGAGAATGAAGTTCTTAACTACTACGATTTGAATTTGATATAATTGTAATATTTGGATATTAACTCATGAATTAGCAGTTTATTATTGTTACTATTTTTTTCAACCCAATTCTCTATGTTAGGTAAATCCAACTCACAAAATTCTTTTAATAGAATACCATCATTCACACACCTCATCAATTTTTGTGACCTAAATACCTATCTATAATGATCAAATTTTTGATTATGATAATCCAATCATCATCATTCCTATGAATTTATTTTAATTTCCACACAATTGAACCAAAAGCGATTCTTCTATCTGTCTCTTTATCAAAGCCAGAGAGTGCATTCAATATAATTTTGATATCTCTCTCCTCTGGAGGGTATTCATTTCCATATGTGGCTGCTAATCTCGCCTAATTGTTTCAATCAATAATTAATACACTTTCAAAATTCGTATCTGCACCTATTGTTGCCCAGAATCGCGTAATGAAATTCATATTCAAAAATTAATTATATTTATATGTTTTTATTATATTCTCGACATATTTTTGTAATGTTTACCTATTCTTTTAACATTTAAAAATACAAATGGACTACTTCTAAGACTCTTAATAATTTAAACATATTTGATCGACTAATCATTAATATATAATATAATTAGTAAATTTATTACAATAATTATGAGTACTCCAAAAGCTTTCAGTAAACCAACTCTTTAAACTCAAAAATCTTCTAAACCCTCTTTATTTGCTCCCAAAACGGGTTCTCCACACTCTTCACAACTAATCAAAAGTATTCAATGTTTCAAATATCTTATTAGCCAAACAATCCAGTAGTATCCATATAAAAACTCCAATCGTTAAAACAGAGAGAGCAAGGACATTCAATTTTAGTGAAGCAGATTCTAAGCCAGAATTAAAAAGATGGGATGCAGTTGGCAAGATAGAAAAATCGATCAATATACTCAGAAAAACTAGAGGACAGATTGATTTCTCATTTCAGATTAAAGTAGAAGAAATAATTAATGAAATGATGACAATATGTTGTATTGATGAAAAAGTAACAAAATTGTTTCTGTAAATCAGAGAAGAACGTGATTAAAGAAAATAATCCTAATTAAAAACCTTAAAATTCATCAAAGGATAATAGGATTAAATAGAATAATTAGTAACAATTATTAATAATCTTAGGAAAGGAGATGCTAGGAATATTACTGAAAAATATAATCGCTTGTTTATTTATAATGGCATTGAAAACAAATTAAAATATAAAATTCCTTTTCAAAATTTATGTTTAAAATACAATGCCTTAAAATTTTATTATTTTAATCTAATATTTATCGTTATTGGATTTATAATTTTATGGACTTGAAAATCTGAACCCTAGATATCAAGAAAATAATTACTTTCTGATAGGATTATTTTCCAGGAATTTGGTTCCAATTTTCTTAACTACTTTTTCTCAAGAAGCAAAAAATTGCATTTAAATCTCTAAAGAACCAATAGGAGATATTGTTTATATGCTGATTTCAAAATCTTTGCTTTGTCCAGTACTTTCATTCTTAAAACACAAATCCAAAGAAACATCTTCATATTTTAAACATAAATAATATATTTAACCCATTAACTGAATCAATTTGATGAATCAAACTTTCAGACATTTTTCGACTTTTAATCTTAGACAATATTGAGCTGATTTTATATAAAACTGTTGAAACTCTTACATGTCTTCAGGTATAGAATTTACATTAAAATAATACATCTTATATTTAGCTTTCAAGATGTTAGAGATAGAAGAATATATTGCAAATTAGTATAAGTATAAATTCCAGAATTTGATTATAATTTTTATATGTTTAATAAAAAAAAAGACTATATAAAAAAAAAGTATAAAGACGTCCCTCCATTAAACATTGGTGATGTGAATAGAATTTTGCAACAATACAAGAATGATGAGGACAAATTTCGAATGTTTACCTCAATTTTAGAAATATAAAAATAGCACAACACTCGAACTCATGAAAGCAATACAGAAGAAATTCTTAGGAAGAATGTATAGAGATTAATTGAACTTTATGGAGATGTAGATATTAATCATGATGCTCTAAACAATATATATAAGAATGTTGAAGAAGATTAGGACATCCAAAATTAGATTGAGAAAATTGAATATAGCAATATATTTTAAGGAGATGCGAATTCTTAAATGGTAAGCATCTAAAGGAAGATTGAGAAATATGATCATTACTTGAATGTGATACAAACAAAACTATCCAAAAATGTATTCACCAATTACTCTAGTTATCTCTAAGCACTTACTCATATTGACTAAATTGGAAATATTAGTTAGGAGCTGCTCATCAAAGTTAGAAGTAGCAGAGAAAAGATGTAAAAAACATAATAAATGGTTTTAAAGCAAAGTAAATAGATTTTAGAGAAAAGACAATCAATCTTAAACATCTAAGTAATTAAATAATATTATTATAGCAATTGATTGAAACATTAAAAAAAATCAAAGATTGTTATTCTTTACCCTATGAAAGGTTTGTATTGAGTATGTAGAATGGATATGTAGATGCTTCAATCTACCTGCCTACAATCATGGTACTCTTTATCTATTATATAGAATATTGACATAATTGAAGGTCTGGAATTGATACCCAAAAATTATAAAGAAGATAGGATTGAATACGTAAGATAATTAACTTGTAAAGGAATAATTGATTAGTTTATCAATTATGATGAAAAGATTTACAAAATTCATTACGAGTCTTATCTTTACATGGAAGTATATCTATTAAATAAAATAAGAAAAACAATATTGTTTAACCTTATGAAACAATAGTTCATCTCCTAATTATGAGAGCATTCGAAGCTAAATTATAAACTGTCTTTGATCAAATTAGTCAAATTTTATCAATTGACTTTTATTTCGATAATTTAACAGATTCTTTAAATTAAATTTCGAAGGATTAACTTACTGAATTTTATAGAGAATTATGTTGCCAAACAATTCATTTCTTTATGAATTTCCATTTGATCATAAGATTCCATTTAGATTACTCTCAAAACACCTCAATTATTGAACTAAGAAAATAAATATACGAAAAGGTTTTCGATAGAATATGTGATTTTATCAATTAAACAACAAGTTGGCCAAGAATGAACAAAGAAGATATGATTTGTTTTTTTGGTATGCTAACGATATTAATTTCAAAATGTGAAGTATTTGGAGGCTAAGATCTTTAAAAATACAAAACATTTATAGAGGATAAATTTAGAAATTATTTGGAATCAAGAGGAAATGATAAGCAGATCAAAGAAGCATTGGTAAATGAAGATTGCAAGAAATGTATGAAAATAACACTAAATTAAACTTAAATTGTTCTACAAATTGCTAATAAATAATCAAAATTCCATTTATTTGACTATAAGGATCCATTTCCAGATACATTAAATATTTTTAAATCAATTGAATATAAGAAAATTATTGATTTAATTATGGGTTCAACTGTTTCTTTCAAAAAATAAACCAATAATTCCAGCTTAATCTATTAGGGAAAAGAAAGAACATTGTTGCTTACTTAGACTATTAATTAAATATACGTAATCATCCAATAATAACTATTGTACATTCACTTTTGTTAATAGCATAAAGAAAAGTTAGTTGAAGAATTGATATTCTTAATTAATTATTATATCTATACGTTAGCCATTCCAATAATATTGGATGAGCATAAAAGATACATATTTGATGATACTCTAAATTTTAATTATGATTAAAAGCAAGAACCTGATCAATATACTTAATAATTTGAACACAACAGTCAAGTCATCATGTATAGAGAGAAATATGGTGATTTGGTTAGATATTTGAAAAAAATTCAAATTCCAGAAGATCTTAAAGTCAAAAAGAGTCAAACCTTTGATCTAATGGATAGGGTTGTATATATTGAGTCAATCATTTTTGTCATAAATGAATTTGACTCAATTAAGGAGGTATTTTAAGAATTCAAACCTTTTTACTCAGAATTAAACTCAATAATTGGTTAATTATAAGAATTGGTAATCAGAGATTGTATCAATTTGGAACCCTACGCTCAATTAGTTTAATGCAAATATGAGTTGAAATAGAATGACAAAGAGGATCAATAGAGAATTCAATTAATTGACAAAATAATTTCAACTAATGAGATTAAATTACAAGGATTGTCTTAACAATAATTAGTAGAAGTTTAAAGAATGTATTATGATGAATTAATTTATCTGTTTGCTGTAGTTTATTCAAGAATTAAGAAGGTGAATAATATTGGTCGAGATATAATGTTAAATGATTATTATAAAGTATCGAAAACTTTTAATGTTGAAAATAGTTTGTATGAATCCTATATTAAAGTGCTTAATTAAACTTAAGCAGAAACAATAATTGAATACATGAATAATCACTAAGTAATTAATTTATAAATTAATAGAAAATATTTCCTTATAAAATGTTGATGGGTCTTTTTAATGCTTAAGGATTATAGAATTGTAAGAAATAACAAAGGAAAGATTAATTGTTCAAGATCTTTTAACAATACTAATAATGAATGTAAATAAACTTGATTGAAGTATTAAAAATAAATCAATATTCTTTTTATCTATTAAATAATGAGATTCTTTACATTTAATCAATTTCTTATTGATTAATTTTCTTATCTTAAGACTCACTCAAATTTTTAAGAGACACTTAATTTAATATAATATTATACTAGCATTTAATTTTTTAAAGCTACTTAGAGGGTCTTTGGTGTAGAAACTTCCTAAAGATGAATCTTCCATCTTACCACAAGACGGCTTTTTAACTTGTGGTAATTATTTAATTTAAATGAATGAAGATTTATTTTCTGAGATGTCAGCATCAAAATCGATTTAATTTTTAAATTTATTTTAAACTCTTTAGAAAGGAGATTCTGCTTCAGATAATTATCCATCAGCAGTTGGTTAAAAAATGTTTTTATTACTTGTATTATTACTATTTTTAAACGTTTTCATAACTAGAATTAATAATTAATTTTAGTACTGTTTTATGCAGATTGAATAATTGGATTTTTGAAAAAATCAGATTCCAAAGCTTACTTAGCTGTGATTCTTTCTGCTGGATTTTTTGCAAGCATTCTTTTTAACAACTTCTATGCTTCTATGGAAATCATATCCATATCCCTTCCCTCAAGAACGAAATTACAATTCTTATTTTAAGCCAACACTTCATTAAAAGTATTGCCAAAAAATAAACTATGTCCAAATAATAACTTATAGAATATGCATCCACAACTAAAAATGTCGCAAACTTTATCGTATTTTATGTCTCTATCAACTAAATTCAAAATCTCTGGAGCCACATATCCAGGTGTTCCACATTTTGGGAATTAGTATTTAGAGACATCAGTAAATGTTGACAATCCGAAATCCACTATGATAAGAGTATCATACTGATTTTATTCACGAAACATGATGTTATCTGGCTTCAGATCTCTGTGTATTATATTATTCTCATGGAGAATTCTCACACCTTCCAATAACTGTTACATTATCAGTTTTACTAACTTTAGAGAGAGCAATTCCTTCTTTTACTACACAATTAATTATCAATTATATGGTACTTTCAATAAGTCTATTTCCTCTGCTAAGGTTCTTCCACGCAACAAATCTAAAATTAAATAATATGTGTGATCTCCCTCAAATGTTTCGTATAATTTTATAAATGGTGAATTGCTGTTTTTTCTACTAAGAAAGTTTAGTATAGCAACTTCATTTAAAAATGCTTACATTCCAAATTGACTCTTTTAAAGATAATTTTTATCTATGGCCTTGGCAGCCAACTTAGCCGATTCAGCTCCAATCTCTTTAATTTGTATCACTTTTGCAGAACTCCCCTTCCCTAAATGGTATTGTGCCTCATAGAAGTCTGATATCTTAGAAAATGTCACCTTATTCTTAATGAGTTCTCTTATTCTATGATATTTGATAATTGAGTACTTTTGCAAGTTGTCCATTTTGCCTATGAAATCCTTGAACTTATTCTGATACATAATGGTAAATGCTTTTAATAAGAGTTTATTGTTCTTTAATTCTGTAACCCATCCAACTTATTAAGTCAATTACAATTATAAGACATATTTTGGTCTTTAATCTTTAACTTTCTATATAGTGAGCAATCTTACCCTACTCATTAAAAGGTAATCATTCAGAACATAGCAGTAATATTTTACATCGCTGATGAAATGTTTACGAACCACGATACATTCATATTAAATTTAAGAGTAATCATATTAGGATTTCATATACAATAAATTAATTATTCATTTAATTGAACTAATAAAGTTATATTAGCTGCCATCAATTTCAGAGTTACTATCATGTATCTTAAAAGCACTTGTTTTTCTTCTTCGCATCAAATACTTCTTTTTCGTCTCTATCCTCTAAACTTCTCTTTCAATTTTTGGTATTTTCAATACTTTTTTAACTACAGGTTGAGATGATCGAAGTTATTACATAACTGGAGAAGGGAATCGTTTTTCTGTGCTCCCCAATTACAAAAAATCCAAATTAATATTTCTCTCCAAATCTTTCTTTACCTCAGTCAAATCATTGAAATTTTTCTCATATTGCATTAATTACCTCATAAAATTATTATTCTTCTATTCAGACAACTAAATCAATGCATTTTTGATAGTTGGAACCTTGTCTAAAATAGTTTCAAAATATTCTCTTTTAACCATATAAAGTTCTGATTAATCTGTAACTGAATAGACTGAGTGAGTCCTTGCATTATTATTCTTTGCTTTAATTAAACTGATAGCTTACTTGCATTAAAAATTCCATTTCGCCAAACATTTAACCAGCAGTTATATATTTGATTGTTACAGGTTTTTTCTTCTCCAAATAATATAAATTGCCGTATTTTTTCCTTTAAAATCGAGCTTCCAACCTTTCTGAGATAGTATACGTCTTTGGAGTACTCATACCACTTAAGATCTTCTCGAAATCACCCTTAAACATCTCATTTAAATCTATGGTCGATGTCTTTATTATTTTGACAATCTTGAACTCCCCCTTTTTAATGATGTATACATAGTCTAATGGATCCCCTTCTTTATACACAGTGGCATTCATAGAGTATCGTTTTACATATGCTCTATCATAAAATACCTTAATGTCTTAGAATCTCCAGTTATGAAAAAAATCTAAATTTGCAAATTCTTCGAAATAAGCTTTCTTTAATTGATTTTTCACACTCTTAGCTATAATTTAATAACTCTCCTTATTCAAATATGCGAGATGTGTGTTCTCTAGAGCTCTTACAGATGCTGTTCTGAGTGCATCAGAATCCATAGCTCTTTCTCCGAAGGTTTCGAAATTTGTCAACTGTTTTATCTCATTATCGAATATTGATGCTTATGGGTCTGAAGGGTTGAAATCCTTCAATACCTACACTCGACCACTTATGATAAAATAGAAATTGTCTCCTTTTTCCCTCTCCTTAAATATGAAATATCCAATTGGAACATATTTGTGTCTAAGATTCCTACAACATTGCTCATGTAAAAGATCGGAACCTAAATTTGCAAAAAAATCAAGCGATCGAGTAGCCTACTTTAAAAGTTCAACATCTGCTTATGATCTGAGTTCACATGGCTTCAGAAGTATAAAAATCATTATATCTATGATGTCTTGATAACTGTACTCTCATGATTACATACTTAGAAAATTCTCTTTAACTCATCCTTAGATCGATTTTCTATAATACACTAGATGCTCTTCGAATCTACTCTGTATTAAATTTTAGTCGTTTAATCATCCACTTTATTAATATATTAGATTAAATAACAATAATCTCGAAAAATTAATACTTTATATTTTATCTTATTCATAGAATTCTCGATATCGAAGAAAGAAAAATAGAACATATGATATATATCCACACTTAGGTTATCACTTAGATAAGCAAAAAAGATTTATCAATTCTATTCTAATTATAGATTAGTAATATTTTAAACCTAAGTGTGTTCTTTGATCAACTGGTATTTTCAATTATAATATAATGTAAATAAAATATTAAATATGGAATGACAAATATGGATTGGTGAACAACCTTTCTACGCCAAATCAATTCATTTTGATTGTTTCAAATAGTCTCATTTAAAGTCACCACAGTTTTATAATTTGTATGGTAAAAGTTGTGTTAATTGATAAATAAATAAATTATAAATTAGAGTAAATATATTTATACTAGAAATTTCTTTGTCCAAAAACTAGGGCTATTAATCTAAAACCTTTTAGATTGCCCGCTCAATTAAGAAGCATCGATATTATCAATAGCATGACATATAATTTTTTAAAAGACCATTTAAATTAAAAATGCTTAGTCCATACTTATGATTGATAGGCTTAACAATTGTGAAAGGTTTATTTATTAGAAGGCATAGTTCAATCCTTAGGAGTAGCAAATCTTTAATGCTATTGTAAGTATATTAATCTTAAATAATCAACATTTCGAGAATATTCAAGTATGATTGCAAAATGAAGATTTAAATGCAACCTAGAGTTAAGGCTTCATGAAATTTCATAGACAAAAATACAATTAAAGCATTTAATTTTCAATAATATAAATTTTTTTTCTGTAGAAAATATTAATTATTGCACATAAAACGCTTAAAAAATTGTTCTCTTTTATTTTAATTAAATATCTTAGAACTAATTTAATTAGAGCATTTTAACAATGTTGGCGTCATTTTAATATGAGGCATTAGTTTTAAATGAATTGAATTTAAATATATTCGTGAATGAAATTTTGTGATGCATCAATATTGGCATTTTATTAATTTTTTAAATAAAATTTCTTAATAAAACAACCAGGGCCTAAATGTCCAGCACTATAAACTTCAGCTAACTACAGAACAGTCACTTTTACAGTATGAATTTATCGATTTCTAGACCTTTTGAATACTCAATAATTCTCGCACGCTTTATCAGCCGCATAGTTATAGGGAAATCTCAGTCCAGAGGTGATTTAATCAGCATTCAATTAAAATTAGAATGAAATGATTGTAGAAAATGATGTAAAATTTATTGATAACTTCTAGTCTGGGAATAGGGATTACAGTTTAAATGTAAAACCTTAAACTCAATAGATAGCAAAGCCTTAGTTTGATAAGGAATCCCCACATCTAATGATAAGTGTTTACAAACAACATCAATAGGCTAATTAAAAAATATATATACTTCAAGATGACAAGTAATGTCTCTTATTTATTTTTAGAATCATAGGGGAAAATTAAATACACAACAATGAAATCCAAATCATAAGAAGAAAGAAAACATTAAGATCTGATGATAATAATTTGGATTTTGGTATAATAATATAAATAATTATTTAGGTCTCACTTCTGCCGACCCTAGCAATGATTATATCCCTTGCAAAATATCAACAGAATTTGGATTCAGATATTCAAGTAGAATCACTCCTTAGATACTAGTGTTTCTTTCTCTTAAGTAGTTCAATTCTAAATTTGCTTAAATGCCTTAAAATGTTTTCAAACTTATTCATTAATTTATCAAGTAAATGGCATTTTTATTTTTAGAGAAAAACCAAAGTTCTATGTTCAGGATTATGGTACTTCTTTGAAAACTTTAGTGAGAATTCATAAAGATGATCCAAAAATAATGAATGACAATAATCAATACTTAATTGGAGCTGATTTTTACTTTCATGTTGTTTAATCAAGCGCTAATCCATAAATTTAAGGTAAAAAGTAGTAAGAAACGGATACAGATTATTTTTTTTAAACCCTTGTTCGAGAACACATAAAAGATAGAGCCAGAATTCATGGCTTAACTAAAGAAGAATCAGATACATTTTAAAGTAAATAATTTTAAACTATTTTAAGAATGTTTATAAAATTACATATCAACGAAGAAACAGGGAAGAAAATAATATCATTTAACAAATTGCAATCGCCCTTTTCTTAAAATCCAATTTGACACCCCCATTATCAAATAAATGGCTATTTTTATTGCAAGACCTGGAACATAATAGATATTTAAAATAGGAAGATCTTAGGATTGCGATATCATTGTTAATATGAATACAATTTCCAGAAAGCAAACTTAAATTAAGTTTAATAGAAATCAATGGGAAATCTGTGATGGAGAAGGAACTAAGCAATCTGCTAATGGAACTTGGCAGTCATTATAATAATTTGAAAATCCCTTAAATCCAATTTAATAAAAAACACCTCAACCATTAAAAATAGAAGACAAAATGGAAATCAAAGTTAGCGATATTATATTTAGATTTGATATGGCAAAATTTGGTATCACAAAAAGGTATGTAGTATAATTATATCTTTAGATTAAAATTGAATAATCACTTATATAAAGAACTAACTAGAATTGATGATTTTTGAGTTGATTGATTATCTTCACTGAAAACCTATGTCATTTATGTAAATCGATATCTGCTATCAATCATTATATATTTTTTCCAATTTTTACATTATGATAAGATTCTCTCCATCTTTAAGTTACAAAATATTCTATTTCTGAAATATTTATTTGAACATTTTTCAAATTTAGCTCAATAATCAAAAATAAATTAAAAATCAAAAAATTATTCTTGAATAGAATTCTATGTTATCATTTTCTTTTTAATAGAATTACAATCATTAAATAATGGTAAAGCATTCTAGAACAAAAAAATCGAATTAAGGAACACAAGTTCTAAAAAATTCAAGATCTAGAAAAAAAGATAATATAAAAAAAGAAGTTGGCAAACCACCTAATATAGATACAATAATAATTTAGATCCCAACTATTTGGAGTACTGATAAATCGATTTTAAAGATATTAGCGTTCTTATAAGAGAACGGAAGGCATATTTCTATACATTTGGCTGGAGCTAAGAGAAATTCAAAAAATGAATAAGATGAAATCAAAAGAAAAGTGAAAGAGGAAAAATAGAGGTAAATCAAAAATAGTTAACCTACATATGAATTTTTGGTTAATTTTTGCGTTGAACATCTTGGATATCCTAAATGTTAATAGAAAAAATCAAGAATAGTAGTTTTTTTCTTCAGACATAACACTCACCCAATTAAGAAATGTATCTAAAAGCAAAATTTGAATATTCAAAATACATAATGGTATTAATACATTAAGAAAATTTATTATTTGTTAGATGAACAATTTCGCTCAGAACTAATTAAAATCTTATAGGAGATAGATAAGTAATTATCCATTGAATAAATTGCTCTATACCTAATTGAAACATTCTTAGCTACTAAAAATTTATAAGATATTTAAGTGATTTTTAAAAATCTTTTGGTACAAATAATTAAAACACAAGAAGATGAAGATCTAAATAAGAATAATCTTATAAATTGTTCATCAGATGAAATTTTTGAAATTTACAAAAAAAAAATATACTTTTATTAAAACAGAGTAATAGAATTCATCTCAAAGTTGAAATTACTATTTAATAATTAAGATCCTAACCAATTCCAGAATACCTTATATTGTGAAGAATAAAAAAATTGTTATTTTGACCCTTATATTTCAAATTATTACGATGAGGACGAAGATTTAAATTCAGATCGAAATATTATGGGGTGAATGAAGAACGGAATTTCGATATTTTTATTCATATTCCTTAATAGCACATTTATAAAAATTTAAATATTTAAATTATTCATGGCCTAATAATCCGCTGAATTTGCAACAAAAGTGGATGAGTCTCATAAAGGTTAAGAGGATGATAAAAATACACCTTAAGAACCTAAATAATAGAATGAAGAGAAAAATGAAGCATAAAAGTCAGAAAATAAGGCTCCAAGCTTATTTGGATCAATGATAAATGGATAAAATTTATTCAACAACAATTAAACATCCTCTATTTTTTAAGGAGGTTTATTTGGGTCATCCTAACCCACAACTGGAATTTTCAGTTCTGGACCTTCTCTTTTAAGCAATGTTAATGTAGATCTTACAAAACCAGGACCATCCTTGTTTGGCATTAGTTACAAGGCTCCTAAATCTGATGAGAGTGATCCTGGAGAAGATGATGGTATCAATCATATATCAATATTTATAGGATAGGATGAGTAAAAGCCAGAAGATGACGAACCAAATTAAATAGTAATGAAATATAATTATACTTCAAACACAGAATAATTAGTAAAGGTAATGTATTATGTTAAATAAAGGTAAACGTTGAAAAGTTCAGAAAAAATACAAACGATATACTAGAGAAGGGATCTGTTGCCATTGAAAAAACTAAAACTGGAGAGTCTTACTATCTTGTTTATAGGTATTTTGTCTATAAATTGTTAGAAATGCAATATAATAATCATTGTATACAGGTTAATTCATCAAAGGATTTTCAGAGATCAAACCATTGGGTTAGAAGGCAGAAAATTTAATTATTAAAGCTATCAGCAGAAAAGAAAAATAGGATAGTAAATAAGGAGAATAAGGGGAAAATGATGAAAAGAAGTCAATATCAGTTGATACATTAAAAATTATGTTCACAACCAAGGAAGGATCAGAAGAGTTTAAAGCAGAATTTGCTAAAATATTTTAATGATAATACATATAAAATCGAATTTTAGATCATATTTAACAATAAAAGCATCAAACAGTCTACTTGCATCATTTAATTCATTGTATAACGTTTTATTTTTTCAATTTGAGATTGTTAACATGATCTACTTTTCAATTTCATTATTAATAATCATTAGAAAATGAAGTTTAATATACATAAATTTTGGATGCTCTTTTTTTTAGACTCAAAAAGACACTGGAAAAATGTCATTTTGCTAATCAGATTAAAAAGCATTCATCTGATTTCATAGTAAAATGAAAAAGTTACCATAATACACTTCTAAATGATACCAAAATATACTATTTAACTTTTGATTTGATGTAAGAATTATTAATTATTATAATTACAATTTTTAGGTTCTTTATCCTATTAAATTATTGATATTAATTTAAACATTACTAAATGAAATGTAATTTCTAAATATGTGATCTAATCAGCATGCTTTAGATTATGAATCATTTTAGCACAATTAAAATCAAATATTTAAGGGAAAAATTCAAGATAGTAATACTCATTAATCATCTATTTCCTGTCTGATGAAATACTATTTCTGGTAATAAATCTATCAAAATATTCAGTGTTAGACATTAAAATAAATAAGAATAGATTAAAATTAAATTGATAATTATTTATAGTAATATAGTTTTACTTCATCTTTTTTTGCTTACAACCACAGCCTATTTAGGTAATTTAGTGTCCATAACCTCATGCTTAGGTCTTTTTATTGAAACTCCTTTTTTGTTTGCTGAAGCTACATTAACCTTCACACTCTTTTTTGGTTTGATAGAATCTTGACCTTTAGGTGAAGTAGGATGGTTTTATGATTTTTCTTATAACACATCTCCATCATCCTATAAATGAGTTATCCCATTACTCTTATAGTCTGCATTGCTCTCAAGTAATTTTAATTAACCAAATTATGCAGCAATTGATCCAGTTACATAATATTCTTTTACTGATTAGTTCAATGACTATTTAACTGATTGGGTATTAGACTCAACATTTTATTTTTCTACTTTCCTTGGAGATTCTTCAAATTAGTCTCGAGGTGAGTTTTCATAATGAATATTGTTCTTTCCTTCTTCTTCTTAATATTAGAAGGATTCCTTATTAAACTATAATACCTCATCATGAACCTCAGGAACTTCTTTGCTGATTTCTTAATAGTTATTGATTTATTCGTATTATTAACCCTACTCTTCATACTATTAAACATTTCGCTCCTCTACCTATTATTGGATCACAAACAGCTGCTTTAAAGAGGAACTTAATTCACTCATTGTTGGTCTTGCATTTGGATCTTCCTACAACATTTACTTTATCACATTTTTCAATACATAACCATTTCTCACTCCGAACTCATCTATAGATTCCTATATCACAGCTATTATATAATTGAAAATTTTTACTCTCATTTATTGTGTAATTTTGTTTATCATAAATCTCTGAAATTTTACAATTTCCCCAAAACTCTAAAGCTATCAATCCCAATTAATAAACTTCATTCTTCTCATGATTATATTAAGGTCTAAGTTCCTTCTTACCTAAAGCAGTGAGTAATTCAGGTGACAAATACCATAAACTATCACCTGATAAAATTCTTTTGTAATGATTATATCCAGTTAGTTAAGTACAATTATTTAATTTAACTTCTCCCTTTATCTTTTCAATCAAAACATAATCTGGAGTTAAATTTCCATGTACAATGTTATGTTCATATAATTAGCTCAGTATCTCTGCCAGACATTTTAATACAAATAAACAATTTATTGATGCTTATTTTGTGATTTGTCTTAGACTTATATCGTAATACTCATATAAGGCAGTGACTTTATAAAATGTACTACATAAATTTGTTTCTTCTTGAGTGTCAACTTCCACTAACTTTACTAAATGATCAATTTCATTCAGAGACTTAGATTCTTTTAGTATCTAACATAAATTAGTATATTCTTCATAACTCTAACAAGTCTTGGAGACCATAGCATATTGATTTGATTGAGAATCAATTAATTTGAAAGATCCATATATTTCATTTTCCTTATAACCAAGAATTGTAAAGTTCTTTGATTTAACAATTCCTTGCGCCACAGATTATTCTGCACCCATTATGACAGATAAATAAAAATAATAATAATTTTAACAGATAAATAAAAATATCAGTTAAATTATTAAATTTTTAGATTCTATTTTTATCACATGTGTTTTATATTTATATATCTTTTTATATTATTACACATTTACACCCATTTAATCTATATCAATTGAAAAATTTATATTGAAACAATAAATTACTTCTTTATTAATCAACTCTGTCCTAAAAGTTGGTAGACTAAAAGATAAAATTAATTCAACTAATTATTTTAAGAAAATTCTACCCATTTTTCATATCGATTAATAATATTTTTTAAATAATATCCTGATTCTTAAATTTAATAACCTCCAGATAGAAAATTAAAGGAATACCTAAAATTACGGGAAGTTCTACTTGTAGTTCTTTGTAAAGCGATAAGTAATTTGAAATTACTCTTGAGATTTGAAGAAACTGACAAATATTTCTGAAAGTCTTCAAAGAACTCTGCAAAAAAGTAGCCACAACATTGATTGTTTCAATGTGAGACTATTCCCCAAAAATAAAAAAAAAAGCCTATAAAATATGGAAATTTGGCAATATCTGGGGTTTTAGAATTACTATCTCTTTAAAATCTTAGAATATCTCAAGAAAGATAGTGCTAAATAAGATATTAGATGTAAAATAAAATCCAATAAATTTTTATTATTAAGAATTAGAAAACTGATTTTATTTATATTTAACTTTCTTTGAGATCTTTCGATTCAGAAATTACATTAAAATTAAAGACTTTCAATAAAAATAATTTCATAAAATTTATTAAGGGAAGACAGAATCCAGGATTATGTGTAATAATTAATGCTTTGTTTACCATAAATTGAATTCACAACTTATGAGTATACTGTATACACATTTTGATAGAATATTATAATGTTTCAGAAGCTGAGCTTTATTTAGTATTTCAATTTAATTGATAATAACTTTATACAATCAATCTATTTTTCAGTATTTTAAAAATATTAGGACCTATTGATCTTTAATTAACCTATAAATTCAATTAGAATCCTGGATAAATATTTTCTATCTCCTAAAATCTGATTTTATGAATAAATGATTCACAATCTCTTGCTCTTTGTATATAAAAATACAATTTCTGTTTGTTTAACTTTTAGTAAATGCCCACCAAAATAGATGGCTTTCTTAATAAGACTCCTCTGTAAAGTAATTTATAAACTGACTTATCCACCTATATGGTTTTTAAGTTGATGTTTAATTTGATAGTTTGATTAATATTATAGGTAAGTTGTTGGGGCATCAATTGATCTAATGTATTATTGTAATTTATTTTCTAATTCATAGAAAAGTTCATGATAATATTTTCTACTGAAATTTAACACATTCTTATCAAATCTACTAGTTTGAATTTATAATCAAACATGTTAAACCCTGTTATTTTTTTTTCAAAATATCCAATCATTAATTCATATAATGGCAATCGATAGGATTAGATATTATCATATTGATTAAGCCATTACAATTTCAAAAACATGCTATAATTCTTCGCTTCTTGTAATTTCATCCTTTCAAATGAGTAATGAATCAGAATTTGTTCTGGATCTTATTCAATCTTTTTTTCGATATTAACAATAAATAGAATTGATTCTTAGGTCTTTTCAATTGATTTGATTTTTTGATAGACTACTTCTTATAATATACATGAAATTTTGAATTTCTCTATTTACAAAATTAATTTCTTTTGATCATTACTTACAATCTTAAATGATTCTATTAAGCTGTGCCATAATTTTTCACTTCTATGAATTCTTAATTGTTCTTTAAATTAAAAATTTAATTTTAAATTGATATCTTAATTTATTAAGATATCATCAAAATGTAATTTTGTCATAAACCTCCTGCAAATTTGAGGGAAATAAATATAAATGTAGAAGCTTGAAATTTCTTAAAATTTCTCTATTGTGATTATACTTGGTACTCTAATAGTGAAATCTTCCTTCGGTTTATCGTACTATTTTTCATAACTATCATAAAAGGAATGATGTCTCTATGAAAATACCTTAGGAATTTTTAAAAATTTAGCAACTTTGCAAATTACTTTGGGATGCAAACCTTAAGGATGATAGAATTAGAATTTTTAAGGGTAAAGTGTTACTTGGAATTCATCATAATTAAAATTATGCAGCCATGGAAATGAATTTACTAATTTAAAAGTTCTATTTAATTTGCTGTTCTTAATTACCAAGGTAGGGTGTTTAGTAATACCTTAATTTTCATATCCCACATACTAATGCATCAATTTTTGAACATCATCAAAAATAATTTGAGGAATATTTTCATTGGATAAATCATATTATTTCTTAGATGTTATATGTAAATCATCAAGAGTCAAGACCAACTTATGCATTTTTGTTTTCATATTTTACTTTTCATAAATATTGATTCTTATAAAAACATATCTATTCAGATTTTGATTTAACACCTGTGCGAAATTATCAATTAACACTACGATTTCTAATAAGCAATCTCCAATTTGAGAAACATAGCAATGTTATAATTATTTATATTGTTTAAAATATGAATTCCATAAGTGTGAGCAATCATCCAATTACAGTAACTACACACGTAATATGCTTAAGAATCTATAAAACTGCTAATTTGAAAATGACTTTAATTAAAAATATTAATAAAGAAGTTCTTATGCAGAATCACTTTATATCAACTATTTTTATTACTTTATAACAAATTTCTTACCATTTAGACTTAATGTCTTTCCTATAATTTATTTCAGAATATAGAACTTTAATTTACATTATATAGCATTTATGAGTTTATCTTTGTTTTCAATCTTAACCTACTACCAAATCTTTCTTTAGAAAGGTCTCCACATTTTTATAACGTCACCTTCCCAAATTAAATAAGAGGATGGCATTTTTATTATTTATTTTTATTATTTCAAGTGGACAACAGTATTATATGATTTCAAGACTTACATTTGAAGACTAAGTGGGACTTAAATGGTTTTTTCTTCAGAATCACCATCGTAATCATATCCAATATATTTTGGTTGTTAAGTAGTAGGGTCTAATTTGTTCGGATCAGTTAACTAAAGAAATATTCTAAGCCTCTCTTCTTTTCTCTTTACTTTCTCTTCTATTATTTTTCTTTCTTTCAATAATTCTTGATATAAATTATCCAATCCTAATATTTGGATGTAATGTAAATCCAATTTGTCTCTTATTAACATACTTTCAATTTATTTCATTCTCGAGATTTCAATGTCCCTTCTTTATTGCTATTTAATTTTAAGTTTATTTCGCTTTTCCTCGTAATACTCTAATTTTAATTTTGATTCTTTTATATGTGCATAACGTCCTAGGTAAGTCAAAGCTTGAATCTTCTGATTTTTGCTTAATCCAAAATATTGAATATAACTAGATAATTCAAAATCAGGTACAAACCACTTTATGAATTCTTTAAATTTAATTACAATACTATCTTGCCATACATTATCATATGGATATGTTAAACGATATGTTATTTCAATTTTTACCAAATCTTTATTGTTTAATATAGATTGGTTAAATGTTTGAATTTATTCTTTTAATATTTATGTCACACTTATCAAAAAATATTATTTATCAATGTGTTATGTTCCAACCATCAAAATCTCTTTTATATTAAAAGGATTGTGATAGATTTTCTAAAATACTTTTTTTTACATCTTGTGTTAATTCCAAAAATATTCAAATTGAAAATTATGAATTGTGGCCTTTCTTTTTCTTTTCCACTAAGGAGACACAGTAAAATGATCATCTTTTTAATATAGAGTTATTATTTTTTACTCCAACTCATTTTCCTGTTCTGGAATCAACTCCAATCCTTCTAAAGCTTAGGTATCAAATAACTAATTTGCAACTAAATTTTATTGTGTATCTAATAAATTTTAGGCTGAATTAGTTGTATTTCCATAGTATGATTACGACACATTTCCTACATTTTTTTTCTTAAATGAAGGAACAGGCTATTGGCTTAATGATACACTATGAGAGATGGAAGGGGGTTGTAGATCATGGTCTTTAGATTAATTATTAGATGAAGTCTAAGATTTGCTTGAAAATGATTAATCGACTTATTGAATTATTGTTTAAGGACGAGTCAAGGTTTTTTGTTGTATTAGATTTGTTTCAATTGTGAATGTCTTTTTAAAAATACTGTCAGATGTTTTTTTGGGAGTGGAGTTTGACTGATTTCTTTGATGATGCACTTTTTGATGCTACTGAAAAAGATTACTGAACCTGCTCATTTCTTATTCTTAAATTGATTATCTCCTTTTTTAAGGGTTTATGATATTTATTAATTACATTCTATTTACATCAGGATCTCTCATAGATTCTTCGAGAATTTAAGGAGATTAAACATTATCATCATCAAACAACATCAAAGGAATTACCGGTGGTTTAGGTGGTTAACTTTGAACTGCTGTTTTAGCTTTAATTGCAAATAGCACTGCATTTTCAGCAGCTTTTAATTTTTATTTAGCTGTTTCATTGCCCATTAGACTTTTAAGGTTTAGATCTATGGAATTTGCTCTTTTATTTATTCTGATATCGTAGTGATTCATAAAAAATTGTAAAGACTTAAAATAATACTATCGCTGTTCTTGTCTCTATTTTTAATAATATTATTGAATCATTTTTCTATTCTTCTTTATTTATACGTCTTTTGTATAATACAGTTTTACTCCAATCAGCTTTCTTTCAATACAAATATGTTTCATTATCACAGATATTAATTATATTATGGATTCTAAAAGCATATCAAAGTATTGGCCTTTATAGATGAGAATTTTAGTTGAATAAGGTATGATTGGGAAGTTCTATTCCACAAATTCTTTTAGAAGACTTTAAAAGAATTATAAGCCTTTCATTTTGGCATACAATTTCCAATTCTTCATTGACAAAACTATTGGGAGAATTATAATGTGAGATTAAAAGCCTTTTTCTATTTCTAATTCGCATAAGAGACTAAGATTCTCGTCCTCATTTTAATGGAGAAATTTAGCTTTAAATTTCAAAAGTTTCATAATTTAATCAGCTTAATCATCGCAAAAAAAGAAGCATTATCCCTAAATGTACTCCTCATAAGACCATTTTTTGTCTATGTTTTAATATAGTTATTCAAAATCTAATAAAGACTCTGAAGATTATTCACTATGTTATTATTTACTAATTTTACTTTATCTAACTGTTGCTTCCTGATTTTTGATTTATTAATTTACTACTTGCCTAACTATTAAAAGAATGATCCTTTTATTTATGTTAGAATAACTATGGCTATAAAAAATTATCCCTCTTGCTCACAAATTTAATAGATTCTACTGAAGATGTATTACTTCTTTGATAGGCAAATTTTAAATCTTTTGATTTGCCTCTCAAAGCAGGAGTTTTATCAGCCAATTTATCGTCATCTTCATGAACAAAACCAACACTAAATTTATTCAAATTGATTTTTTCATTTTTGATATCATAATTCTGAGATTATTTTAATTTAAACCTAAAGTATCTCTAAATCTTAATTATTTTGTCTAAATTATATTCAAACTAATCTAGGTCACTTCTTTTTTGAGTATGATCATCTAATTACAAGCATATGCATACCTCCTGATGTTATCAAATTAATTGACTTTTAGGAAATAGAACCAAAAACTATTTCTTACGCTTAATTTGATTTTTTTGTACTCACTTCAGAATGTTATATTGGCTATTATAAATTTAATGTTCTTTTTTTTAGGTTTAATTCTTAAGTATTTAGTCTTTTTAGTATTTTTTCAACAGGCTTTGAATTGCTTAATTGTGTTTATTAAGAAGATTTCTTATTAGCTGTCACTTAATTTCCTATTGTCATTTATAATTGTTTTGCTAGTCTCTACTATGCAATACTACTCTTCGGCCTTTAAGTCATTAAGTCTTTAAATAAATCATCCTTTATATTTTTGCCACTATTCAATTCTTATTAATTTTAGGTATTATTAAGTGATGCATTAGATTTATTAGTTTTACATCTAAATTGTTAACTGGGAATTCCTTATGGCGTTAATCTATCTTAATTTTTACTCTGTGTAGTTCTATACTGCGTTGTTTCAGTTTTTGTTCTCCCTCTAATAATTCGAATATAAATTACTGTATATTGTTAACATTCAAAAAGTAATAAAATTTATTCTCTCCAGAACTAGATGTTCTAGAATTTATTTTAAAATTGATCTTGGAATCAGTGAATCTTTTAAAGTCTTCTAAGCTTTTCTTTGATTAATGACTGATTCGAAGAGAGGATTTCGATTGTGAATTATTCTTAGCATGCAAAACTAGTTGTCTTTATTATTAGAATAATCTCTATCTTAAATATTCCTTAGAATCAAATTATTTAGTTTATTACTATTACTATTATTACTGTTGCTCTAAATTGAATGATTTTTCTTCTCCATAGAAATCTATTTATGAAACTTCTTAGAAAGGTAGTTTTTTTTTAAAATCTTCTTTACTGAATTCTTCGATTTCTTTTTCAAATTGAATTTCAGATTTAAACTAATTTATTCTCATTATCGTTTTAATGGTCTCTTTATTATTGTCTCCCAAATATTTGGATTGATAGAAATGTATTTAATTATAGTATGACAACTGTTGGTGAATTGAGTTTTTTGTTTATGATTATAACTTAAGCATTTCAGCTATCATATGTATTTATTTTGGTTCAGCTTTATTCTTGAGATTACTTCTTAGGAGTAAAATGCATTCATTGGCAGCATAAAAAGTTCTTTCTTTATTTTATAGTTTTTGCCAGATGATGGCCAAATGATAATACAAATACTCCAGTTCTACGTTTAAAGCCCATTCAAGTGATTTATTATATTATTTGGTGATGTTCTCAATCTATATCAATACATTTAAGCCTTGTTGCAACTACCCATTAATCTCTAATGCTTTACATAATTTAATAGCAGTCATTATCAACAATCTCCAGTATTAGAATTAAATGCTTAATAGTTTTGGAGGTTTTTCAGGTAGAAGCATTTTGAAGGCTTAAATAATAATCCACTATCAATATTACCTTGATTTAGAATTGTAATTGCTTTATGATTGGGTTGCGATTCTGCATAACTGCTGAGAGTCTTACTATATTACAATAATAATCTTAAGCTTTCTTTGGATTAAGACCCAGTGTTTTCTAATGAGCTTTCCAATTAACTTTTTAATTAAAGAATAGTGAACTCTGTTATTTCATTCATTTTATTTATATACTTATTATTTATAAATGAATAATAACATTAAACGACCTACTCATTTCCATTATCCTATAATGATTGCCTTTGTTTAGTAATTGTAGAAACGTTGATAGTAATGAATATTAATTGATCATTTGGAAAAGTAACATAAACAAAAACATAATGAATATCATTAATAGAAAATTAATGGATCAATGTAGAAGAGAGTAATGAACTTTGGGGAATTGATAACAATCATAATTAATTAATTTTGATGATAAATAATTCAAATTTCAATAATATAAGTTATGGTTGATGGAGTTGATTAGTTATAATCTAGAAATAGAAAATGTTAGAATGATAATCTTTGATTACCAATTAGAATAGAGTGGCTTAATTTTAATTTTATTTGGTCAATAATATAGAAAATGAAAGCTTAAATAATTATTTATATATAATAGATTTCCAGTGAATTCATATATATTTTACCAAAAGATTTTTGAGTTTCATTAAAATATCATCTAAGAAGTAAAATAAATGGATGAGCCCTATCAGTGAGAAGTGAGTGCATTAGTATCTTTCTGGGTCTCAAAATGCATACTCAGTAGAGATTTAATGAATTTTATAATTTGCAGTTAAGGATAAAATTTTGTGTCAAATAGATAAAATAAATTGAAATAGATGAGTGGGAATGAATACTAAATATTTGAATTCAGTGATTTGGTGCAAAAAGAATTGAATTTGTTTAAGTGAACTTTATAATAATAATTTATCATTTAAACTTTTTACAACATATAATTAAATAATATTAAATGAGTGAAGCTTCATCACCAGTAAGAGAAGGCTCTTACAAACTAAGAACTCATTCTAATTGTAATTTTATGTTTTCTCGTTCGCTTGTCTAGCCTCATTCAGAAGTATATAAAATAAATATGGGCAGCGCATCTAAATTCAAGGTGATAACGCAATGTTGTTGAAATTTGAAGACCTCAATCAATCCATCCCATTACTAGGTTTGCTATCAAAACCGCATTGCAAATTATCAGATGGAATGGTATATCTAGTAAATTTTATGATTAGACAATTTACAATTAAGTAAAGAAGTATAATTTTTTTTAAGAGTTATTTGATTCAAGTAGATTAAGAAATGATATGGAATAAATCTATCATGTAAGTTAAAGCATTTAAGTTAGTTATGCACAAAACTTCAACTGGAGATTTTTAAGTAGGGCTCTATAATTTTGAGGGAGGGAGCAATCTAAAACGATAAAATGTATTTAATCATTGAGGGCAGAGTATTAATCTTCAAATAGCAATATTCAATAACCAGACAGTAACTCAAAGGTTAGTAAACTGTATCTAAACCTGAATTATAGTCTGATATTTTGAAAAACTATATGAAAAACTATGGAATATTAATAAACGACTTGAATCCAGGTAATTATTTTGGAGAAAGAGCTTTGATGGAGAATAACAGAGATGCTCTACGATCAGCAACTTGCATAGCTGATGTTGATACATATTTGATATCTTTGAATAGAAATGAGTTTTTTGAGGTTTTGGGGTCATTCAAAAAGGATGCAGACTTCAAAAGAGAAGTATTTCAATCAGTAATTCCATATTTTGAAAGAATAACATCAAGTTTAATGATCGAAAATTTAATGTACAGTTTCAATGAGGAAATAAAATTAAGAGACGAAACAGTTACCTAAGAAGGAGAACAAGCGAATACTCTTTACATTTTGTATGAGGGAGAAGTGGCCATAATGAAAAAGCACGAAAATCATTAGATGTTGTTGTGCAGTTTGCATAATCAATAGGTAATAGGGGAAGAGTCATTGTTCGAAGAAAATTACTTTTATACAGTGGTTGTTCATAGTCAATAGGCTAAATTTTATAAAATTAGTTCTTAATCATTTCTATTAAAGGGATCATAATAATGTGTGAAGGGATTGAAGAGTATGATGGAGAAGAAACTGCAAACTAGAACTTTGCTCTTTTAAACCATAATCAAAAAGAGTATTGAACACAGGGAGACTACAAAAATACTAATCAGAAATAGGAATTAAAGCACTTAAGAGGAAAATTATAAAAAGTAGTATTACGGAATAACAAATCGATTATAAAGAAAACTGGACACAACGATTAACAGAGGGAGCAGTATTTTCTCCAGCAATTAAACTAATTAGAGTTTGAATACACAAAATAGTTTAAAGCAGGTTACCAAGTGTTTAGAAGATTATGCTTTGTTTTAGGTGAAATTTGAAGAAAATAAGTAAAAAAGAAATTGTTTTAAACAATCAATATAATATTAATAACTATAATAAAAGTTGGGAATAAATTAAAAGACTGAGAGTAGTTCTCCGTCAAAGTAAGAAACTGAACAGTAAAAGGATTTCTCCTCTAGAACTGACTCAATCTATACACTGAAAAATAAAAATTCTTTGAGTTCTAGAACAAAAAGTGGTTTAATACAGAACTTTCTTTAATTTAACACAATAGATGCGATGAAAAAGAAGTTATCCAATCAAAAGAAGAATTATCTGATAAAGTCAATGAAGCAAATGAAAGATTTGTAATTAATAAAAATAAGATGTTAAACACTTGAATAATGATTTACTATCACAAATTATATTTCTATTTCAAATATTCATATTTCTGCAATTGTGATTTCAAAGTCTCAATGTCATCCTTATCCAACATAGGCATTAAAGATTTGGATTTCTCAATGGGTTTAGATTTCTCTTGATCCTTAATTTCCTTTTTGTTTTCCATAAATTAATATAATTATAATGAGTCTAATTTTAAAGAATAGTGTGGTCTTTCCTATCTTTAAACATCAAGAGACCCTGACCTTCCATCGAAGAGAGTAACCAACCAGAACAACCAAGCGATTCCACACTGTCGCCCCAATAAGACGCTTGGTTTCCTAATCGTCCAGACCCATAAATATGACTCATCAAGGAGAATCAATTTTTGAGAGGAGTCCCAAGGAAAAACAAAAAACCTCCACTACTCCAAGACCAATGCTTTAAAAAGATCATAGTTTATAAGGCTACTTAGATCATTTGAATTCTGTGAGATCATTTAGGTCTCCATTGGTCGGTGATGCAACAATCAAAAAAATAAAAGAGGAAGTCGAGCTCTTCTAAACTGAAAGTCAGACTACCGTACAAAGATTCAAAACTTTAAAAGAACAAGGAGACAAACGTAAGAAGATAAGTTTGTTGGAAACAGTTCGTAATCCCTTGGCCTAATAATATAAAAAGTTCACAGAATAACTGTATAATTTAATTCATAATCTCCATTTATTGAAAGTATGAGTTCACTCTAAAAATAGGATTATTTGAACAATTCAAGAAAACTGTTTCAGGTAGTCAAAAATTAGATCGGAATAAGAAAAAATCTTTACAGAATCCTAATAAATCCTCAGACAGAGGAATTGTATGAATTCTCAGAGATTTCTCGTCTTTGTTGTATTAGAGATGTTTAATTTATTAATGGGGAATAGCGAGTAATTGAGAAATTCGATTTAACCTTAATGGACGATTTAATTTATATGACTGATTCCATAAAACAATTGCTACAGCAAAACTAGTTAAAGGCCATAGAAAGAATGCGTGATAATGTACTCCAATTGATTTTTACAATAGATTAAAGTAGAGAAGAGTGAGATCAACAAACTCAGGGGTTAACTAGGAATGAGGGAGGAAAATCATCAATTGTCCATTGGATCTGCAGCCATGTAGAGATTCAAACCTCATTTAGAATTGGAGAACATTGAAGCTAGATTAGGGTTGTTAAATTAGATTCCCAAATAGGCTAGATGGACATCCTAATTGCTTTGTGATATTGTAGATAGGTTAAATGAATGATTTTAATTAATTATATTTATGAATTATGATTTCATAATTGGTTATTAGAGGCTCAATTGATTGAACCATTGTCAATGGTTTGAAATAGCAATAATGAGATAATAATATATAATTAATGAATTTGCAATTTTAGTTAGAATTAAAGTTAAAAGATTTCGAGTACAGAAAATTGAAACAATAATTGAATGCAATGAAATCAGTTGTAGATGAGAAAAACATGAAGTTTGATTCCATCAAGAAATAATTGGCTGAAACTTTTAGTGCTCTCATTAAATATGTGCAATTAGAATTATAAAATTTAAAAAAAGAATTACTTTGTCTCATTTCTACACAAAAAGAAGAAATACTTCAATTCTAGAATCAAAGGACTTCTCTCCAATACATTCAGGAATTAGAATTGTTGAATCAACAATATTACGAAGAAAAAGAACAATTTAAGATAAGGATAGATAAATTGAATTAGTAGTTGATAGAATCTGAAAAAAATGAAGTTTATCTAATGATGCTAAACTCTAAGTATATAAAGGAGAATGAGTAATTAAATCAGCAATTGCTTTCCAAAAGTAGATAAATGAGTTAAACAGAGCAAAATTTTTATCCAAACAAAACAGGATTCATATCCAAATTTTTAAATAAATATACATGAATTTATATAAAATCACTTAGTACAAATCTATCTATTTATATATGTTAGTGTTCATTATCATTGATTTATTCTATTATAATTTGGATAATTTGAATTTTTAAGATGTTTAGATATAATATTCTTTATGATTATAAAATATAATTAATCATTAATTTAGGTAATTTCCAAAAACTTAGAATTCATTTATCTTCAGATTATTTACATTTTCATTCTTATTTCTAATACTTAAGATTTTATCATTGACTTACCCTTAAAAATTATTAAATCATATTACTAAGATATATTTTGATTTATAATTCAAATAAGAAAAGATAAATATTTTATAGGCAATACGAAAAATACGTCTTCTACTTAGAATTGCTGTGTTAACATAATATTTATATATTATTGCGAATTCACATTTAAAATATTTATATATCAAAACCGATATCCTGGAATGCTTGTGGTAGGAAGAGTTGGTGCATTACCAAACAATGTTTATGGATTTTCACTCTTTTAATATGTCTCTTGTAATTATTAAGCCTATTCGCACTAGAATTCAAAAATTTATCTTTAATATCCTTCCACAATTCTGAACCCTTCTTAAGCACTTTCATAAAGGATATCTTGGTAATGTTTCTTTTCATCTGTTGGCACATTTGGTCTATTTATTATATCACTGATAGTTTGGCTACAACCTGGAAAGTTGTTAGCATTCAGTAATTCATGGGCGGTATTTAATTTTAATCTCAACTCTGATTAAGTGTAATCCATTTTATCTAGATGATTGAGAACAAATTTCAGTTATTGTGCCACTATCAATTTTTGGAATTCCATTTGAAGTGCCAACTAAAAATTAAAAAAGCAAAATTTACTTCTACTTATTCTTAATTGATATTAAAACCGGGAATTGAATGACTATTCAACAGGTAATGACTCTTAATTAAAGAGACGTAATTTGAAATCAGTACTTGTGTAGTAACATTTCTAACCTTTTCAAATGGAATCATCTCTTCTGGAGAATGGGCATAATGACACATTTCTTAATATCTGCAAGTGTTGTTGCTGGCATATTTGCATAATGTTGTTTTGTAATTGTGAATACCCAAGCTTCCAGAGAAATACACCTACAGAAGCTTAGGATCTTGTAAGTTTTGACTTGGTAATTGTGGTAAAGGCTATTTAAATTTATGAATGTTTCTAATACATCATTAGGATTACGCAATTCTCTTTCTCCATGAGCAAAATGACATCTATTCCCAATACTGCAATTTCCTGTTGTTGTCCAATGTTTGCAGAGCGAAGTCTTATATTTTGGATTCATTTGGGGGGGGACCATCATAGCCATCTTTAATTAAGTTATTAATTAATATCATTTTATCTTAACTTGGTTTCCATTTTGATAAATACCTAGAGAGGGAATAATACTTAAATGTAAAAATAGATAATTCTCATTTAAGGGTTATCGATTGTAAGTGATAATATAATAAATTTTAATGAAGAGCATTTTTTTGTTCTCATAGCTCTTTATTATTGTTAACAAACCTAACCAAAACTAATACATAGTTTTGATTGACACAGATTCAGAGACAGCAAGCAATAAAATTAACTGCACTTACCAATAATTAAATGAACTTTACAACCATGCTGATTCTAGCTTAGCCTTATTCCAGGATCCCTAAAATGTTGTGCATTTTGTAGTACAGGATCGCGCATTGCAGATAAAGGAAGAATACTTAGAATGTGCCTTATTTCAGTTACACGAAAGTCATTTAGGTTCAGTCATTATAATACCTATAAATTCTGTCAAAGGGTTCAGTTAAAAGATCACTGAAATTTTGGAGAAAATTAGCGAGAAATATGAAATATTAATTTACATTGCATAACATCCAATGAATGATTCGAGTAACCAAATAAATGAAAAAATTACTCTTGTAGGAAGAGAAAAAATGATTTCTTCTTCTGAGCTTTCAGTTCGTTTAGGAATAAAAACTATTCTTTGAGATACATTAATTAAAATTTTATCGAATTGAATTGGAACCAATTTAAAGAAAGTGATGTAATCTAAAAGGTTATCTGAAATTAAATTATAATTTATTATATTAAAATATGGTGTTTAATTACGTAATCACTGTAGCAATTTCTATTTTTGTGGCCTAAAGTCAATTTTATTCGCTAGAATCGAAGTAAAACTTTTAATTTAAGGTATAGCTATGTGGGTTAACCATTATACTTGGATTATTATTAAGGGAATGTTGAAAGTGGTAATATCTATTACTTTAATATCAATAATTATGGTATCAATAGCTTAACAGATCACTTCATAATAGGAAGTATTAATTTTATAAGATTTAGCCTGGGTGAGGAGCTATGGAAATACGGAGCGGCAACTCATAATGCAAATTAATTAAAAATCAGTCAATGTAGTGCTTAATTACAGGGAGCTTGAAATCTTTACAGATTATTCATATATTGGCCTTTTTGATTCGATATACATCTATGATAGCTATTCTTGGATATACATATATTATAAATAAAATCTAGTGGAAGGATACAAATAAATTTGCTCTATTAACATTTATTATGGACTTTATCCTGAATGCATGGAGTTGCCTGAAGGCAATTACTAATATTTCGGTTTCTATCAATCAACATCAGACTTAACATATTAGTTCTATGATGACTATATAGGAGAGTATTATAATATTTATTCATTTACTGGTTAAGCTAATTCTATAACAGTGAAAAAAATGTTAGCATTAAACTCTGATATTTAAATGATAGATTAAATCACCATATTGTCTAGAGTTGAATCAGAAGTTGTTCTAGATTTAAGAGTTTATGAAAGATATTAAACTAAGATTTTAAAGGATTGGAGCGATTATCAGCATGTTGTACAGATGGGAATCTCTTTGGACTATGATATGTTTGATCCAGAAATAATACCAGGTAGCTAAATGCTATAATTTTCAAATCAGCAATTTATATTGATTGAGAACTTCAAAATTGAGAAAACTCTAACAATAGAATTTTAATTATTGAATAATCCAATAGATGAAAATTCGGCTATATTTACCTTTACTACATAGAGATATCAATTCGATATCATGGCTATCAGAGCTAATTTTCTTGATTAAGAAATTGTTATCTATTATATACAATATGAAATATCTTTCTCCTGCTATATGGATTTTGGAGATAAATTTATGTTGGCGATTGTGGAGTTGTTGGATATTACAATAGTTTTATTTATTTAGAATGAAGAATTGATCTGTTTTTATAATACTTCCTAATAATTCTGGTTGGAAGAAGTAGATACTTTATATATAGGGTCAAACAATAGTAATAAATACATAATTATTAGATTTTAATCTTTAACCATTTTAACTAACTAGTATTAGGATTAGTAATGGGTTTTACTCGCCCTACCAATATATACATAATAATGTTTGTTCATACTCCATAAATTAATGTTTTTTTTGTTTGAATGTAATCAAAATAAGATAATTACTTAGGGATAATATCTGTTGGAAGGGTAATGCTACTCTTCTTGTCCGCCTTACTATGAAGCTAATGAGTAACGAAAAGAATGCATTCCTAAATGCCATCCCACATGTTTGGATTGTGATTCAACCAAGCCTACTATTTGTTTAATTTGCGCTGGCATTCGAGTTAATGCACCGGATTGTAAATGCCCTCCAGGATACTTCGATGATGGAATCTCGCCAGAATGCATTAGTAATGATTATATCAAATCCGAATAGGATATCTACCTGATTAAACTGTTGAAGAAGGCATTTTTTAATTTGAATGTGGTTATTATCAAATGGATACGAAATATTATATTGGCTTTTCCAAAAAGTATTAATCTCCTCCACTTGTGGCAATAAGTCTATTGGGACATATAGACGATTACTCTACATTAGAGTTTTAAACTTTTGTAGATTCAGTATATAACAACTATTTTTTGTTAAGAGTTATTTGCAAATCTGATTATGCTAATTATAAGATCTAGTGGGTGGCTGGTAAGAGTTAAAGATTTTAATCAGTTCTGTAATCAGATGTATCAGGTAATTTTTAATCTGTTTTAATCTCTCATCAATATCAGAATACTGTTTCAGGTGGTATTTTAGGATGGTGCTTGTCATCATTGCTTACAACTTCGATTGATTTGGATTTGGAATATTTGAATATGAACATATTTCTATTTATTCCTAACTAATATCTAAACATGGTGAAATACTAATTCTTTGAATTCATAGGTTACATCTACTACTCTTTTAATGAAATGCTAAGTCAAACCACTTAAGGTAAAGGATTTTCTATTGGAGGGACTACAATTAATTATAACATCGAAGTCTATCCACTAACCATTCCAACCTTATTGTCTATCAAAAGAATATCAACATCAAACTCTTATTCTCCTCAATATTACATTTATCAAAAGAAGAGAGCAGGATCAGTTGAATTCAAGTTTAGAACAACTGGAATGAATACTATCAATTATTTCACTGCTGATCTTATAGAATTCACAGTCGAATGTCTTGATTCATTTAAACCATGCGATTACTTTGAAGAATTGTAAAAGTGCAATCCAATACTAACTGGTTGCTCATGCAGTTCAAAATAATATCTAGACTTAGGGAAAAATGTCTGTGTAGATTGTGATCCCAATTGTTTAACATGTGATATGAATTTTGCAAATTGCAAATCATGTCCAGAAGAATACAAAACACAGCTCATCTAGAACCCTATCACTTTGTATTCTTATTGTGGATGTGCTACCAATTAATTCCAAAATGCAAATGGAATATGCGAAGATTGTGATTCTAATTGTTTAACATGTGATATCACTCCCAATTAGTGTACAAGTTGTGGTCCAAATTAAGAAGTAAATATATCTCAGTAATGTGAATGTGTTTTTGGTTCTATATTAACAGAACTTGGATGTGAATGTATAGTTACTCAATATTTTTAGTGTGTCAATCACCTTGTAATGAATGTGAAACCACAGTGACTAATTGTATTTCTTGTCTATACTCGGGTTAAGTGACCCCATCGTGTTCATGCCCTGTAGGATAAAAGGTTGTTGATGGAATTTGCACTCAGTATTGTCCCTTTTTGTGCCTAGATTGTTCAACTCAAACTTCTTGTAACTAATGTGTCTCTTTATCCTCTTATGATCCTATTACAAATGCATGTGAATGTTAAAATGGATATTACAGCAATGGTTTAGAATGTTTATGTAATAACTTAATTGTGATTTAGTGTGCTAATCCCCTTGTGTAAATTGCACCTCATTAACAACGTGCACATCCTGTATCGATCAAACCTATTATGTTGATATCACGTGTGTATAATGTGTATCTCCATGTTTGTAATGCACTGCCTCTAACAACTGTTTTTCATGCATAAATGACTCATACTATCTGTCAAATAATTTATGCGTCTCTTGTGCACCACCTTGCTTGACTTGTTTAGATCTTAATTTTTGTAAAACTTGTGTTAATGATTCATATTATTACGACGATGCAGCACAATTATGCATAGGTTCTAATTGTTTATTATTTCATTAGTATGCTTATCCCCTTGTTTAACTTGCGAAACAGATACATATTGTAAAACCTGTGTGAGTACCTTGTTTTATTTATCCTCGTCTAACTCATGTTTAAGTATGACAATTATAAATTATTCTATAGATTGTGTTTCCCCTTGTTAATCTTGTTCATCTGAAACTCAATGTATTGATTGTATCTCTGGATACTACATCGATGACAATATGACATGCATACGTAAATTATCATTTTATCTTAAGACTGCGTATCACCATGTACTTTGTGTTCATCTGTGGATTTTTGTAGTGCATGCTTAGATGGGTATTTCTTAGATGCAAATAACACTTGTTAAGGTAACGATATCTAATTACTATCCATTATTAGCATGTGTCAACCCTTGTGTTACATGTCTAAACTCATCAACATATTGTTTATCTTGTGCGGATCCTACAATGACATTAAACCTTGGGATTTGCTCCTGTGCTTCCAATCAATATTATGATTAAACTAATTCTCTTTGCACAAGTATAAATATTTTATCTAACATATTTTAGATTGCCACCCTACTTGTACAACTTGCATCAATCAAAGAGATTGTTGCTTTGCGGCTGAATTCAAATTGCTTAATATTAGTACCAACCTTTGCGATTGTCAAAATGGCTATTTTATGTCATCAGCAACTTGCATATGTAGAATTATCTAAATTATAATAGAATGCACTTCTCCATGCATTAATTGTACTAGTTTATCAGATTGTACCAGTTGTGTTGATGGTTATTACCTATCAAGCACTTCTTGTTTAAGTAAATATAGTTTTTGATTTAAATAGGCTGCTCATCTCCTTGTTTAAGTTGTGTTAATGCATCTAACTAATGTTAAAGTTGTGTTGGAATTAACATGATTTTGACTAATAATGTATGTTCATGCCCAACTTAATATTACATGAATGCTAGTCTGACAGATTGTCTTCAATGTCACCCTACTTGTTTGACTTGTACTGATTCGAGTAATTGCTGTTTTTCTGCTGAATACAAGTTTTTAGATCCCATCAATAATGTTTGTAAATGCATAGATGGGTATTACTTTGATTCGAATGGCGTTTGTTAATGTAATTTAATATTATTATGTTGTAAAATAGAATGCAATAAAAATTGTTTAACTTGCGAAACTAGTGCTACTAACTGTTTAAGTTGTGATTCTAAATTCTAATTGGATGTTTCAGTTTGTAAATGTTAAGATAGTCGTTAATTTATTAATGATTTGAATTCATGCGAAAGTATTAATTATATAATATCCTTTAGATTGTTCAAATAATTGTTTAACTTGTTCAAATGATGCCAATAATTGTTTAAGTTGTGATGAAACTAAAAAATACCAACTTATCAATAATGTTTGTTAATGCAAGACAAATGAGTACTTAAATGATAAAGGAGTTTGCACTTAATGTCATTCGACTTGTGCTTCCTGTGTCAACGGTACAGATATTGGTTGTTTGGTTTGCATTCCTTAAAGAAAGATGAATCCTGAAAATAAGTTATGTGAATGTGCAGTTGGATATTTTTAGAATGACAATTCCGAATGCATAAAATGTAATAGCAAATGTGGGAAGTGTGTAAACGATCATGAATGTTAAACATGTTCTGAAAATAGATCATTACATTCAGATGGAGTGTCATGCATATGTAATAATGGATACTTTGAAAATGAGAAACAAGTTTGTCAAAGTACATATTCAATTATTATTATTAGAATGTTCCCCTCCCTGTTCTAATTGTACAAGTGCATCAGATTGTCTAAGTTGCATAGATGGTAACATTATATAGTAATCTTGAATAGTAAATAGAGAAGTTGTTTAGTCTAGATGTGTATGTTAAAAAGGATTTTTTGAGAATGAGTAGAATTAATGTGAGAGTTGTTCAAGTATAAGAGGAAAAGTGAATGATATTTGTAATTACATAAATTGTGGGGACGGTGAATTAACCAAAGGAGAATAATGTGATGATGGTAATAAAAATAGTAGAGATGGTTGCACAGATTGCAAAGTCGACTCCCTTTTTACTTGTGTTAACAAAATGCTATCCAGATCTATCTGTTTCTAATGTGTTGCCAATTGTTAAACATGCTCATTAAAAGGATATAAAAGTTCATGTGATTAATGTTATAATGGCTATTATCTAAAGGATAATGAGTGTTTAAAATGTTCAGATATGTGCTACACTTGCAAGGACAACAAAACATGTCTAACTTGCAATATCATAGATGCAAAACCTGATGAAAAAGGAATGTGTCCAAAATGTACAAATGTTAAAGGATATTACATTGTTAATCGTAAATGCATTACAAAGTGTGGGGATTCAATTATAGTCGAAGGTGAATTATGTGATGATGGAAACACTCTCGATGGAGATGGATGCAATTCCAAATGCTAAGTGGAAAAGTACTATACATGTAAAGAATCAACTTGCACTAAAATACCACAAGCAAAGGTAGATGCCGCTTATACAAACTCTACTACCTCTGATAGCATGGCTCTAAATTTTCCTATCGATTAAGGCGATCCATGCACCAAAATCAATATTACCATAGATTAATTTCTCCCAACTGACTTTTAATCCTTCATCAAATATGAATAAATTGATGACAATAACTCCAAATGCAATATCGACTTTTCATTCAACAAAACCATTGATCTTGGAAATCTCATACACATCTTCATCCCAGTCAAAGTTAGAACTTCTAGACGTGTACTTGAAGAAGAAACCAGAGAGATTATTATTACACCAAGGAAGAAAATTATTTATTCTCAAAATCAAGTTAAATAGGCTGAAAGTGCTAGTGATGCCCAATCTACTCTTGGAGAATTGATGTATTTTATAGCTCCTTCTGTCATACTATTAGGTGGATTCAACTTCTTTTGGACTATTATGGATATCCTAAGTTGGATCAACAATCTTTATTACATCAATATCTATTTCCCTGAAAATGTTCGGATGTTCTTTCAAAAATCTGCTTGGGGAGACTTTCAATTATTTCCAGCATTTTTTGTTCTAAATGAACCCACTGATCCTTATTACATTGAGAGTCCTAAGAAGTTCATGGAAAAAGGAGTTGATCCAATATTCCTCAACAACACTTGGACTTGCTTTGCCATCATAGCTATTACAATTGCCGTTCAATTGTTTTCTTGTGTCGTATTATTCATCCTAGAATGTATATGGCCTCCTATCACTTAAAAAACCTCATCGTTCTCCAATAAAATCTTTCAATTGCATGAAACCAAAGCTTCCCCTAACAAATTCAATTCGAATTTATTTTCTAAATAAAAAAACCAATAGGCTCCTGTAGAACTAATACATCAAATAATTATCAATCCCAGAAGGAGATTCCCATATCTAATTGACAAGATCTACTAGCCTTTACACAAGTTCAAGGTGAACTTTCTATCCAATTTCCTTAAGTCCCTAAACTTAGCCTTTTTAGACTTGGTATTAGCCATCATACTACAAATCACCACAGTACCTAGCAGTCTTATGGATTATTAAATTGTATTCGCGAATCAAATCTTCTCCTATGTGAGCATCAGTGTCTGTGTCTTCATTCTGATTGTTTCCTATTACGTGACAACCAAACACCATATGCTATTGGATCATGAGATCTTTTAGAATTAATATGGCACTTTATATGAAAGCATCAACACCAAATCCAGCACTGCTATGATGTACTCCTTCATCAATCTGAACAGAAAGGCCTTATTCGTTATAGTAGTCGTTTACTTTTACTATTAACCGCTACTATAAACAGTATTCTGTTGTTTCATCAGCTTTTTGAACATAGCTTTGATCATCTACGAAAATCCTTTCACATCCAACGCTGAACTGATTTAAAATGGAGTTCCTGACTTCTGTATCTTTGTTTTAATGCTCCTATCGACAGGCTTTGCGCTTGATGACATAGTAACATATTCATTTTAACTCTAGATTGGTTTATTAAGTGCGGATCAAAGATTTTAAATAGGATGGTTGATGATTGGAACTATTGGGTTGTCAATATTCGTGTAACTCGTCTTTTTATTGAGAGAGTTTGTAACAGATTTGTAAGAGAAGTTCTTAATTGTTTTTAAAAAAATCTAGGATTGTTTAAAGTCTAAAAATAAATTATGATATTTATTCACTATTTGATTCATATAAACATATTACATTACTTTTTTTCATTAATTTCTAAAAATAAATGCAATGCAAAATAAATTTATTTAATTTATAAATCAAATAAATATAGGGTTATCAATACTGTTCGTGAAAATTTGAAAATCTAGAGATTTCTTAAAGCTATGAGGTATCAACACTTAGAGATGTTTAAGCAATTTTGTTTAGTTCAGAGGATTGCAACTTCTAATCCATTAACTTGTGCTTCCCTACTATTTATGAGTCATTCTAAAATTCAGCGTAGAATTCTCCTATGTTATAATTCAACGGTCTCGTCTTCTTTTAGTCCAAATATTTGCAAACTCTATTGATTTTACTGGGAGAGAAGTGCTTCTTTTTTTGTGTCTGATTTATATATTAAATTTATCTTTGAGTATTGCTATAACGCTTTGTAAATTGAGTAGAATATTAAACATCTTGCTCCAAGATCGGGGGAATGTATTTGGGCTTCGCATTTGGTACTTACTCATACGACGTCATTTAATTGGTTTTGTTTTGAATAACAAACTACAATGGTTACAAGAGATTGCTGAATTTGGGTGGCAAACTCTTTTGATTCTCTAGTGATTTAATTGAATTCAACAACTTTGAAAATTGTTTATCAAAAAATTGTTTATTTGTAATTTAATCTATCTATCATATTATGCTACTTTACTAAGTTGAAGTTGTAATGATAACTAATCGATCAACAAGATTGTCATTTTATTGACTACAGAATTATATTCTTATTCAAGTTTTTTACAATTAAATCCACCATACATTTTGATATTGACAATAAATTTATTTTAAAGAATAATGATTAAACTTTTAAGCAGATTTGCATTCAATACAATAAAAGTATATCTTTCAAATATCCCCAAGCAACCTTCCGTAGCAGTGTTCAATACCAAAAAATATGACGTAGACTACTTAACAAAAGTCAACACAAGTCTCCCAGAAGAAAAACAAGTCAAATTATCATTTTTTGCAGAACAATTAAATGAAAATAGTGCTAGACTTGCACATGAATGCGACACTGTTTGGTTAGTACTTCTCCTTAATATCCCTAACTAGTTGTTTTGTAAATGACAAGGTCTCTGCCCAAGTCTTAAGAAAGCTATCCTCACAAGGAGTGAATCTGGTGGCTCTAAGATGCGCCGGATTCAATAATGTAGACCTAAAAGAAGCAGACAAACTCGGAATCAATGTTGTGAGAGTCCCAGCCTATTCTCCAGAGGCAGTTGCAGAATTTTCCATGGCTCTCCTTTTGTCTCTCAATAGGAAGATTCATAAAGCATACAACAGAACAAGGGATCACAATTTTGCTTTGGACGGACTCGTTGGATCGAACTTACATGGGAAAACCATCGGGCTGATTGGTCTGGGAAAAATAGGAATTTGCTTTGCCAAAATTTGTAGAGGGTTCGGGATGAATGTTGTTGCTTACGATCCCCATAGAGATCCAAAACTGGCTGAATCCTTGGGATTTACATATGTTGATGAAAGCGATATCTTTTACTAAAGTGATTACATCTCCTTACATTGTCCATTGACACCTTAAACCAGACACATTATCAATGATCATTCAATAACGAAGATGAAGGAAAATGTAATGATTATAAACACTGGAAGAGGAGCTCTGATTGAAACCAAAGCAGTTGTTAACGCATTGAAAAAGAAAAAAATCGGAGGCTTAGCAATAGGTATAAATTTAAATTATTATTTAGATGTTTACGAATAAGAAGAAAAATTATTCTTTAAAGATGTAAGTCAGGAAGTATTGACCGATGATGTCTTAGCCAGATTGCTCTCATTCCCCAATGTCATTATCACTGGACATCAAGCCTTTTTCACTCACGAGGCTCTGATGAACATCAGCCAAACAACCCTAAATAACATATACGAATTCAAAATCAAAGGATCCTGTGTAAATTAAGTCCACCCATAATGAGATATTACATAAATATTATATTAAACGATATTCCAAATTCATCTCTAACTATATTCATTGATCATTATATCAACAAATTCATTTTTATTGACAAACCCTTTTTTTAAAATAGTCTAATATTATTGATTTATTTCCTCCTCTGATTTTGAAATCCCAATTATCTATAATCCCTATCTGATTGAATTAATCTTGACAGTTTTATCATTAAATGTATCAAAATGTTCAAAAATAACCTCATAATCAGAAGTATCAAAGAAAGTCTAAGTTTTATGATTTTTAAGAGTATCCAATAGTGTTTTTCTCGGTTAACTGCTCATCTCAAATATTAATTAAGACAATAATTCCTAAATGTAATCATCTCAAGCTTTACTTCGAATAAAAGCGATATTTTATGCTTCTCTAAGTATTGTAAGGTTTCTGAAACTCGATCTCTTTAGATCTCATTCAAATGAGGGTTATTTTGGAACAACTTTTCTAATAATTATGATGCCATATTTTCTAATTAAATAATAATATAAAATATTATAATTGTTAAGTTTCCAAATCAAATTTGATACCTCTGAATTTTTAGATAGATTTATTCTTTAAAAAGTACTACCGAATGTAATATTCTAGACTAATCCTATTGAGAGAGTAACTCCTATTTGTAAACTGGATTTATTGCTAAATTTAACTCAATGTAAATTATCAAAAATTTCATTATTGGGAGTGTGAGATTAGATGATAATTTATGCTGAATAATTTAAAGTAATTCTATTATAATATTAAAATGACATTTTATTAAATTATTTTCCTATTTTAAAATAAACCATTGAAAAATATGAATTATCTCTTTTTTTAAAAGGATGTAAAAATCATTAATAATTATTGTAGTGTTTGAGTTTGAACCATTTTTCTTGGAGAAAGTTTTGTTAATTTCTAATTTATTTTTCACCCTCCTCAGTATTTTCCCCAATTAATTATTATTAATATTGTTCTAATTTTACTTGTTCTTAGAGCGGGATTAAATATCATAGGATAAGGATTGAATGGATTAGGGTAGAATATTTGTGCGACTCATTGGAAATATTTAGTATTAGTGATAAGAAATATAAAATTTGCTAAATTTAAAAATAATAAGCAATATTCTAATTAATTATCTAATCATTACAAGCTTGGGAGGGTTCTTGATTGGGTGAAATTTGGATTTAAAATATAAGATTATTGAAATTAAATAGTAAAATCGCAAATCGTTTCAAGAAAAGGGATTGTCGTTAATTCTGGTTAAGAATTGACAGGGATTAATTATGAAAATGTAATTGGAAGATGATAAGATAATACTATTGAATAATAATAATTTATTAAATTATATGGGAATAGTTTGTTGTTCAAACTAGGATGTTGGGAGGTTAAATCTGTAAGGAGATTTTGGATTGATCCCTACAGACGACATATCTTTGGATGAAACAAAAATTATCAAAATTCAAACAAGTGTTAGATGTAATTGTGCTGCCAATAAATTTAGGTTATTTAAAGAAACAAAAAATAGTGGAATAGCAAGTTACTCTTATCACTCAAAATTAAGTGGAATCTAATTTTACCCAATAAAATGTCTCAGTGGTAGAAATGATACCAAAAGATGCACAAAAAGTAGAATGGCCTTTAAATTTGCATTTATCTATACAAAATAAATTGAAAGAATTGATTCCCCTTCAATAGAACAGCTATCCTTGTTATTTATTGAATGATGGATGCCAATACCAAGGATAATTTTTATAGTTTTAAAAAGAAGGATTTGGTAGGTAAATAGATATTGATGGCACTTTGTACGAAGGAACGTTTAAGAGGGATCAAAAGTCAGGCAAGGGAAGACAAATTGGTTGTGATGGGAGTTTGTAACTAATGAATTAATTCTAGATATGAAGGGAACTTCGAAGATAATGAATTTAATGGATATGGGGAATTTTAAGATTAAAATGGATTCATCTATAAAGGAGAATGGAAACAATAATTGTTTCATGGTGAAGGACATGAAATTAATTAATAATTCGAATATAAAGGCGGATACAAATTTGGACATCGTCAAGGATATGGGGAGATTACATATCAAGATGGAAGCAAATATTTGGGAGAATTTTAGAAAAATAATTATGAGGGATTTGGTATCTTTTTGTATGAGGATGGAAGAAAAGTAATAAAAATATCCAATTTAGTATGAAGGTTAGTGGGTAAATAATTAAATGCATGGAAAAGGTACATTCACTTGGCCAGATGGACGTGAGTATTCTGGGAATGTAAATAAGTATATGCCAATTATTTTAGTATTCCTTCGACTTGAAGGAAGGATTTGGAATTTTTAAGTTTCCAAATGGAAGCAGTTATAGAGGAACATGGAAATAGGGAAAGTAACATGGTCATGGAGTTATGGTGTCTGAGCTAGGAGATTAAAGGGAAGGTGAATGGATAGAAGGGCGAAGGATAAAGTGGAGATGATTAATACTTAATTGATTTAATTAGCTTCTTTTTTTTTGTATTATTTATTAATAGATGAAAATTCAATAATATTTAACTAAATGAAGGCTCTGTTCTCTTATATTTGTTACAATACCCACATGTGAAAACTTGAAGAAAACTCAAAACTTATATTAGGGATTAATGTGAAACTTATAAAGTTATTTATATTGCAAAATTTAATTTATGATTAAAACAAAATTTATATTTTAATAGAATCAAGATTTCAAACTCATCTTCTTAATCCCCATTGATTTTTAGCCTATTCTAATAAAAAATGATTATTTTTTTGGCGAATTTAATATTCATATAAATTAGCAATCAGAAATAGTAAATACTAATAAATTAAATATATAATAATTATAATAATAATTTTATAATTATAATTTTAGTATCAATATTTTAATCTAATGAGGAAGTGATCTTCTGAGGCTTTTCTATGCAAATAGAGAAGATCCTAATAATAATATTTATAACGATATGTTTATTTATATGCTAAAAATATATAATTTTCATTAGCTCTACAATTCCTATTCCTATTGTATTTCTGTTAGATTCTCGATATTAGAATTTTATCTTTGTCTTTCAATTAATTATGTCTTAATTATTTCATACATTTAATCTGGATGATTAACACTTTGAGATTATTCTAACTATAAATCATCATAAGCCCTTTTAGTTCTATACACTTCATTTGGCAATATATGTAGTGGTTCAGACACGAATTGTGAGAATGTTTATTACAATTCTGGTACCTTGTTAAATATTGATAAGTTTCCAAAAATGTATAGACCCAATTTTGCTCTTGAAAAAGCGACCTATTGGAATATATAATATGTTTTACAATGATTCTCCTAATATCTCTTAAGTAACCTGGCTGAGATGTTCTAACCATTGATATCAGAATGATGTCATTTTATTATCCTTAGAACTTATCCACTGTTGTAATCTTTTCAGGAGTTCTAAAAAGTGAATGCCAGGAACACTTTCTTGTAATAATATCCTTAATGAGCATCTTTTGCCCATTGTAAGTAGTTAAAATAGTGATTTGCTTTGGATCATAACCTCTCAAGACCAAATACATGTAACTAAGGAATATTAATAGATGATTACGTAGCAACAATGAATTCAGCTTCGACAATATTCTAGTAGAAATATGGCATAGGTTTATTTTCATAAACTCCTTTGTAATCGACATCAATAAATTAAAAGGTTTTGCAAAATCCAGCATTGGCATGTCCAAATTAATTATCTGATGATGGATGACAACATTACAATGAATTTAATTCTTTATATTTCCAAGAATACAACTTCATAATTTCTGGTCTTGTTCTGCCTTGATCTGTAAGTTGATGATAAAATACTCCTAATCTAATCATTCTTATAAAAAAGGATTATTCCATGTTGGCTAATTTTTAGAAACTAACATTCTTAATAACAGGAGGCAATTGATTATGATCTCCAATCATGATTAATCTCTTGAGTTTTCCAGTTAAGGACATAGTCAAAGGCAAGAAGGCTTCAATTTCTAATATCTATCCAGCTTCTTCAAAAACTATGTTGTCATATTAAAAGTCTTATTCACAGAAACTATTTCTTTTAAGAGCAGCATGAGTGCAAGTCATGGCTACAATTTTGGCTTGGTGACAAATGATATAATTTCCTCTTTCCTTTTTGTTTCTCAACAACTCAAATGGTCTACACTCTCTTACTTGTTCAAATATGTCTTCAATTACTCTATATTATTCTTCCCTTGTTTAAGCCTTCTCAAAGAGCTATGGATTTTATTCGACAAATGTATTAAAAGGAAATACCATATTGGGGTCTGATTGGACCTTATCTTTATAATTATCCCACAGTCTTTGAATATGTAATTTAAAGAAAATCTCTGAGACCTCACAAGAGTACTCTTCTGAAAACATGATTTGAACACTTTTTTAAATTTTCCCAACAATTTCTAACAATTGCAATCTTCTTGTTAACATATGATCGATTCTCCCTTCCCTTGAAAAAGTCTTACTTAACTTTAAGTCTTTGACTCCAATACCTAATCTTAACATATGTTTCTCATCTACATCCATTTTTGATATTTTTTAAAAGATGTCATTCAATGCATGATTGGAATGAGTAATCAAAAGAGTTTTTTCATTTGGGAAGTTTTTATAGAGTAGATTCACAATCTAAACAGTTACATCTGTTTTACCTGTTCCTGGAGGACCAACCACTAATGTCAGTCCTGGATACATTGCTGAAACTATTGCATTCATTTAAGGCTTAGTGAATCTAATGTTGTTTACTCTCTTTCTAATATTCGCATTACCAAAAGTAATTCTCGATTTCAAGTCTTCTGGAATGAATGAATTTTATTAGATCACATCATCATAGTGTTCTTAATCAATGATGGTATCTCTAAGGCTGAAATTAACACTATTTGTGTGATTCTTCATATAATATTAGGATGAAGAGATGTCTTCAACACCATATCCCAAAAGAATTTCATCTAAAAATTAGGGTAACTCAGGTTTCTGCATTATGACTTATTAGATTGATCCAAGGATTGCTTTGAAGTTATTTTCTTTTGGATTTCTTTTAACCAACAATTTGAAATTCCCATAGATTTCACCTTCTGCATTGATACCAGCTAAAACAATTAATTTAATTTAATACAATCAATGTCGTCTTGGTATTGCGCTGGATCCAAAAAGACGTGAAGAATTCTTAAATTCCCTTAGAATTTCTTTGAGGGATCTGGTTCTTCCCAATCTAAGATCTCTCTCCTTCTTTCATCATATACCAATTCTATTTCAGCTCCTCTAATTGCTCTAATACCATATTTTTCACAAAACAACTTGCATCCCTCATTCTCCTCAATCTAATCTATTAGATTCTATCTCTCACTTAGTTCACTCTAAAATTCCTACATATCGATCTCTTTTCTAAAACTTATCAAAAATACAACTTGATGTTTCTTTAAGCTATCCCAATCCTTCCTTACATTCTATGCCATCCTTTCAACTGAATATTGTATCTCTCCATATACTCTCCTTGGGATTCTCTTACCGATTTCAGGAGTCTATACTTCATGAATCCTGAACTTAATCACTTCTGTTGCTGCCTTAGCCCATCCACTGAAGTAAATAAATGCTCCATTTTAATCAAACTTTGGATCCATTCTGATTATTGTGTCCTCAAAATCCTTTCTCAAATCAAATGCACTTTCAAGTTTAAATAATTTATAATTTCTTTCTAAGTAATCCTCAAAACACAGAAACTATAGGTTCAATTTGGGCAAAGCCAAGACTTATTTTAATACTCCACTTTTAGATTCTTCAGGGATGTGTTTATAATCCCAAATCATCTATTCATTAGGTATGAGAGGAGTGTCTTTGAGATAATGGTTTAGATAAGGAGGAGGTGCAGCAGCTTTCATTACTTCTTAGATAAGAAAATCAAAGTTCTTTCCAGGTTCATACAATTTAGGTTATAAATCAATTGGGAACACCAATATCATCATCTAGAATAGTTTCTCTATTTCTGATCTTCTTAAATTTTTGATGAATTGATATTCTTCCAATTCTTTTTGCTATACCATGAATTTAAACTATTTGTAAAGCACTGTCTGTAATTTCTTTAAGAAATCCTTCTACATTACTTACTAATCTTTTAGTGAAAGCACTTCTCCATCCTAATCATTTATTGGATATGTTAAATAATGCTCAAATGATTAAACCAAAGTCTACAATACACATGAATGATATTAAGGCAATGTGCATTTCAAATAGGGTAGTATATTTGTTGAAAGCAAATAAATCTTTAAGAACTTCCTTGTTGGGATTGAACTCAATAACAAAATCATAAAATCTACAAATTTCTCAATACATTTAAGGTATCTCATTTAAGTCTGTGTCACTTTTCTGTACAATAATTTTTCATTCTATGCTTTGATAATGTGTTTAGGAGTCGGAAGTGGAGCAGAATTTCTCTCTAGAAATGTTCTAAATTGATTTTAAGATTCTATTTGTATTAACTCTTCGTTTTCCTTAAAATTTGCCTCGCTAATTGGATACGAAAATATTATTTAAATCATGTCCTACACTATATTTGGTATGAACAATGATTCTGGCTTCTAACTACCTCCTTGGACCTTCAAAGCACTCATGTAGGATTGCACCATCTTTGGGTATCTCAAGAAATGCCACTTCAAGAACTATTGATATACATATGATTTTATACTATTTTGTTCGAACTCAATAGTAATGCTGAGGATAAATATTTATAACATTCCTTTTGTACAAATTGAGTCTCTGGCATACAAAATAATTGCATTAAAAATGTATAAACTTATTATTTTTCCTCCAATTATAAAGATTTAAAATCTGGTAATCCTTTCGTTACGTAGTTAAATATCTTCAAAAGGATCTCTTAATCTTGAAGACTATCCTAGATGTTGATTTGCTCAAGCTATTTTAAGTTTAAAATCGCAATCGTAGTAAATACAAGCTCTTTTGATAATCTACTTATTATTCTAAAGATACTATTCATTATTCTTTATCTGAGGAAACAAGTAATTCTCCAATAGCCATTCCTTCTCCCATTGTCTCAATATTGCAATATTAAACTATTGGCTCACCATGGACTCGTAAATCTCTTAGATGTTTATGTTGCTCTCAGCTTCTATTTGCATAATTAAATTATTTATATATAAATATCAAATAATTCGTTCAAATGTCATTCAAAAAGAAATTATCGAACAATTTGACAACCATGATCAAATAAAGATACACATAATTATAAGAAATGAATAAAACACATCTTACCCACAGAAGATTCTCAATCAGCTGACCTGAAATGAGCCGAAATAATAAAAGTAAAATAAAATCATTTAACTTAATTAATGGAATAGTATTATTTACTTTTCTACACATTATTTCAATTTAGTACTAATTGCTATAGCGATCTCTATTGTTCTAACTAACTTCTAATAATAATTAGTAAATTTTTTATTAATATTATTAATAATTTCCTATATATATTTTAAGCATTATTGCATTCTATGAGAGAAAATTATTTAATGGTTTCTTTATTCACGATTTTGATTGAGGCTTCCTCATTTTAATTCATTTTATCTAGGTAGAAAAGCAATTAAGACTCCATATAGTTATAAGTAAATCTACCAATTAAAATTAGATACACTGTTAATATGAAAGTATATGCTGAATAAACTTGATTCGCAACGACATGTTTGATTTATAAAATATAATATATCATTTTGATTTAATAATGATACTTCAATTAAAAAATAATAAGAAAAAATTATACCAAGCAAAGTAAATGAATATAGTCAATGATATAATTTCAATAATTTACACAAGGAAGACTTGACACTCGTATTTAAGGACTCAGCTTTATCGAGTTTTATCTTTTTATTTGAAGCTGCAAACAAATGTTTGGGATCGCTCAAAATACCTTATGTGATTCTGGCTTGTAATAAATTTTAACTAGATGCCATGGGCCCTTTGATTGAAACTCTGGAATTAGAAATTTCTTGCATGGTTTGTTCTCTGTGGCCAATATCTTAACATGATATTTTTGTATCACTCGATTAAGTGAATTTATTGACTTCCTTCACAAAATAAACATTGATTTTATCATTCTAGAAGATCACTTTTGGAGAAATCTTCTTATATAGAGCCCCTTCCTTAATTATGTTACTCTCTTAAAAATCTCTTTGGGTAGTTTTTATTAATTTCTATGACGTAGATTTCATTAAAGTATCCCCTAAACCTATGGAATAGTACTAATAATTACTTTTAGTGTGTCTGTGTTTTTTTGGAGAGCCTTGACGAGTTGAAAAATAAATCTTATCCTGATTCTAATTTACATCTTGTTGGTTAAAATTGATAACTTAAATTGACGATTTTCTAGTCTAATTTGAGGACTAGTTTGTTTCCTAATTCAATGTCAAAGTTGTCCTTGTCCTTTTACTCATTAATAGCTTATTTAAGCCTTATGAATTTTTCATTCAATTTTATATTAATCAATTATAAAATATCAAAAGTTAATAATTATTCTTTCTTCAATAATGTTGGGAATTATTAATTTGATTTTAGCTATCATGTGTGTGTTGAAATTTAGCACATTTAATGAAACCATACATCCTTAATTTATTAATAATTATCAATTCAAAATATATATATATAATAATAGAGCCAAAATTTGGATATAATTTTAGTATGATTTATAATTTATTAATTAAGAATACCTTTGACTATTCTTAAGAAACCTATCAGGAAGTTTCAGGAATTCTAGTTAATGAATTTATTAAGCATATATGATTGGTTAGTTCATTATGGATTATTAGGATTAGGGGATGGAGCACTCTTATAATTAGTATTACTTAAATCATAAAGACGTAGTTATGTAAACAACACAAAAAATATTCAATAATTCTTATTCTTCATTTATTGACTTTTTCTTATGAGTGTTTTTTGAGAATATTGAATAATTAACAATAGGCATCTTTGATTTAAGTTTCATTTTTTGCACCAGTGAAGACAATCTTTCCTGAATAGAAGATTAGGGCAGCGAGTTTAGGATTTTACATCTTATAAATCAATCCTGGGAATGCTGATCGCTAAGAGAGGATAATTGGAATGTGTACATCATAGCTGATAGATCCTTGTAAACTTCTGTCATCATGTATTTTCATCAGATTAACTTCATAAGGCAATTGGCTGTTGGCTACTATGTTACTAGTTTAAATATCGCCTATTTCTATAGTAATCCTGTTGTTCTTCTCTATCTGTTTTCTAAACTTTAAATAAAATGCTTTTTTCAAACTTTTTTAGCAGCCTCTTCTGCCTCACTCTAACCTTTGGTACCTGTTATCACCATCTTACCCGCTTCAAATATCAGGGCAGTTGACTTGGGATCTTTTATTCTCTGAATCAGAGCAGGAAATCGACCTAAATAATTTAAATATAAATATCTACTTTTTTTGTATTCACAATTCTGTGATGTATGTGCCAGGTTGTCCAAATCAAGTTTATCGATTTCTTCTCCTGCTTTCGTCTTCATTTTCAAGATCACCGTGCTGACCACATTCTAGATCTTTGGTTCAAATGATTCTTGTAATGAATTGTTTTTTTTTATTTGCAAGTATTCCTATTAAAATACATAACAAAAGATCACTTTTTCAATTTCTTTCTTCTTTTCCTCAGTATATTCATGAACATCTGTCTTGTTTTTCTTAATGTGTTTTGATTTTTTAGAAATCTAAAAAAAAATATAAAGTCATGTGATATTGAGATAATATAATCGTAATTTTAGTATTAAAACAAGGTTAAGTTACCTAAGTGTTCTCTGGAGGCATTGAGGAAATAAAAGTTAAAAAAATTAATTTAAATATAAGAAAAAGATTTAAAAACCCCCTCTGGCTTAAGACTGCCCAAAATTCTGATAAATTCTGTTGATCCATTCATAGAAGTCTTATGCAAACACATCTCGAATGAATTCTCAATTTCACTTGAGAATAATTATGTTTTTTCCTAAATAAAGAGTGTTTTGAATAACATATAGTATTTTATTTTAATTAATACTAATAATTAAAAATTCAATAAGGATGCGAATGATAACATCCAAAAGAATACTGTTTACCTGTTCACTAATATTAAATGATGATAATATATAACCCTATTTACTGTATGTTATTTGTATGTATTATTAATATACTATTGTTTTCATGATCAATCAAATAAACCTCCCATATCAACATCTTCTTCTGGCTCTTCAACTTTAGCTGGGGCTTATTGGGCAGCTGGTTTTTATTCAACTTTAGCAGCTACTGGAGCAGCGGCAACTGGTGCATTAGATTACTTAATTTGATCAAAGATGAATCCACTTTATAAACCGATAGCTGCTAAATCTTTAAATGCATTTGCCAACACATATGGAGCTGAGGCTTCATTGACCCAACCTATATTAGAAATTAAAATTGAATAAGTACCATTATACAAAGAAATAGCTGAAATATTTTAGACGTTCTATTGGAATTTAGCAACGATGTCATTCAAGTTTACTGAAACCTATTATTTATTCAAAATTGATCCGTTATCATAGCATGATAGAACTTCCATACTAACTATAGAATTAATTTAGTACCCATATAAAAATGGCTTCTTTCCTAATTTCTACAATAAGACAGCTTGGGATTAACCAACTTTTTAGCCTGTTTTCAAGACAACAAAGTCTTTGGTGATTTAGATTTAACCCTTTTCAATTTTGGTTGGGATTTAGAGTGCATGGAAGAATTGAATTGAAGCTGGATCCATACCAGTTGGGCCAGGTGGAATAACAACATCAATTGGAGCAATGGCACCAACTCTTGCTGGGGTTTCAACTTTATTTTCTTCGATGATTGGCTTGAGATCAAAGACTGGAGTATCTGTAAAGATGAATCCAACTTTGCCTGCAACTTAGTTTTTCAAGGAGTCTAATTCTTTGATTGCATTGCCGAATTTCTTCAATTCTTCATAATATTCATGAGTATCTGGCAATTCTTAAACTCTTGTAGCCAAGACCTTTTTGAAGAGAGTCTAGAATATTTAATAGAACATCTATACATTCTTGCCAATAACTAAGAGGGCATTCTTCTTAGCCAAAATTCTTCTAATGTCTTACACTTGTTTTGATCCAACATTTGCTAATCCGACGATGATGACCTAAGTATACTTGGACAACAACTCATAGATCTTTCTAAAGGAAGATATCAATGATCTGCTTACTTGAATTGTGCTGGCTTCTTATCCTTTGTTTCCTTCTTGCCCATTTATTATTTATTTAAATTAAAAAAAGATTTCAATTTTTTCATAAACCATTTAAGTATATATATATATAAATTTCATTATTTCTTAAATCCTCCATTCAAGTAGTGATCTCAAGCCATTTCATTCGCTTTCCTTCCTTCCATATCCCATGTTTCTGAGTCCCATCTGCAAATACAAACAATCCTTAACCATGTTATTTCCCCTAACTCCACATTCCATCGTATTTCTTCCCATCAGCCCAATAGTAAATGCCATGTCCATCCTTTTTATCATGTTTGTACTGTCCCTCATATCTTCTTCCATCTTTCCAAGTGTAAACTCCATAGCCATTCATACAATTATTCAACCATTCTCCATCATAACCTCTCTCATCAGCCCAACAGTAAACTCCATGACCAGTTATTTTATTATTCTACCATTCTCCTTCATAATATGAACCATCAGGCCATTCGTATCTTCCACGTCCTTGTTTCCTCCCTCGATAATATTGCCCAATATATTTAGAGCCATCAGTCCAGATTTCTTTCCCTAAGCCATGCTAAAGATCGTCCTTCCATTCTCCTTCATATCTTGATCCATTGGAATGTCTATATATTCCTTTTCCGTTTGCCTTGTCTTATTCCCATTCTCCCTCAAAAGTGTCACCATCAACATGATAGAATGTACCTTTCCCACAAGTTCTATTGTTCTTCCATTCCCCAATATATTTGGCTCCATCTTTCCAAATCTGAACTCCAATTCCTTCTCTCAAATTTCCCTTCCATTACCCTTCGTATATGGCTCCACTCTTAAATTAATAAGGTGCTCTCCTTTCTAATGAAGCATCGTTTTTCAGAGCAGGTAGATTTATAACTTCAACACTTTCCTATAAATAGTTTTTATTAGCACCCTGTATCACAATTTTTTAAACAATCTTCTTACTATTTTATAATTTCTTCTTTCTAACTAAGTATCCTCTGTAATTGCTCTATATTTTAATTGCAGCTTTGATTAATTTGTCTTTATCATTACACAGTTCATTAAATCTGGCTTATTCTTATTTTTTTGAACTCGATACAGAATTTTGGTTATCACTAAAATTCTTACCCTAATCTTTGTTAAATTAGTTTGACTCACCATTTGCCTTTTTACTTGTGATAGAGCCCTTAGATTAATTATTGTTGTTTCTTATTTCACTATGATCTAACTTACATTTAGTTTACATATTACCACTACTATTTCTTTTTCTTGTTAACTCGATTTGGCATTATTACATTCACATTAACCGCACTAATTGCCCATCTATTTAATCAGAGTTATGATAATTATTAAATGTAAAAATTCCAAAATAACAGATTCTTAATTAATCAAGATTTTGTAAAATATTATAACAACTATTCATCCTGGTCAAATAGGGTTACATTTAATTATATAGACTTGTAGACATAGATAAAATAAAATCATAGCAAATATTATTATTACTTCACTTAAGAGGGCTGAAATATTTTTGTCGCATGAATTTAAAACTAATCTGAAAGTTTATTTTTTTAGACTTTTGTGTCTAATTGATTAGGAATCACCGCTGAATCTTGTAAGTAAAATGGCAAAGGAGTCAACCTTTCATTTGGACTCTCGAACAAGGATGACACTGAATCTTTGTGAAATTCGTTAAAGACTTTGCAAATGTACTTTATCACTGCCAATTCTTCTTTGTGTTGTTCATTGTTTGGTATAATTTACATTACTTTGCAAAGTAATTAATACGAATTTTATGCCTTCACATTAATCGAAATATCGTGATTATTAATTTGCTATATGGATAAATCAATTATTTACATTCATAATTTAGAGAATTCGAAGTTTTAGTTATGTTTGCAAATGTATTTGCTCATTAAATTTGATTTATATTTATTTTTATTAATTCTGGAGATCCTTCAGAGTTTCAGTTAACTACTGGTGTTCAGCCTCGTATATCTGTGGCTTTAAATTATTATCTTAATTGCTCAATTCTTCCAGAACTCTCAATTTATTGTGGCTGATAATGTTTATGAGCTAATCTCTAGACTTTCATATATAGATTTACTTGTCACCTCTAATAAAATGACGATGAGAAAACACATTCACATTTCTGCGAATCTTGGATCTCTTGAACCCATACAAATTCAATTGTCTAATCATACATTAAATTCGAATCTTACCTTATAAAACTGGCGAAGGATTTTTGTTTGTAGAAAACCTTCAACACTTATCTCTCGAGTTTTTTTAAGTCACAAACTTAAAATGACCTCCCATCCTCACTCCAACGCAAATAGCGATATTACTCTGACTATTGAAATAATTCTCAGTCATTACATCCAATAATTCATACAACTTAACTAAAAACTTGGGACTTTTTTTCTACTACATTCAATAATAATTATATAATTTTCTTATGATATACAATACTATTGTTTTTCTTAACATTTTAACCATTTTATCAGTACTTATATACCAACAACAAAATCACAATTCAAAACCAAAAAAATTAAAATCCTGCTCACAATAACCGCAAAACCAAACTGGTTCCAAAGCTTCAGGATTGAATTCCTCATTTTTATGATTTAAATACTCCCCTATCTTATCAATTACTCCCTTCCCGAATGGAGCTGGAGAATTAAGATACTATTACTACTCTATTACTCCCTCCTCCTTCGATTCAATATCCACAACATCATACTCCTTCGGAAAAACACATTTGATCAAGTACTCAAATGAAGCAGCTTAAATAACATTCATAGAATACACGTCTCAGGTTTCATTGCCCTCACTATCATCTTTACACTATCAATAAAGAATGTACCCCTTCTTATTTGGATTTCCTTTATTGTTAGCAATTACTATTTAAAAGCTCTCAAATACACTTACATCTATAATTGATTTACAATGCAAATGACATTACTACTAATGCTAGACTGACTGAATTAGCTTTTATTAAATTTTCATCTATTCCTCCTTCAAATCTATAATAGTTTTCTTTAAATCTTCATACTCAGTCATGAAGATGTCATCCGATGTCTGTTTCTCGATTGAAAACTATTGTTTTTTTTGTATCTTCCTCATCTGAACTTCCTTTTTCGTAAAATAGGGATTTTCATAAGTTAATACACCATTCTCATCCTTACAACTTATAAAACCATAAAGATTCAATTATCTTAGATTTCAAATTTACGAGTACCTTAGAAAACTAGAATAATTTCCATGCTTGAAATGTTTGGGTAGAACTACTTATTATAACTTAGATTTATCAAAAATCTTAATTTTTTCACCATCATTATCCCATGTAATAATTTATGCATACTCAGATTACTACAATATTCTTGAGTATTACTTCTAAGATTTCTTTGAAAATTTCAACAAACTTAAAAATTTTCTTTTTATGCTATTTGTTTTTCATATTATTTTATAATATAATAATTAAGAATTCTAAATTACCTAAAATAAACTTAAATGCTAAGCAATTTAATGATATTTTTGTAATTAATAATATATACAATTTCTGATGCCAATATTTTGATTGATATTATTTATTCATAAATGAAAAAGTTCATAAAATAAGATGGATTGATGCTAAATTGCATCAAAAAATTTAATTTCAATAATCATTATACATTTAACTCACTCCCCAGCTTAGAGTCCCTTATCATTAATTATCAAATTTCATTCCCTTTGTAATGTACTCAGGAGAATATTTGAAATTGAAATGATTAAAGTTTGCCTCTCTTGGCTAAAGCTCAATAAATTCTTAAAACTTCGATATGATTTATTGAAAGAGCTCGAATTGCTTGCCCTTTTGATTCATTCACTCTATTTCCTATACTGCAGTCTCTTTTATTATCTATCTTAATTCTATCTGGATGGCTCAACTATAGATTTAGACTATTATTCTCTCAAATTTGGAGTCAAGTATTATAGTTATTCTCTTAAATAAATTTACATATTTGTCCAATTTTTATATATTTAACTACCTAGTGCATTCAGTGTTTATGACAGGTTCAAAATTATTTTTTTCTTATTTTTGATCATCAAATAACAAAATTTCAGCTAAATAGTCCCATACTGCTTATGGATTACTTTTTCTCTCAATGAGAACCATTTCTCTTCTAATTGGATTCTAATCAGATCCAAATTATTAGGTTAAACCTCCTTAGATAAACCAATGGTACAAATATATTCGCTATTACTTTTGTGTGGCACTCTTTCAGTTTTGCATATTAAGAATTCAGATATTTCTTTTAGATCTCTAATCCATAATCATAATCCAATCTCCTGCACATAATTCTCACAAAAAAAGAGGTCTTTCCAGATCTACTCTCCCCTAAGAGTAAAATACGAATATCTAAATTAACCCTATCTTTCAATTCTTTTCTAATTATAACTTCACATGTCTTGCCATTTAACCCCTCATTAAATTCCTACTACTAGCAATTCAGATTTCAAATATTAAGCCATAGAACAAAGAGTTTTTAAAGAAACAAGCATATCAGATTTATTTAATCCTAAAGGATTACCATAATCTTGAACTCTAATTTCATAAAAATACCATTCTCGTCTGACAATCTTCGCTACTTTAAACTCTATACCTATAATTCATCTATTTTATTAAATCAGTTAAGCTTTAGGAAATTGATCTACTAATCTCAACTGATATTTTGTATGTCCGAATCCTATGATTGTAATCGCTTGACAATACTTTAAATAAGATACTTTGGAATTGTTGCCTTAAACCGAGCAATATTATTTTAATTTTTACTTACTCATATATTTATTACTCCAATTTTATTTACAGTTCCTCATTGTTCAGCTTAATTAAAGGAACAAATTACGGTTTTGTTTCGTATTTTAATTGCTATAGAGTAAAGAGTATTCCAAGACTTGAACATGCGGTTAGCTCTACCCAAAATACTCTATTGGTACCTAACCTTCTCTCTTATTTATTTGCTTGCCTTTGTTCTTTTTATTATAATTCAACGTTTGTTTCCTTTTTCTTGTCTATCTGTAAGTTATGAGAATTCAGAATGAGCTAATTTAAATGGTATAATTTTTTTCTTTTTATACATCATCGTTTATTCCAGACAATAAAGTATAGATGCCATTATTTAAGTTTGGTTGTTACTAAAATCAAATTACATGAGTATATGATAGCTATAGGATATTTAAATAAATTTTGTTATTGATAAGAATATAATTATTTTTATGCATTTAAACCAATTGTTATACCAAGTAAATCAATCTCTAATTAAACTGGAAATTATGCTCTCAAATTCTTATTCCTTCTTTATAAAAACATCAAATCCAGTAGAAATTACTTTCTCATCATATAGGCTAATTGGGATAGAACTTAAGAACTTCATATTTATTACTTTAAATAATATAAATAATTATTTACATTAAATATGTCTTAGTAATTTTAGAGTTAATCAATGTCCATCTTGGGCTATGTGCCTGCTTTGGTTGTATAACATCTGTTGAATCTTAAAATGAATAAATTAATACGAAAATTACCAGAGAAATAAAGAATAAGGAGTGTTGTGATGTTTGCAGATATATCCGGATTTACAAGATTAACAGAATTATTAAGTTAATTGGGAACAGAAGGGGCAGAACGAATAGCATTTGCAATTAATCGCTACATGGAGTTATTGGTTTAAGGCATAGGAAGAAGTGGTGGTGATATTTTCAAATTCGCTGGAGGTATATTAGTTTTAAATATTCCTAAGATGCTATGATTGTTATCTGGCCTCCCCCTCCTAATGATCAAAACTTTCAGTAAAATCTAGAAACTTTGCTCAAATAGGCCATCTAGTCTGCGTTGTTAATCCAAGAAAAACTAACCAAAGCATAGATAGAACAGGGCATTTAATTAAGTGTGAAGATTGGATTTGGAGTGGGTGAAATGAACATAATCCATGTGGGAGGAGTTTTCAATAGAATGGAGTATTTGGCAACTGGAGACCCTTTGATTTAGGCCTTTCATTCCGAGCACTGTTTAACCGAGGGTGGGAAGATTATCATATCCTAATAGATTTACGACATGATAAACAACTTCTTCGAATGCTAGAAAGTAGCAGATCATGAAGGACACTATGAAGTCATTAAATTATAATAAGCCAAAGTGAAAATGAAGGCAGATGCACTTTTAATCAAAAATAACATTACCTTGTCGCAGTTTCAGATGATTAGAAATGAGATTCAATCGTACATTCCTGCTGCTCTTTTGCCTTACATTGACATAAATGAGGAAGCTTGGAGTGCTGAATTGAGGAGATTGTCTATTATGTTTGTAAACTTAAAAATGGATTTGAACTCTGCCAAAAATGCTTAGGGATTGGAATAAATTTAAAGAGTCATTAAAACTGTATAAAAATGTATTTATATGCATGAAGGATCACTGAATAAGCTTTTGATGGATGATAAGGGTTCAACTTTAATTGTTGTTTTTGGTCTTCCTCCTCTCAGCCATTAGAATGATCCTGTAAGAGCTATATTAACAGCTTAATTAATGAATAAGGAACTTCCAAAAATTAATTGCGGATGCTCTATTGGAATAGTTACAGGCACTGTTTTTGCAGGAGTAGTTGGTACAAGTGGTTCACGAAGAGAATACTCTGTTCTTGGTGATTCTGTTAATCTTGCAGCTAGATTGATGTAAGCAGCGTGTTCAGAGACTACTCACAAAATACTTATATGTATGGAAACTGCTAAAAGTGCTGGTCATTGTATTAGTACAGCCTTTCTGAGATAAACTTAAGTGAAAGGCAAAAATGCACCCGTCCATATTTATGTTCCTTTGGATAAACCTCTGGAACCAACTCCGGGTAATTTATTTCCCAATTTCAAAACTCATAATTATGCGTATGGATTTGCAAAGAAATCAGATTTTATAGCCATTCAATTATTTGGAAGGGAAGAGTAACATAAAAAACTGTTAAATCAAATTGACAAGGTGATTAAAGGAGTGGATAAGAAAAGCTTGATTATTCTAAAAGGAACATATGGATGTGGAAAGAGTAGTTTGGCTAAGAAAGTGTTATATAGAATATAGGAGAAGATTAATTCTAATTAGTATAGTCCGTGGAAATATGGCGAGTATCCTCACATCCTTGTTTAACAATTGGATCCTATAACGAGAACATTCAAATTGAATGGATTACGAAGTATTTTAAAGTAGATCTTCCTTTTATATGCTAAAAGAGTAGAGAGACCACCAAACATGGAACTATTCAATATGATGGTGGATGTAAATATTCATCCATAAAACTTGGTATAAATGCTACAAGAGATTGTTGGTTTGAATGACAATAGACATTTGGAGAAGTTTCCTCAAAGATAACAGGAGGAGGAAAAAGAAGTTGATGTTAAAAGAATAATATTTCAATTTCTAAGCAACTTCTTTGAATAGATCCCTAGCAAAATGTCTGAATTGTATGAAGGAAGAGCTCCTGATCAAATTGGATGGGATGTTATGAAAACATCTGTTCAAAGATAGATTAATTATTCTATCAAATACACGAATATAATTGCCCCTGTTGTTCTATGTTTGGATGATATTTAGAACTATGATTAGGTATCCTTTAAAATCTTAAAGCAAATGATAAAGACATATGATAGACTTACAATTTTAGCATTGTATCGAGATTCATTTTAAGAGATGATCATTTAACCAAAGGTTGCAGAGAAGAGGAAGTCCCAGGAAGACATTGCAATTGAAGGTATCACAGCTTTAGAAGACCGAATGGATGGAAATCCCTTTATATTGATGCAATTAAGAGGAGTGGAAAGGAAAGGAGGAGTAGATGATGAATTTGCTAAGATGATCAGATTTTCATTCAATATCTAAAAGTTTATGCCTGAACAAGAGTATCATTAAAATATATCCGAAAGTGGGATCAGAAAAAGAATTAGTTCTTCAATTCATGATGTAATTTTATAAGAGAATCAATCTAAAGAAATTAATAATTAATTTCTATTCTCAGAGAACAAGTAGATACTCATTAAAACCGATGTGGAATTACTTTTTATGCAATGGATTTACATGAAAACTAGTGGTAATCCATTAATGGTTTTGAACTTTGTCTAAAACCTAATTGATCTAGATTTAATTAGACTGAGTCCAAAATATGCAACCATCACAAATGAATTAGTTAATTTAATTACTTATGAAGAGAGTATTATTGTAGATGCACCCTATTGTAGAATTGAAGTGAATGGACCTATCATAGATAAATTATCATGTTTAGAATAACTATTACTGAAATCAGCAAGTGTCATTGGAGATATTTTTGATATTCAATTGTTAAATAAGATTTATCCATTTAAGAATGCAGTCAACAATAAATTGCAGAAGTATTTGGATGAGTTAGAGTCTAAGGAAGTTATTGAAGTAATGGAGGTTAGAGAGCAAAATATCTTCTATCGTTTTACATGCCCCTTCATGAGGGATTGTCTCTATTAGAGGATTACATTTAAATAAAGAAGATAATTGCATAAGGCAGTGGCTGAGGCCATATAACAATTGCCATTGCCTTTTGAAACTGAAGAATTAATGGAATGCAAAAAATTATAATTCCAATGGTTGATGGCGGAATCCAATGTTAGTTAATAAATCAACTTTGATAATAATGATGATAACAAATCCAACTCAAAACCTAATTTTCTGATCAACCTTATTTATCCAAAGTGTTCCTAGGATACTCAAAAGTTTAAGAATATGTCAAGTAAGGCACTAAAATCAATTATATTGAAATAAATTGGGAATAAATTTAATAAATCGTAGAATCAAACTAATATTATTTTGAGAGAAGGAGTCTTGATCAAGAAGTCTTAAAATAGAGTTTCATAGGTGTCTCGATATGTGATTCTGGATGGGAAAGAACTTCGCTTGTATTCAAGCAGATAGGACTCACATAATAGTGAATTGCCCTTATGTTCGATTCCATTGAAAAGCATATATTCAGTATTGGCCTTGGAAAACGAAAAGAACTTTACTTTGCAAATATGTTCAACATATTGGTATAAGAAGTTGAAGGAGATGGGCGATCGCAAGTTTTTGTTTGACGCGAAGGATAATGAAGATTTGTAATTGTGGACTATTTATTTGGAGTTTGCCAAAGCGCTTGCTATTTATGAGGATTTCACGAATAATTATGGTAAAATTTGTTTCCCTCTATCTAATCAATATGAATATTATGATTCACAATTCAAATACGACATCAAAATCGAAGTATTTATAATAATAGTATAAACAAGAATAATAAATCCATAAGGGGAATCTAAATTGAAAAAACTCAGAAAAACAATAAAGAATCGATCATATATAGAAATAGCAGAAACTCCAATAGACAGTCGAAATTTACGGTTTCAAGTAAGCAATTTAAGTTTATGGAAAAGAATTAGACTGATGAATTATAAATTTAGAATTCTTAGGTAGTTGATATGCAATTATTAAAAGAGAGAGTCAATTTATTTTTACAAAAGAGGTAAATGGAAATGTATTATTATTTAGTATTTTGCTTTTATTTTCTCATTTATTCGAGCAATCAATTCAGAAGGCAGATGATTTCAAAATTTTGGGGAATACTAGCATAGCAATGAGAAAGTTAAATAATGTATTCAAAATAGACAAGACTTTGATAAATGAACAGAATAAGAAATCGAGTGCATTTTTACAGCAACAATAAATAATTATTGAGGACAAGCAAGAATTAAAGTAGTAGGATAGTTAAGAAACGAAACAATAGGATAATTGGGAATTAGTAATTCAGAAGGTGGAAATGGACAATGATTTAACTAATAATCAAATTAAGAACTTTATGTTAGAGGAGAAGATAGAGAGAACAGATATGATTTTCGAACTCGAGAGAAAGAACTCCTAAGAGAAGTTGTAGGACTATGAAAATAATGATTTCATACCAAAAATAGATTAACAACTTAAATCAATCAAGGACATTAAACCAAATATGGAAGAGGAAGATATTTACAACTTCTAATTGGACGGTATTTCATATCCTAATAATTAATAGAGAGCGCAATGAGAAAACAATAGCATTTAAGAATTCAAAGATTGTAAAATTTTAAATGCTCTTTTGGGAATGATTCATTCTAAAAAATGCATTCTGAAAGTGTGTTGAGATCTTCTCCTTTGATGAAATAGGAGGATACCTTGACAGAAGTGTTGGCCACTCAATCCCAAACTGAGAATTCAAAGAGAGAATCTACTGATATTTATTAATCTTCATAATAACCTCCTCAATTGTTAACTAAGATATCCGAGAAAGAATCAATCACAGATGTTTCATGCTAAGTAAGTAGACATTTATCTACTTGTTAAGTGGATAAATTAATTCCAGTGAGTAATAATCAAAGATCCAGATAAACCAGTAATATCAACAATTAACAAAATAAATCACCAGCTCAGACTCAAAAGTCATTGACACCAACCAATAAGTCATAAAAGAATGCGTAATTTAATTTATTCGATGACTGTAAATCTAAGGCAAAAAGAGATTCATAAATATCCTCTTAAATGAATTCTGCTCGAAATAAGCCTGCTCATTTATAAACAAATTATATCAATTCTCAGAAAATTCTGCCCAAAGAAATCAAATCAAACCCTTTTGTTTATGGCACAGCTATAAATAATTGTAAGCCAATAACAGGTGACAATTTTATGCTGAAGCCTGGCTACAAGGTGATAGTCTAAAGGGTCGACAAGAAGACGTAATTGATAGAGTGTTCATATGAGAATTTGATTGGAATTTTTAGACTGAGAGACATTGCCGTCATCGAAGGTATTTATAATTAATATATTGGATAAAGATCCTGCAATCGAGTAGAAAATAGAAATTACTTAGCCAAAACAACCCAGCAAAAGTCCATTAAAAAAATAAGCACTTACTACAAGACCTAAAATGTTGCTCACTCCTACTAAATAAAATTGAATTCTTTTTTCGTATAATTAATATATATATGTTTAAATTTGAGTACTTTATGGTCTTTATAGATGAATTACACTGCAGGAGAGATTAAAACTTTTAGCGAAACAATTTGTTTAATTTTATTAATTCACTATTATATTGCATATGGAATCATACATTTAATTAAGAAAATTATCATTACATCATTGATCAAAATTAATTATGTAATTAAAATATAATTAAAAAAAATTTCATTTATTATTAATGACGTGATCGTTAATTAATATTGATCTCATTAATTCATTCAAATGCAGAAAAATTTTACGGAATTCAATTAATTAAATGTAAAAAGGATTATTAACCCTCTTAGCTATAACATTATTAGCTGGTACAACATTGTTAAACACAACCAATGAATCAAATTCATTCTTGGAAGATGAAGTAATGAAGGTCTATCAAAATTGGTAAAAGGAACACGGAAAGAGATATACACAATTCGAAAACTCACACAGATTTGGAATATTCAAGAAAAACTATTAATACATCTAAGAGCACCAACAAAGAGTTGAGGCTGGTTTGGAAACCTTCGAACTTGGATTGAATGACTTTGCTGATCTCTCAGTTGAAGAATTCGAAGCCAAATATTTGAAATACAGAGCCACCCAAAGAGAATAAACCAATTAAGTCTATAGAAGATCAGGAAAATAAGTCCCAATTGAAGTAGATTTAAGAAAGGATGGAGTTGTTAGTGAAGTTAAGAACTAAGGAAGTTGCGGATCATGCTGGGCCTTCTCTGCAGTTGCTGCCTTAGAAACAGCCTTGAGATAAGGAGGAGTCAAGAATGTTGAATTGTCTGAATAAGAATTAGTTGATTGTGCAGTCTAAGAAGAATTTGAAAGTGAAGGATGCAATGGTGGTGAAATGTATGATGGTTTCAAATATGCTTCCAAATATGGTATTGCCATCAGATCAGAATATCCATATGCTGGAGTCGATCAAAAATGTGCTGCCTAATAAACCAAAACCAGACATCAATTTGCTGGTTATGTTGATGTTGAATCACTCAGTGCTGAAGCCTACGTTGAAGCTGCTTCTGAACATGCTCTCTCAATCGGTATCAATGCTTCAGGAATCAACTTCTAACTCTACAAGAAGGGTATCTATAATGCCAAATGCGATGGAAGCAAACCAGCACTCAACCACGGAGTTACCAATATTGGATATGCTCCAGACTACTATTTGATCAAGAACTCATGGGGACAATCATGGGGAGAATCTGGTTACATTAGATTCGCCAGAATTGCCGATAGATAAGGATAATGTGGAGCTCAATAAGAAGTCAACTTCCCATTATATAAAGCATCAGAAAGCCAAGTTGTTTTTGAGTGATTTTTTTATTTTAACAAATTCATATCATTTCTAGTTCAAAATAATTCTTAATTAATCTTTTACGTTCTAAATTACAATTATAATTACCTTAAAATTACACTTAAAATAATTGACTATCTGTCTAATCTAGAATTTCATTACTATAAACCTTATTTTCTTAAGAGTCCTTACCTTGAAGATTAATCAAAAATAAGATTCTATTATTTAGTTTAGTTTATATTAATATATTATTATAAAAAATAGTTCAAGTAGATAGTAGCTCTTCAATTTGATATTCATGTTTTATTTATAAATTTCGGATATTCTTTTAGGCTTATTTTCTCTCAATTTCAAATATCTTTTCTAATCTCAATTACTCTTGGTAGTTTTCTATCTAAAACATTGTTCTCTCCCTTTCTTCTTCAAATTTTTATTCATATTCAATCAACTAATTAATTAACTTGGTCCAGTACTTCAATCATCTCTTGATATTAAACTTCTTCAAGCTCTTAAAGTTCTAGCCTTTTTTGAGGATTTTTTAAAATTTCATTTACTCTTGTTTCCTCCTTTTCCATTTTCTTATTTATGGCTGATTAAACCCTTGGAATATCAAAAGACGATTTTGATAAGGCAGTAGAAGCTTGAATATTATAAATTCTTACGTCTTAAATCAAGGTTCCAATTCTACTCATTTTGAAAAAGTGATATTTTGAGACTTTCATTCCACTTTAATTTTTCATTATATGAAGCTTTTAATGATTGTCTTTCCATAAGTTGCTTTTAATATAACTTCTCAAGAGCTAACTTTTTATTTTTCATTTTCTAATTTCCTTATAGTTTGATTTACTCTAACAATTATTTTTTCTCTAGTTATTTTTCTTTAATCATGAAATCCTTTAAGATGAGTTTCTAATTCAATTCAACTCTTTAGTCTTTATTTGTATTCTTCAATTCTTCTAATTTTTATTTAATCTACTTTTCTTCAATTTCCTATTATTCTAATTTTCTTTAATGCTCAACAAGTTTTTACTCTTACAGTATTTTAATTCTCTCATTTTTCTATTATTGTTTTGAAATATTGATTTCCTATTTTATTTCTTACTTCTACTTACATTTTTCAGCTGACTTTAACATCTTCTCTTTTTACTGTAATACCTTATTTTAGATTTCCATAAATTTCTAGTGCTGTGCCTACTCAAATAGTTATCTTTAATGTTCACTTTAAATTTGTTTATTATAAAATTCCTCCTGCATTTTCACCACTTTGTTTTGTTATTATTCTTTAACAAGAAGCAACTTTTATGCTAACTCTTCTTATGCTAATTTAGATGCTTATGCTCTTTCCTATTGTTAGTAAAGTAATTTTGCTTGTCTTTCTTTTTCTTTGAATTGCAATAGTTCCTTCTTATATTATTATTCCATTTCATGTTATAATTCCTTATTCTGTAATTATTATCTGAATTGTTATTGCTTCAACTTTTGTTGTTCTTCTTTCCTTTTATGTTCGTCTTACAATTCTTAATGCTTTTTAATTTCCTATTAGGCTCTTTCTTGTTCTTTTTGATATTATTCTAATGCAATCTATTTTTATCTTTATTCTTCTAATTAATCCTTTAGTTTTTTTTCTTGATCTCTTCTTATTTTATCTTGCTCTTACTGCATTTTATGTAATTGCAATTCCTATTACCTCTAATATTCTTTTTATTGTTTCTTTAATTATTTTTGTTAACTCTTTTCATTGATTTCTTATTGCAATTTTTGAAAGTGTTGCATTTGCTATATTTCTCTCCTAGTTCTTTCTTACATTTTTTCAATTTCAACTAAGTCTAATTCATTCTAAACTTAAATAGCATTGCCATCATATTGTAAATTGGTTTAATGTTCCTCTTGATTTTCGATTATAATTTGCTTTCTTTCTTCTCTACATAATTACAGTGTCTCTTATCTCCTTATCTCGTGATGTCTCCACAGAATCTTCCAACCTTGTTTGTTCAATCTTAGATCAGGATTTCTCTGCTTTAATTCCTTGATACTTATTTTAATCAATTCTTCAGTTAATACTCCACATCTTTGACATGCTTTTATTGATCGCGGACTTTGAATATTTCAGGTATAATACCTATTCAAAATGGGTTATTTATACGAAGTTTGATTGAAGTTGTCCAAAGTTAACATAAATTTTATCGATAAGATTATATATATGAAATTAAAAAAGAATTTATGAACAACAATTGACATGATAAAAATAATGCACTTTGACTAAAATTATATTCATACAATATGTGTCAGTCCAAGCGTTCTAACTCTTAAAGTTCCCAGTCTTCAAAATTTCCATTTGGCAGATATCTTCTAATTATGAAAGGTATTTTGTTCTCATTCAACTCTTATTAAGCCACCTATATGGGGTCAGTTGTCTCCTCTATAATAAGTCAATGTCTTTGAATACTTGGATCAACGTATATAGGACTGTTCTTGCTGATTTGCAAAGCTCGTGTTCCTATAACTCTGGCACGCTCATATTTAGTTAAAAAGGGAGGAGTAATTCTTTCATTCTTCAAGACTTTCCTTCCTTTGCTCTATTAGATCATAGCCCCGGTTCGAATTATTTGATTCTCGTCTTCATCATCGCTTGAGTCAGAAGTGACTGATTTCTAAACTATTTGGAAGTATGAATTAGTAACAATACCATCTGATTGAGAAGTGTCCATTTCATCCTCCTGGTCGTCTATGGGATTGTCATATGGTGATTGGCTGACTGAATTTCCTTCCAAATCTGAGTCATCGATTTCGGGTTCACTATCCTAATTACTCATTAATAAAAATATATAATGGTAAAATTCGAAGAATTTCAGAAATTAACACCAAAAGAAAAGAAGAAGGCGATGGCCGAATTACATGATTTGCGTGGACCTACCTACTAAATTTATAAAGAGAAGCCATTCAATCACATTCAAAAAAAAGTGAATCCAAAACACAACTTTGGAATATATTCAGTCCCAAAATATTTTATTTGATTTAATATATGGACCATTTCTTAAGATTCATTAATCCCCATGTCTTTTTGGGATGTGTGCAGTTCTTGCAATTACAAACCTCCAAAGAAACTGAGGCTCTTCTTGGCACCAGACTTTTCGAAAGGTTAAGAAAATTAGGTGTGCCATCAGAAAAAATTGATTAAATCATCCAACAAGACAATTTGAATGGAAAACTGACCTCAGTTGCAGAATTACTTAAACTCAGACAACGAGCATTAGTAGATTATGTCCAAGAAAATCTATGGACAGTTGAAGAAGCCTATCAAGCATTAATAATATTATTTGATTCAGGAGAATACGAGAAAGCAACAGAAATCGTTGACAATCTATATCCATGTGTGGAAGCAACTGAGAAGTTAAATCATTTGAGAAATGGATTCTTATGGGCTAGATTAGTAAAAAATCCATTTATCTAATTAGAATTGCAAATTAATTGGTCTCTTCAAGAACACCAACAATGCTGCAGTGTGCATTGAAGCAATCAAAGACTTAATTAAATAGGAGGATCAAATAAAATATAATTTCAAACAAAGAGCAGATCTCTTGCATGCTGGAGTTTTGGTTTGCTTTATATCCGATGACACAAATGCCTTCTTAGAAATCTTCTCAGGCGAACAATTCTTAGAAGTAGTTCACACTATTGCTCCTTATTTATTGTATTATTACACAGTTGCCTTGCTCATCAATTAACAATTCATTGGAAACACAAGTCTTGCAATTATTGGCACAAACGCAAACAAATCAATCAAACCATTTCATTTGCTCAATTACGTTGAGGAAATCATTGTTAAGTTCTAGTTCGACAATGCAATCAAAATGATTAAAGATATTTCTACAGAAATTGATTAGGACTTCATTGTCAAATCTAAAAATGCTCTCATTATTAATGCATGCAAACTTTATTTCTTTTCAACTTACATCAAAATCTTTAATGGCGTATAAATTAAGTAATTTAAACACTAAATAAATTTAGACAATTTTCAACTTATCTATAACTCAATGAGGAGGAAACCGAATCATGGTTGGTTAATGCCATTAGAACTTTAAATATCAATGCTAAAATAGATGGCGATAAAATAATTGTCTAAAAACAAGACATCAATGCTCAAAACACATAAGTATGTATATCCACCTACATCATAGTTATTAAGACAATTAAGAGATTTGCAACCGAAATCTAACATGTTAATATCAAACCTTTAAAGAATTATTAATATTAAATGATAATGTATATTATAGAAATCATAAAAATAATAAAGTTTAATACCCTATAAATATTTTTATCTATAAAAATATCATAACTGACTTATACTATTAGTACCATTCATTAAAAGTTTCAAAATTTCCTTATTAAATTCATTTAATTCAATATAATTTTATTAAGAATCATTGAGAGACTGAATTTGTTAATTCAACTAACACTATTCTCTTATACCGCGTTTATTATACTACATCTTTTCAATAAGTCTGCATTACTCACTCTTCTTATTTTAGTTTAATTTCAAAACATCCGAAATATTCAAAAACATTTCATTTAATTTAAAGACAAGACCCTATTTTCTCTTTTTTGTTGTTGTAATCTTGAATATCATTTTATCTGTATTGTTTCCGATTTCCAATACATGTTACGAGATTTTCTATCTTAATTTTACGATTGGGTTACAGATTACGTTTATAAAAATTACGCTGAAACAGAATAGCATAAATGCTAAAGAACAAGTTACTATAACAGCATACCCATAATAAAGTAAAAATTCATTATACCTATCCAAAATCTACGATTATAAGATATGTTAAGAAGTCAAATTAGTAAATCTAGTTTTAATTATTTATATTGTTACAAAATTAATGTAAAATTTTCTTTTTAAAACTTTTTGCACTTTAGATTGACAAACGATTTGTACACTTTGTTATAGAGAATTAACTTGGAATTCTACTCATTGAGTTATCCGTTTAAACTAGATTTTAATTCAATTTCCTTCCAATCGGTTAAATTAAAACCAGTTATGGTTTCATTATATACATATAAGATTTCTGTGCTATTAGTACGATTCTCCATTCCATTCTCCATTCCATTCTCCATAACCTAACCTTCTTAATTTATCAATAAGACATTAAATTAAATGTTATGTAAATTTGGGTCAGTTATAAACAATATAGTTTTTAAAACTGCAAAAAATTCCTTCTCCTTATTAAATAATGATTGAGTAATCGAAAAGCTACACTCTGATGATCCATATAAGCTCTAAAATACACTAGTAAAAAAAAAGAACTCATTTTTTGTATTGTTGACTTAAGCCATATGATTTTAATACCTGCATTTATAATTAAAAATACCACTTTCTTTGCTATGGATTATATTCAGGAGCCAGCAATCCTATTGGATATAACGCATTAAATATTATTGAACTTGTGTCAACCACCTATAACATATTAGGTCTTAATATATTGAACAGTAATGAATAGTGCTCAAGCTCCTTAAGTCCATAGTACAAAAGCTTAATGTTGTCATCCTACAGCATTGAGTCAAGTTAAACACCATTTGTTTAATAGCAAAACTTTGGTGTATTTTTAATATAAAATGCATATTTCTACTCTTCTTCTGTTAGGCAAAGGTCTAAAACACCATTGTAGATTTACTGATCTTAACGATTAGCGAAGTGAAATATGAAATTAGCTATGTTTTCAAGAAGCTAAATGCCTTCATTAATTAATTAATTACTTCTTTTATGCTTAGTGATTAAGTAAGATTCAATTTAGCTTCCTATTCTATCAACCTACTTAATATCGGTAGAATTCATCATGATATATGATGATTCTAAACTAATTTCATAAAATATTTTTGCTTCAACATAAATTCCAATAGAACACACCACTAACACTAAAACCAAGATTATGACATCTAAAATAATAATCTGAGATTTCATTTTCATCTTTCTAAACTGAGAACAAATCATCATATGGGAGATAAAACTTTATTAAAAATAAGATGTTTGTTTATTTATTAAAGCAAAAAAACATTAAATTTATAATAAATTGGACCAAATTAAATCTTTGCAATTACAAGAAATAATATATTCCTAAATATTATGCTCGATTTGTTGCCTACATAGGTATTCATAAAGTTAATGAGGAATTATAGGAAAAATGAATTTTATTTATGGGAAACGAACTAATAATTATTGATTCTTTATATTATTTTTGAAAGACACCAACATAATATATTAGAGAATCAATTGCATCATTAAAACTATGCCCTATTTGATTTCAATATCACATGTTGCTCTTTTGAACTGCTGTGTTTATAAAAAACCCTTAGATATTGAAAGTACTTTATTTATTATTATTATAATTATTAAATTTACTTTAAGAGACTTAATGATTAAATAAGAACTGTTTGATTTTGATATTAATAGTTGTCTAATTTATAATTTGAAAATTAGATTAATTAAAAATCTTAATTGTAATTTCAGATCTTAAAGACAAAGACACAATAAGTAAGTAAACCTACTGCCCTTATATTTTTTTGGACAAAAATAATAAAAAGAATAAAATTCAATCGCCACTAAACTGTTCAAGCACTTCAATTGCATTTGTATCACCCAAACTAAGGAATGCATGCATCGCATTAGCATATCTTTATTTTTATTAGAATAGTTATAATTCTATATATTATTTAATAACGTATTACCTAAAGAATCATATTTTTTAGACAAAATCTCAAGCTATTGCTCGTATTCATTCTTTTCTCTTTGGAGCTAATCACATTCAGTTTAAAATGAGAACAATTTTTATTAGATTTCCAACAGATCATCATTTGATTTTTCTATTAGTTTTTAGTATTCTGCAATGCGTTTATCATCTTCATCATTATTTTCTAACTCTTATATTCTCTCTCTGCAGTCTATTAATTATTGGTTTTAAATATTTAGTTTGTTTTTGAGATCCTGATTTTCCTTTCTTATTTTGGCAGCCTGTTGTTCAAGCTCATACAATTGCTCTTTTAAATGAGTGTTGGCTTCATTTAACAATTCAACTTTTTAATCAGAACTCTCCTTCTTTGACCCTTGGGAATATTGCTTTTTGAGTGATTCGATTTACAGCTCTAAATTTGCACATTTCTCACAGGGAAGCTACTTAGCGGATTTTTATTTTTTTAATAACTCTTAGATGTAAATACGATAATACATACCTAATTCTAATTGAAATTCATAGCACTTCTGGCATTCTTCAGGTTACGCAGTTGGTGTTTCATAATTGGGTTTCGAAGTATTCTGTTTTAGTAATCCCTCCTGAGTTTATTTGATTTAATTTTATAGTTATTGTATGTAGATCTATTATTATTTATTTTAAGCTTTCAATTGATCGACTTCATCTTGTAATCGAATATTGTCCTCCTTCAACTGCTTGTTTTACAAGTCCAATTAGGTAATTTGGGCCTTGGATTGATCTTCCCTAACTGTGTTTAGAGATTAGAATACTATTATTGATGTTGGCTTCAGGAGTCTTGGATCTCTATTCTTGACTCAAGAAGTTGATCGTATATGAAAGGGTTGCATTAGAGTCAGGACATTTAGCAAGGGGTGAGATCTCATCGATTTTGCCCTTTTTCTAATTTAGGTAGGAGGAGAAATCAATATCGATTTGACCTGCATTTTTCATTCCCTTTTCATATTTGACGAGGACAATCAAGGTGCCCATTTTCTTTTGGTATTCCTTCTGTTTGACATCATAATAGAGAGTGGCAGGGATCCTCAGGATTTGCTCGATTCTGGCACATTTGTTTACCAATGAGACTGGTTGTGTTTGAGCTTTTCTGTCTCCTCTTTGGAACACTATCATAACTTCACAGTTTGGAACTGATATATTGATATTGAGTTGATGGATATTGACTTCGATCAAGGCTTTGTTTTCTGAGGTGCCAGCATGTTTAAACATAAAATAATAATTAATATATAGATGATGATAATGTATTTTCAATTGACAATTAATAATACGATTATAATGAGGGCAAAATTAACAGCGTTGTAAGAATTTGTGCCAGTACCATTATCTGTATTATTATGATTATTATCAGTGTTATTTTATTTAATACTACAAGACGAGCATGTTCCATTGTTGTTTGAGAAATATCCGAATGATTTTTTGTAACAATCAACAGGAGTAAACAAGCTGGGACTGGTTTCTTTACATGCACGATCTTCTTCATTGAAAGCACAGTAGGTGATCACAGTATTTTTAAAATTATAAAATGATCCACAAGAATTCTAAAGGGCATAGGTATTACACGTATGTTGTTGACAAGTAGAGTCTTTTTCATTCCAATAACAAGTTCTGGTTGGGCATAATTTTTGTTAATTAGCATGAGTGCAATCAGTCATTAAACTACATTTAGAGTTCGTGAATACACATTGACCATCAGTACCTACAGTACAATCCTTCTCTGTTTTGTATTCTTAACATTTAATGTAAGATTGACAGGATCCATTGATAAATTGACAATGCTTAAGTCCTTTGCACTAATTCTCTATAGTTATAGTCGAGCAATCAACTTTGGAACACTTGGATGATACGTAAGAGCATTTACCCTCTTTACTATATGCGTATTCACAAATAGTTTAGGAATAGGATGAACATTCCGATTCCATGACTAGACACTTTGTACCATCTGAAGTGCAAGTGGACATTTAACTATAACAACTTGAATGATTGGTTCCATACATATCTTAACATGTAATAGAAGTACATTCTTAGTTTTTCCATACACATTAATTTTGTTTGATGATTAACCCATCTTTTTTAACCACTCCATTTTTATCAAGCATGCAATTTTTTTGTCCGTATTTAGAGCATTCTAATAATTAAATACACAAACCTACTGTATCAGTTGTGCAGCTTGAATTGATTGAATTGCACTCTTCGTGAGTTTTGAAATGATAATCGCCACAGGACGAAAACTTTACACATTTTGAGCTTTCCCAACCACAATCTCCATCGATTCCCAGAACACATGATATTTTATCTTTGTATTCATTACAAAAGGTTATGGGTATGCACTAGGTTCCATTTGATGTGCATTACTATTGCAAAGAATCATAACATTATTAATGAGAAGTGTAATAAATTGACTAACAATTCTTATAAGGTTGGCAACGATCATCCAAATAAATGCAAACTCCGTCAGTGCCAATATTGCAAGTTTACTTAGAATAATACTACGCACAATTTTTCATTTCCACACATGTGACACCATCAGTGGTACAATTCAAAGATTTGCTTTGACAATCCAAGACATAAGTAGTTTTGTAATCTTTACACTCTTTAAATCGACATACATCATTGTCCCAAATACAATCGAGGGTTTTACTTTGTTCACAATCAAACTGAATTAAATCATAACAACTAGTTGCCACAAGACACCCTCCTCCTGTTTTAGTGACACAACTCTAATTCGGAAAGTATGTTTCACAATCTTAGGTACGAGTCAATGTATTTGGAGCATCTCTGCATTAAACAAAACTACATTGATTCTTATTGTAATTCCAACTGCACAGTTTATTGTTGACATCTATATTGCAAGCTTATTTATACTAGTTTTGCTCGCAAGTTCCTCGCAATATACAAAAACGACCATTGGATGTGCATCTACTATCTGAATTTCTACAATCCACATCGTTATCATATTCGTAGTCTTCGCAAATGAGGTTTCTGCATTTTGTTATGCTATCAATACAAGTTGACAGATAATCAGAACATTTCATTTCATCAGTTATATCTTTGTCTTAACAAGTTTTGAAATTACAAGTTTAATAATTTGAGTTCCAAACACAACCTTCATTACTGGTTGTTGTAACACATTATTCTTATGTTGAATATTGTTTGCAATCTGAAAACAAATTAGTGCATTTATCCTTACTTAAATTCACCGTGCATTTTAATTTCTCATTTTGATTATAACATTCTTAATGATTGTACTCACCCAATATAATAGTTTCACAAGTAGCCTGCTTACATTTATCGTCTTGCCATATGCACTCGTAACCATCTAGCTATTTTTGACATTATATTTCAGTGGAATACTTAGTACAAGAATCTGATAAATCTACATATTTCTTGGCTTCTTTATCGAAATAACAAAATGTTAAGTACTAACTTTCTTCACCTACTGTTGGATCATAACTAATCTCCGCACATTTTTTATCAACGCATCCTTTATATTCAGACCAATAGCAAGGTTTGGAGTCGTTATTAATTACGCACTAAATTTGAGTCTTGTAATCTGAACATTTGGATTATAAATTGGAGCATCCTCCAGGATATGCAATTGTGCATTCTGATTTATAAGAATTGCATTCATCGTGTGAGACACTATCTGTTAGATCAGAGCACTGCTTTTCAACACATAGTTCGTTTGAATTGTATGTACATCTGTCGTCATCCTGACATTCCTCTCTTGACCGGGTGTAATCAGAACAATTTTGCTTCTTTTTAATGCACTTGCTAGTGTCTTCACCTTTGAGTACACATTTTGAATCCTGAGTTGAACATGATTGATTCTTAGAAGACAATGTATCACAAATATTTTTACAAGATGAATGATCAGCATCCCAAATACAGAATGTCCCTGAAGTGTCTTTGTTGTCTTAACAATCGTCTTTAGTTTCTAATGCATCACAACTATTCTGTATTCCCTTACAACTATTTGCCCAATAGCAATGAGATTACTAAATGCAATTTGTTTTAGTTTTATAAAAACCGCAATTGTTGCTATCAAGATCACTTTTTATCTTACACAACTTAGTATCTTACATTTAACAAGTTATCAAATAATTTTCACATATTTCATCTGTGTAATCCGCTGTGGCTATTGCTGGATCTGTGCATGATTTTTATTTAATACAAAAGTTTTCATCAAAAGATGTTGAACCATTAATGCAAGTATTGTTAGATTATTTGCGAATTAGAATTTCTTACTATTTAATACAGAATGAATAGTCCCATCTGCATTTATTGTTATTAATATCTTTAAAGTCCTCACATTAATACTCCTATTAGATATCTCTACATTCTGCAACCTTAGCAACACAACTATTAGGAATCAAACCAGGGCCTCTCATGCATTTTTTACCTTCAATAAAGGCTTCACAATTGTTTTAAGTAATATCTCCTTTGTAATCACTACATTACTTTTCTCGACACTCTCCATTTGAATAGATGCACTTCTTTCCATAACATTACTATTAATTTAACAAACTACAATCAGAGGGCGTTTCAATACACCCCGTAATCCTTTCCAAAACAGTGCATTTTGGTGATTATGTATTACAATCTTAATGAGTACTATAATTCTCACTTTTTGAAATCATATCACAAGTGAGATCAACACATTCGTCTTTCTCTCCATTCTTCCAAGAGCATTTATAATTTTGCTTGTTAATCTTACATGATTCCATTTGAGTATATTAAGAGCAATTTGATTTGAGTGATATACATTAAGATCCATCACTAGTGCAAGTCTGCAACTCATAATTACAATCTTCATGTGTAGAATAATTATAATACTCGCATTTACTTTCCAAACATTAATTATTGTGCCATGTACATTTACTCAAAATAGAATGATAACATTAAATCTATCTAGTATATTGATTACAAGAGTATCTCATCAACATGCATCCTATTCCTGAATCTGACAATGTGCAATTTGATAGATAATTTTGACAATCCTAATGAGTAGTGTAAGTTACATTTCTTCCAGCAGTCTCGCAAGTTTTTACATCACACTTACTCATCCATTTGCATTACTTAGACTCATTGCATTTATCTTGAGTTGATTATGCTTAACACCCAGCTTCAATGCACATTTCTTTACCATATACACAATCTGATTAAAAGTCTTTACATATATCCTTCTCCTTATAATAAGCAGCAGGTGCCCATTGACATTATTTTATGACACACAAATACCCGTTCCAATAGCATTCATCTCCTCTGGTATTCTACGAACATCCTTGTTTACTGTTGGCCTCTCCACATTCCCCATTCTTCTTGCATCCTCCTCCAAACTTGGTAATACAGATTGAATCAATTTCTTAACATTATTAATTAGTTTGTCTATTTGCACTAGCATTTTCGCATGATTTAATTCTACATTGATTGGCTTCCCACATACATTAAACATTTGATTTATTGTAAGTGCATGATTTCTAAATAGTGTATTCTTCACATTCTAATCTGTCCATACAATATGAATCCTTATCTATTGAACATCCATTCTTTATACAATCACCTTTAATGTACTTACAAGAATAATCATTGCATGCTAATCCATCCCAAAAACATTTCACATTCCTCTTTCTATTTGTCACACATTGCTATTAGAATTTCTGATCTTTGCACTATACTCCTGAATCTTCACAACCTCCTCCTTATTTAAATGTACACCAACTCAACTGTTCTCTGCATTCTGCATCATTCTTCAAACCGAATGATAATTCATGACAACTCTCAGCATTCTTACATTCCTTCTTGTCCCAATAACAAAACCCAGACCATTCATAATTAATATAATTATTGCGACATGAGAATCTAGTTTTGTAATCTGCGCAAACACTCTTCTCTACACATTTTGAACCGTCAGTTATGCAAAGTTCTGAATACATTTGACATTCATAATTAGTATTTCTTTTTATTGCACTGCATCCTGTGAATGGAACACACACTCCATTATAATTCGCACAACCTTAGGTTTTGTTGCAATTGTCCCGTAAGTTTGAACAATAGCCTGTTCTTATTAATGGACGATTTTGATCCTAACACTTCTAAGTATCATAATCCCATTGACAATCAATGATACAATCCTCGATTAATTATATATGGCTGCATTAACATTTATCCTTCACTTGAACAGTTTCACCCAGGATACCTTAAAAAGAAACGGTATACAATAACAATAAAACGAATTTCATTATTTAAATATTACAACATAAACTTCATTACTTTTTAATCTTTACAATAGTATTATTAGAAATATTTACCACTTTTTATTAACTCATTTACTGTAACCATCTTTTCGGTCATACTGATTCAAATACAGTTACACAGTTGGATTACAATAAATGGTTGCCGAACAAAATTACTTATGATATGTCTAATTTTATTAATCATTAACATTAACATTTAATAAAAATGTAAAAATAAATAGATGAAGTTGAGTTTCTATTAAAGAAGAGTCCCCAACACAGGAGCAAAGCAGAAATTAATTTATTAGTCCAATTGACTTCGTAGCTCCCATTTTTTAAATAGTACATGAAACAAGATAATGGATTATAAATTTAAAGGAAATGTTGCAAACACATGTATTGTGAAAAATTCAAAGCAAGCGAAATTGTTTTCTATGTTGGTACAACTAATATCATAAAATATTCGTAGACAGTGTTGGTACAAAATTCTACATCATATTGGAAGGATCTGTCACTGTCCTAGTCAGAAAACCTAATCAATCTGATATGGAGGCAGTTAGAATACTAAACAAAGGAGAATCTTTTGGGGAATTAGCCCTATTACATAAATAGCCAAGACTTGCTACCATTTAATGTAATACTGATTGCACTTTCGCTGTCTTAGATAAACAATAATTTAAACACATTCTTTAAGAAGAATAATAAAAACAACTGGATGAAGTAAAATCACTTTATTATTATTTCAAGAACATTGATTATTTTTCATAAATTAGAATATTTTCCCATTTGCACAGAACATAATTGAAACATATCTATTTGAATTCTTTTCTATACGAATTTGAAAAGAATTAAATTGTCATCAAAGAAGGCTAAAAAGCTGACTACTTCATTTTGATAAAATCTGGAAGTTTTCTTGTTAAAAAAATAATGAAGCCTAATTTAGCTAGTGTTAATGTAAATTTAATAAGTTATCAAAAAGCTATTTGAAATCGGAGAATTGCAAGTATTTGGCTTCTATCATCTCAATATTAATTTACCATATGAATATTCCCTTGTTTGTAATTCATCCAAAGGCTATGCGTATAAAATTAATAGAACGTCTTTGGTGGAAAGAATGTTCGAATAATAAGGAGAAGATCTAAAGCTTCATAGAATCGAACTCTAACAGTTGGCCAATTTAAGAACTGAAACGGATGTTAAAGCAGCCAGCTTCTATCCATAATATTTTTGTAAAAGAATTAAAACAGAAGTTCCTGAAGAATTTTCACAAGAAAAGGTAACTCAACCCATTACAACTGCAAAACGAAATCTCCTCTTATATCAAAATAAGTAGAAATAAAGAATGAATTAAATCAAATTATAAATGGATATAGCATCCTAAAAATTGAGGAAACAACCCACAAAAGTACCATATGAAGTTTCATCCCATACTTAATCTGAACTCTTTCTTAAAACTCACAGAGGCTATAACTTTTTATAATCGGGAGAAATATAGATGGTGTAATCACAATAAACCCAAAGATTATAGTAACACCACTAATACCCAATTAATTATCCAAAATTACCCAAAAAGTTAATGATAAAAACTCATTTCCCAGAAGATTACGCAGAGAAATAATCATGTGATAGTCCTTTAAGTACAACTTAAACTTAAATGAGAAGTATTATTGGAATTAAAAAAATGGTATTGCCCACGGCATAAAATAGAGTAAAATCAAGAACCTTTTAATCCTAGGTGAGCTCCTCTCCTCTCTTCAAAACTATCAGTTGCATTCTCTAACAACGATACTCTAGTATTACATCGAGCAATCATTTTATATGATTTTCCATTATTGTTATATGTAGTATTTTTATAATTACTTAAAATAATTTTTTGGAATTAAAACACACTTAGTAACACAAAAGAAAATAGATTTCAATTAAATTAAATAAATTATAAAAATTTAATTATGATCAAATAACTATTTAAATTAGGCACTAATGTATGTGGTTAAAGAATCGGAAAAAACTTGAAATTATTTAATTACTATCAAAGATTCTATTTTACAACAGCCACCCAAAGCATCGATTAATTAAAAACCAAATTGGCAGAATTAAATTCTAAATTTTATGAGATTGAGGAATACAAATAAAAGGAAAGTATCATGTTAGATGTTATAGACGTAAAGAAGTAATTAAATACTTTACTATTTCCTAATAAACAAGAAGAAAAGTAATTAAAAATAATAAAATTTATAGTAAGTTTTATGAAGGATACAGGAGAGATTTGTTGGTACTTGCTTAATTAAATTTTGAGAATGATAAAAGAGAAGAATGCAGCAAACTCTTGAATGAAATTATGTAGGGAGATTTTAGGAATGAATTTAAAGATCATAAAGATGAAAATTAAGCTTTTCTCACAGGACTATTTATGATTCATTGCATGTCAAATTTAGATAAATTATCTATTGCTGAATAATCTGCTGGAGAAGCCGTTTAATATCTCTAATACTTTATTGATAATTAGTGCCCCATCTATTAAGCCTCTATTTAAAATCAAACTCCAACCACTGACAATTTATTCGAATAAGAATTATAACATATCCAAAATATGGTCACTCACTTGTCATTATATTCAAAAATATGCTAAGAAAGAGGAAAGTTTAATGAATCTATTGATTAATTGGGAATTGCTGCCACTTTGTTAGATAATACAGGTCATCTATTTAGAAAAAGTATTGATTTCGTATAATTTTAGTATTCTCTAAATAAATTACCATAAAAACAGAATTAAAGGAGGATGATTTGAAAAGACACTTTATGAACATTCTCATTAATGAAGCTATAATATTGAAAAACTTAGCAAAGTCTTGTTTACAATTAGGAAGATTCGAAGATGGTAAATAATTAATTGATGCTGCATTAACATACTTTGATTATTTAATTGAATAAAAGTTATTGAGTCAAAATGATGAAAACTACGTTGCTACTTTAATTGAACAATTTAATTACTTACACCAAACAAATGGAAATGTGGAGGACATGAAAGTCATCAAAAATAAATTAGATGATATTGCCAAAAATACTAAAGAAAATGAAAATACTCTGTATTCGTTGATTAGATATGAACTATTTCTTAATAAATACTTTGAAACTGACATTTAGAAATTAAATGATCTGATGGCAAAAATATAACAGGATGTTCCAATGCAATTAGAATTCAATTAACAACGCATCTAAGCACTACTTGCCAAAGGAGATCATAAGAATGCTTTCGAATAATGCAAAGCATAAATAAATATTCTTAAATCTTATTTTGATTCATCCCATTAATTGTATGGAGAAACTCTAGTTACATTATTAGAGTTGGCAATCAATGATTAAGACTTTTTATCAGCTAAAGATTACATAGTACAATTGTCATCATAATCCTATAATATAACCTACATTTCTGACATCGAATAAATTATCAAATTCTAAAGGTTAAGAACAGAGTTTTTGGAAAGATTTAATCAATAGTAATCAAATGAATAAGTACATTTCAATATTTATTTTTAGTTAAAAAAGATTTTAGATAAGATTGAAAGTATAGCATTTACTAAATTCTCTAATTCATATAAGAAAAGTTCAATCTTAGCTGAATTTTATAAACAAATTGGAGACAAAAATTTGCAAAAAGAAAAACTTTAAGAATGCTTAAATATTCTTTAACAAAATGTTACATTTCACAAAAGTGATTTACTTATCCAATCAATTAAAAAGTCTATCAGTGAAATATAATGATTTTAATATATTCATTATTAAATGTATTTATCAAGTTTATATAATTATCGGCGATGAAATTTAAGTGAATAGGAATATAATTATGCAATTTGAAACAGGTTAAGAAATATTGAATTAACTAAAACACTCATTTTAAGCAATTGACACACCCCTCACATCTACACTAATGTGTGCATTATAAATTATTTTGAAAGCATTCGCAGTATTTTTTTTAACATCCTGATTTTTTACAATTGCATCCTTTAAAGGCTTATTTAAATGCCCTTGGATCTCTTGCTTATATTTATAATTTTGCTTCTTTTCTTTACGAATTATTGAGAGAATTATTAAAACATCCTACACAATTGCAATTTTCTGAGCAAACCTATCCGTTAGCAAAGCAATCACAATACTACTTCAAGCATTAAGATTTCTTGCAATTACAAGTTCTGACATAGCAATGAAATTTACTTAGTGCTTGAAACAATTTTAGGGAGATTAGGAGGCGGAAGAATAATTTTAATTGGTCTGTAGATATTCTTCACCTCTAATTAGATTTGATTTTCTACAGTCTCTTCTTCCATTTCTATTTTGTTAGAGGGACATAAGATCCTAAAAGGAGGATAAATTGATACCTGAATGACGAGTCTTTGCTAACTTAAAAGGATCTCATTTAGTTTTAAAATTTGAATTATTTATAATTCGTTAAAAATTTATTCATATAAATCTGTATATGAATCTACTTATAAATATCAGAGATTGACCATTTTTAATAGAGATGCCCTTGTAGCTCAGTTGGTTAGAGCGCGAGTCTCATAATCTCGAGGTCGTGGGATCGACCCCCACCAAAGGCATATTTTTTTTTTTAATAAAACTATCTAAATAATTTAAATATATATATATAATCATTCAATAATAAATATATTGAAATGAGGCTATTCGTCCTTATTATTAATAACAGCAATCTGATTCTTGCCAACCTATATCATCTTAGGATTGGTATTATAATTATTAATAATAATTTTATGATCTCGATAGACTTCTATTTCTTAATTATTCACCCACAATCTAATAGTAGAATCACTGGCCCCTAATCCCAATAGATAATCAGAACAAATGATATCACAAATACCAAATTAAGATGTATTTAACTTTAGCTTGACCTCTCCATTCATCCAATCCACCACTGATACTTTATTAGAAGTTCCTCCAAAAATGATACTCCTTTCAGAATACTTTTTGACACACAACACAGCACCTTCAGTTTTAATGTCTCTCAAATAAGAGGCAGAAACTATTTCTTCACCCTCAAAATACAACTACCAAATAGCCAAAGTTCTATCCCATGAGCCTGTTACAACAATATCTCTTTTGACAAGTTGGAGACATGAAACCATAGCTGTATGCTTTTTCAATGCACAAAGAGATTTACCTGAAGTAACATTCCAAATGATAGCCAAATTGTCATAACTACCACTTAATATACTATGATTGTCTGATAACTCAATTAGAGATGTGATTCCAGATTAATGTCCAGTTAATTTATTAATCTACTTTCTAGTGGACAATGACCAAATAATTATAGAAGAATCAAGATTTCCACCTCCTGAAATCAATAACTTTTCTTAAAACATACAAAGGGCTGTAACCTAATCAACATGTCCTTCTAAAGTGAAACTTTATTGAGGAACCTCCAAATTATTAATTCTAATTGTCTTATCTCTACTACCAGATGCTATAGTCCTCTAATCCACCTATAATAAACTGGTAACTCCTCTCATTTATGTAGTTTCAACAGTTCTGTAAAATTTAATGCGTGATGAGCTAGAGATTCTACTTTATTGACTGGACTAGAATTTTAAGGCTTAAGAATTATTATTTTCAATTCCAGCATTGTAAACAGGAGAATTAGGTTAGACGGTTTCGAATAGTTTTGGACTATCATATTGTCTTTGGGTTTTTGTTAATTTCTGATCAGAAGTTTAATTCTTGACATCGCTTAAAACTAGAATAGAATATTGAATTAATAATACTGTTCAAAGATTCATCAGGATTTTAATATTGAGTATTTCTTGAGAGTATTAAATCTTTCAAATTGATTTATACTTTGAATTCATCCATAAGTACTTCGCATTATTATTTAATTGAGTTCATAATTTCTACAAAGTTTTGCTCCTGTTAAAACGTTGGATTTTCAGGATCAGACTATGGTGTTTCTGCCCACTATTTCTCTAATTCCTCAACAATCTCATTTTAAATTTGAAATTCTTAAAAAGTGTCAATAAATGCTAAGTTTTTGCCTAAGTCTTCAGGTGGCAGTAATTTGATCTTCAATTCTGTCACATAGGTGTTGCATTCCTTGTTTTATTTTGACAACTCTTAAAGTGTATTCTGCATTTCTTCTTTTGTTGGAAGTGGAACTAAACCATACCTATGTTGAATAGATTAAACTAAAAAGTTTAACGAATTTTAATATTGAAGAAATCGTTCATCGTAATGTTCATAAAGTTCAGCCTTCACCTTTTCTAATAGTGAAGTTAACAGATTTGTTGTATCAGCTATAATGTAATCCACCCAACATTTTCTGTTATTGATCTATGATTCATATCTATCAATGAAATCTTGCTTGGTATGCAATAACTTCAAATGACCTTCCATAGCCAATTATTAATCTTTTTTCCTCTTTTCCAAAACATTTCTGAACTCTTCATCTAGTCTAGTAGTGAAATTGTCAAAATCAATCTAAATTTGAAATTCAAAAATACCATAACATCGCGATGATTTCTAGCATGATCAGCTTCATCAATCATGCATTCCCAACACAATGTGGGATCTCTTTTGCAAGATGAACTTGCACATATTCTTTCCACATATGAACTTGGATGATACTTACAAGGAATTTTGAGCATATAAAATATAACTATAAAATATTATTTGTAAATTACCAACTAATTTAGAATATAAATAATATTATTTTGCAAATAGCATAAAAATATATGTGTGGTTTTAAATCAATCTAATTTACATATACGCCAATCCTTCTCAGAACTATCTGATTCTCTTCTTTCTAGAACATTGTATTTTACAACATCCTTCTTAGTTTCTGGATCTATAAAATTAAATTTAACAGTAATTTGATGCCATGTTTATGATGATTGCAGTGCCATCTTCTTTTATGAAAATAATCTAGCCTAAACCATTTAGGCATCAGTCATCTCTTTATATAATTTAAAAGGCAAGGGTTTATTGTCCTTTAGACTAGCTTTAACAATCTAACAATTAAATAATGCAATACATCATATAATGGAACAGACAATAATCTAATTAAATCTACTTTGCTCTTTCTATTATAGGCTTCTAAGAATTCGAAATATCTATCCTTTGCGAACAATGGAAACTAACTTCTTTTAAAATCTAAATAACTTTGAGACTCCTAATACCGATGAAACAAGATTCTGCTTAATTCAATGCTAATCTAGTTTTCAATGCATTCTTTAAGTATGGCATTAGACCTGATCCCTAAGATTCAAATAGATCAACGATCATGGGAGATGATATTTTAGATGATATTCTCTCAGCCTCCTTTACTGCCTTCTTCATATTATTTTGGATATTTATTAATATAACTAAAATCAATTGCTTATCTTCTTTTTCTCTTCTTCCAAGATCTCCAGACTTCTCTTAACTTCTCTAGGCAAATCGAGGAAACTTGTTTTCAATGCTGCAATCATTTACGATTATGGCAATACAAATGTATCTAAGAACTAGATATAAAAAATTACTTAAGAAAAATGTTTCGCTATAATAGAAGGTAATTTTATCCTATATTTCAGCATTGTTGTTACATCCAATCTTTTTGCTGCCTCTTTTAAAGTCTAAAATAAAAGATTGATATACTTAATCTTAAAATTCTTTAGTTAACAAAATGACCATTTTATATATGAATCCCACTTCAATCATGTAATTTGAAATATCACAAGCATGGACCAATCCATTTAAAATGAACTAACATAAACTATCTTTCAAATCATTGGTTGTATTGACTCTATCTTTGAAGCAACTGAAGATATTGAAATTTTATCCCATTACGGTGGTCAAAATAGAGCTCACTATAATTCTCTTAATTTCTTGTTATTAAGAATTAACCATTTAATTAAGAAAGTTTAGCTAAGGATTCTGAGCCAAAATGTTAAATAAGGTAGAAACATGCATCCTCTCAAGAACTGCTTGTTTACATATACTTTTATTTTACTTTTTTGATTTCCTAACTTTGTATAAATTATTCGCTCTCTCTTTAATACGATTAATTCATTTTTTTTACTGTGATTTACATCATTACTTAAACTTGCCATTAATGTTGTAAATCTGCCTTATTTTTGAAACAAACTATTTAAGATCAGATTTCTCATATATAGAAAATAAAGTTAAGGTAATTTTAATGATTACTTAGTAAAGTGAATGCGTGAGTAAGGTTATGATAAGAAACGATATTATAATTTAGATTAATTTTGGTCAATAGGTTCTCTAAATTATTGTAATTTCATGCTTATTCAACCTAGCATTTAACCCAGCTAAATTACTTCCAAATGATGAAATTTCATTATTGATGCTTTTAACATTTCCTTGCTTGTATAATGGTGATGATAAAAATTAACATTGATTGAATCATGTCCCATTACTTAGTTTCGATATCCTTTTACTAAAATCCAATTTCACATCATAAAACAAGCGGTAAAATGTAATATTCATAGTTTTCCAATTTTTTATTAAAGCGTTATAATCAGTTTAATTGAGTTTCAACTAATTTTCTAATCTTCTTTGAAATTTTTAAAAAACTTAAATACTTGAATTAATCATTCTTAATTATTCTTATCTAATAAAGTAAAACAACTCTCAAAAAGTTTGAAAGTATTTTGAAATTCCTTATTTGGCATCTGATAACTAGTTTTAATTTAATTTATGTGTTGTTGAATCTATTACAAACTCATTTTATATAATTTCATTTAAGAAAATAAAAATATATTTTATTGTTAATATATAAATTTAATAACATTATTAAATTCATAAATTTAATCTAATAATTAAATAATCATCAATAAATTAGTTATATGAGAAAAGAGAATTAAAGAGAGTAAAGTAAAAAATCTAAAGGTTGAAGATATAACTTGTATTTTGATATAATTATGAACAATTTGTTCTTTATATGGTTGATATTAATAAGAATAATAAGTGAATTAAAAGTCACTGATTGATATAATTATAAAAACATTGTTTATTTCTTTTTTTAAAAAATAATTATACAATTCTAATAGAATTAAGACCTTACTATAAATTAAAACACAAAAATGAATGTAATAATCTATGTCATACAGTAATTTTTAAGGCAGTTCTTAGTTTAACTCTTAAGGAACAAGATAATAGGTTGTTGAACAGTGCGTTCATTTAGATGAAGGTCTCATTGATGAGATTGCTAGCAATTTAAACTATAAGGTGTTGATAAAATTAGTTTAAGTAGAAACTCCTCTCAATATAAGATATCTTGAAAACTTTCCTATCGGACATCAGTATGCTATCTTAGTTTATTTAACTGGAGACATGAGGAAGTATTATTATTAAGGAGTTTTAAAAATTAAATAAGTATTTGAGAATACCCGATACCTTTCATATGTTGTACTTCACTTACAAACAGATGGTATTAGAGGGAGATATTTTGATAATTTTAATGAACTCGACGCTTATTATTAAGATTTGCATGATAAAAAAATAAGTGAAAATTTGCATAAGTTTAAAGTTTATGAAGGAAGTTAAGCAGAAAACAGGGATAATGCTAGATTAAAAAATAGTCTAAAAAATGTTTTGCACAAAAAATACAGTGCCTTTGGAAATGTGTTGAAACTATTTCTAGATAAATGGAATTGTAGGGATTTTATTTCTTACTTAAAGAGTAATTTAGGGAGATGAGAAACCTGTATTCAAAATTAATTTAGTAATTATATTTTATTCATTCTAAATTTTTAATGTATTTAATTTCAATCTATAAAAAGATTAACGAGCGTTAACAATTTTAGTTTTTAAATTATTCTTTGGAATTGTTTCCCAAAATAAAACTTTCGTCTTCAAAAATTTATTCAGTACCACAAATATTTGGGATTGTCCTGTAATTTTACTTTAATCTAATAACCATACACTTGACTGTTTCCCATGTGTTCTACCATATGAAATTTCCTTTCAGAATTAATTTCTTAAGAATCCGTTGTTGAAGTAACCACTATCAATCCTTAGTGATAAACACCATATATTGGACTATTCTTTATGTAAATATTAAACCAAGAGAACATTAAATATGTTTGAAAACCACTCTAATACCTGTGGAGGAAACTGACTTTAAAGCCAAACCAATCTAAAATGAAATTGATAATCAATCTGACTTCATCTTGAATACCAGGAGATGTAGTTACATAAGTTATTTATTAAAAACCATGGTATTGAGTGATTATTTGTAATTAATTTTACTTCATATATTCGTTTTTTAATAATTATTACAATAAAAATGAAAATAATCGTATTGATTGTGCTAGTGGGAGTAGCTCTAGCAAGAGACGAATATTTCTTTGCTTAATTAAGAGATTCTGAATTTGGAAAAACAATTATATAAACATTACAAGTATAATTGCTCCAAGAGCATCCTGCTGATACAGTTGTGCATCTCCTTAAATAAATGAAGGATGATCTACTCAACGAATAGAGAGCTGAAGATGAAGATGTGTAAGGGGCATTGTAAAGTTGTTAAACAGCCTCTGAAGCCGCAGCTGCAGTGATTACAGTTGCTAAGGAAAGAAAAGCAACAGCAGAAGATAGATTGCCACTTTTGCAATAAGAACAAAATGATAAGAAATAACAATTACTAGACAAGCAAGGGGAAGAATAAAGAAATTTAGATAGAATTAGTGTATTGCAAGAAGCTCGTAATGTTTAAAGAGTAATTTATATTAGTTAATAATTTAATAGGGTGAATATGAACAAAGAAGAGATGAATTAGTAGGATTGATTTCTGCATTATAAGAAGCAAAATAAATCTTATCTTAAGGAATTACAGCATTAAAGAAGAGTAGTTTTGCTGAATTGAAGAGTCATCACCAAAACTTCTTGAAATATTATCCTCACAAAAAGGGATTCCATACCATGGTCAACATGTTATTGGAAGTATTACAAGACGAAGGAACATAAGAAAGTGCAGCATAAAAAGTAGTCAAAATTATTGACACTCTTGTTGATAGCATATTCCAAGTCTAAAAAGAAGAGATGAAAGCAGATGACGGAAGAGAATTAGATTTTTAGACCTAAAAGGAAAGATTGCTTTTGGCTAATAGAAGATTGGCAGGAAGCATTGCTGATTTGAATGCTCGTTTCGAAGTATTAGGATAAAAGATCTTAGAAGTCAGAAATGACGTTTCTACTTAAGATGCTGTAATGAATATCATATAATTATAGGTTATTAATAATAAATAAACTGAAAAAGGTGATTGGGATCAAACTTGCAGTGACACTGAAAAGGCTCACAGACAATAAACTGATGCAAGGTAGCAAAATTAATTTATTTATAGAAATGGTCAACTTGAGATTATTGTTGAATGCATTGATATCTTTGAAACAAGATTTGACATGGAAACTAAAAGCTATATTCAACGCATAAGATTCTGAAAAATATTAATACCAATAAATAAAAACGGATTTTAATATATATATAAATATATGAAAATATCGATTTTATTGTCTCTCCTAGTTTTGGGATGCTTAACGATGGACTTTGACCATTAGATTGAAGAATTATAAAGCTCTAATTTTGGACAAACAATTCTTCAAACTATTATGATGGAGCTATAAACTGAAGACCCAGTTGTGTCCAATCTTATTAATATGATATAAGGAATTGAAACAACTCTTGAAAATGAATAGTAAAGAGACGATGATCGCATAGTTAGGATTAGATAAAATTGTGACATCGATATCACAACACTCAAAAATTAAATTAATCAAAATACTATTGCATCACTTGGTCTCAAGAGTCAACTTGATTCCTTGAATCCATAAAAAGTCTAAGCTGTTGCCAGCTTGGAACGTAAAAACAACGAAATTACTGAGTTAAAGGCTGAGTTGCAATATTAATCTCACAAGAGAGAAACTGAGACTGCAGCCTATGAAACTATTTTGGATAATTTAGAATAAACCTTATTCGGAGTTAATTAAGTCAAGGGATACTTCAATAGTTACTTAGACATTCTTGTGAAAAATAGAAAAAGATTTGAAAAGCCTTCATTTTTAGAAGAATCTTATAGTTTCAAATATGAAGAATCTGAACAAGAAGACACAGAATCAAGATCACTCACATCTTTGACTTAAGTTGCTTAAAAAGTCAATAAAATAAAACATCATGTATATATTAATTTCATTTATAATTTAGGTTCAATTAGAAGGATATGCTTCAATGCTTGAGATAATGAGTGAAATGGCTTCTAAAGCATCTGATGAACCAGCTTAGGCAGAAGTTTTAACAAGAAAGGTTCTTTCAATATTGAAATAAATTGAGAATTACATTTAATCTGAAAGAATCAGAGAGGATTAAGCCGAAGCTCTTAGATCCAGCAATTTCGACCTCCTTAAGACTCTTTTATCCGATCAACTCGTCTAGGCCAACTAAGACAAGACATACATGGAAGGTTTTAATAATAACTTAAATCTAGGTTTGGTTACCTCCTTATCTACAAGAATTACATAAGGAGCTAATGAGAAATTTGAAGTAGATCAAAAAGTCGCTATTAAAACAAAAGAGTTAGAAAATAGATAAACAGATTGTAGACTCAAAAACACAGAATATGAAACTGATACATAAAACAGGTATTTACAATTCAATAAATTAGAATTAAATAAAAAAGAGTAGTTGTTGTGGCAGTTGATTTAATTTCATCCAAATTGGGATAACTCAAGCGCAAACTGCTTGAAAATTGAAATATTATAAAATAGTGACATAATTAATTAAGATAAATTTTATGTTTCTTACTATGTTATCTTAAATTCATAAAATAGTTGACTAAAGCGGGAATAAAGAGATTAGAAATTAGGGATTAAATATTAATCTAGAACCTAATAATAGAGATAATGGTTATAATCATGAAATAAATGATTTTAGGATTTCTGATAATGGGGTTGAGTTATGATAGGAGAATTAAAATTAAGATGAGACCTTCTATTTTGACTGGAATCCTTTCTGTTTTGCTTGAAAATAATTATTTTATTGGCTAAGCTGACAATAATCTTTATGAACTTAACAAAAATGGTTAAAATTTAATAACTCCATTTACAATCCTTCAATCTAATTATGATAATTTAATGGTCTAAAATTAGAAAATTAATGTTTTTTGAAATTATTGGTAACTGTTGAGCGTATATTTTACTATCAAGATAAGTATTGATTCAACTCGAATAGATTTTAGAAAGAATCATTTTTAATCATACATGACTTTGAATCAATTGAGAGTTAAAAAACAACATAATCACTAGATTGTTCTATTGTAATGCTCTTAAATATCATTATCTATCATACTTTAGAAATGAATGTAGGTTTTTAAAGATAAGATGGAATTAATTTACTTAGTCCAAAATAATAAGTTAATTTTATTCTTGCCTTATTGATATCATAATTTATTACAATATAACATTAAAATAAGAGCAAAGAGATACTTAAATGATGACATGTTTAGAATCTTTAAATTTTTCAATGAAATGTAAATTATTGAATTTTTGATTTCTATTGATTCTAAGTTTCTTTTAATTTGTGCATCTTATTAAACACTATTAGGAGTTTCAATTAATGTCTTAAATTAAGAAATTTAATGTATAAATGACCTTTGTGGATTTAATGAAGATACAGTTAAAGTATAAAATGTAATTTTTTTTCTTCTCAAAAATAATATTTATTTATATAATTTAATGAGTAATGCTTTCAAATCAGCTGCCAATAATCTAACCAAAGGTGATCTTGGGTAAACAGGCTAAAGTTTCGCAGGTTCATAAAACCCTGCTTCACTAAAAGGAAAATTAATGAGCTTAGAAGTATAGAAATCACTTATATAAGGAAACAATCAAAGGGATTCAAGATGAAATGAATTTCCATAAAAAAGAGGTCTAAATATTGAAATCTGAAAAAGATACTCTTGAATCTGTCTTAAGCATGAAAACATAAGATGTGAAAAAAACACTCACAAATGAATTAATGAGGATTGAAGAGGAAATGAAAAGGTATTACTCAATCTTCATCTTAGACATTTTGCACATTAGAAGGCTGAAAATTCTAGACTTTAACAACAAATAACAGCCTTAAAAGGTGAAAAAACTGCGTTATAACAATAATTGCTCGGATTGCAGAGAAGAATAGCGGAACTTGAATTATAAGTTGGTTAAGAATAAGCATGATAATTATCATATTCATTATATAAATGGTCATATATATATCTGTAGTTTTTAGAGATTCAGTTCAGACCTACTTGAAACATCTGTATTTTTAATAACATCTTAATTTAATGGTTTTTTAATTAGTGAGGTAAAGTCAATTAATAACAGCTAGAATAAATTATCTAATCTATAATATTTCAATATAATAATATTTTTTAAATGGTTTATCAATAGAATTAATGCTTTCCTTATTTCAATTTAATGCTTAGCTTGATTAATTCTATTTTCAATACTTCCCTACTCTCCCCATTAATTGTTAAATATCAGAAGATACAAACCCTGTCTTTTTTGTTTTAATTATCTAGTTGTAAAATTAATTCTAATTATATAAAATAAATAATTAATCAATATTAAGATTGTTGAGATTTTTCCATATGCTTAATAGTTGCATTAAAATTCTTAATTGAATTACAAATTCCCACCCTATTGCTATTATCATCGTTTACTATCGATCTATCTATCCCTTCAGTCTACAATTTCACCTTTCTATTAGTGTCTCTAAATAATTGTGGAGCACAGTTTTTATGTACACTTTACTATAACTATTAATTTTGCTAATTCTACTGAGTTGTCTAAAAATACTAGGCTTATTCTTTATACTATTTTAATTCTTTCTAACAAAGACTTGAATATTTAGAATATTTACATTAATTTTTATTCCAATTTTAATTTCTCTGTAATTTAAAAGTCTAATTATTGCTAAAATATTTCTTTGTCTTTTTACTATTCCTATTCGATTAGTTACATCAATTCTTTGTCATTTTATTCACCTATGTAAAATTCAAGATCTTCCTTTAGTTGTGATATCTCTAATTCATATTATTATTTCTATTCGATGATTATTTTTTAGAATTGATTTTACAGATTTTCCATCTCAATTTAATGTTAAGCTTTTAATTCCCTTATTTAAAGCATACATTCTTTTTTTAATGACATCAATTATTATTTGCATTAACAAGATTGTTATTTATTTTTAAATAAATTCTCTTTTTCATTGTCAGAAATAAATGATGATTAATCTTCTGATTCTCTCGTTTAATCTAATTCTCTTTTACTTTACTTTTGAAACGTCTTAATCGATTGCCATATTTCTTCCTTTTTCAACATTGACTGTTATTTTTAATTTAATTAATTATGCAAACATAAAATTTCATTAAACAAACAATTTAATACATCCTTATTCTCCACTTATCATTTCAAATAAGTACTTATTGATATTTCCTTCATTAATCTACTTCCCCATAATTTCATATAATTTATAATTATCAATTTTGAGTGCACTCTCTTTATCCTTATTATATTCAGAAATAGCCTAAAATCAAAATTTATAAATACATTCTTAACAGTGATTTATTTTTTATTAAAAAGGAAAGATTAAGAGGTATTGTTAACAATAAAATGCAAAAATATCATATCCTCTATTAGAATAAAAAATAATGAAATACATTCATCTACTGGTTTGATGGAAATATGCTTCACTTCAGCAAGCAACATATCATAGCCTAACAAATCATTTTATGAATTGAATGGACATAGATTTTAGGCAATCTCATTTTTTAGAATAATGCTCATTAAATCTCCTATTGTTTTAAAACCAAAGGCAGTTTTCTGTTTAATAATCTTACCATTTATTTCATACTAGAACTCCACACCATATCTGTCTCCCTTGATTTGTACAGCCCTTTACTAAGCAACTAAAAGCTATTTTTCCATACTGCAAATTATAATTTATAAATGAAATATTATATTAATTAAGTATGAAAGATATTTATATATGATTTCTCAAGCAATATTTAAAGGAAGAGCTTTCACTTTATACCCTGAACCCTCCTTTACTCTGCCTGTTTAAGAGACTCTCTATTTATTTTAATTCTAATCTTGGTAGACATAATAAATTCCTCCTATGATCATGGTTACAAATAAACCAATGTACAATGACTTACCACTTTTTAAATCTTCAGCTTTCTACTCAATGGTCCTCCTTTTAAATTAGAAATTATAATTACTCTTTTAAATCCGATTTTCTTTCCCAATAAGATGTGGTCTCTGTGGGAACATGTAACACATACTCTGCCTTTTCCTTCTTAATGTCATAATGCTTTTTGTAAAGGTTATAAGACATGTTCCAAGGACTGTCTTCATCTACCTTGCGTTTAAAGTAGTCAGGATTTCTGAAATACTATTTCTCAAAGTAATCTGAATATTCAGCTATAATAGTTAGACTATAGTTTCAAACCTTCATTTTGTTTAATATGCTCTCTATTCACTCTTGCCCACCTTTAGTATACATCTTCTTACTCTCCAAAAGTCGGATTCCCTTAGAACTATTGTCCAATAATCCCTTGAGATGATGATATTAAAATAAGTACCATTTTCTTAATCGTAATATTTCCTTTTTTCAGGATTGGACAATGTTGAATAGGCCTATTAGATTTCTCTGAATTTCTCTGGATCTATTGAAGTCTCTGGATTTGAATCTGGATGATACTTTTTAGCCAATTCAAAGAAGGATGACTTAATATCTTCTTGGGTGGCATCAGTTGAAACATTCAATACTTTATAAAGACACTTGGCTTATGATGAGAATCTGTAGAGACTTTTAATATAAATTTTAATCATAATTTAAAATACTATCCTTAATTCCAAACTCCCTTTACTATTTATTTGCTTATTATGCATTCATAAGTCAACTATCCATGCAACTGTCCATTTGCAAATTCTCCAAACACACAAGAACCATTTATTAATTCCAAAATACCTTCCCCATGAATTTTATTGTCTTCAAATGTGCCATTATAAACCTTCCAATATTGCTTATCTGATATCTAACAGGCTGGTATAATTTTATCATAAGTTCTCCTCGTGTAGTATTCAACTCCATTTCCACTCTTTTTTCCAAGTTTCCATTCACCCTCATATAGGAGAAGTCCTTCTCTACTCAACGTTCCATTGCCATGCATAGTTCCTTTGAACCACTCTCCATTGTACATTGTTCCGTCTTCTAGATAGGTGGTTATAATTTTTTTGGCCAATTAACATGATTACTCTTGAACTGCTTTATTCCATAATTATTCAATCTCTGATCCTAGATCACTTCTGGGAGATGGGACTATCACTTTGTAAATGTCCTCTTATTTCTGTGGAGTCATCTCTCGTGAGATCTCAGGAATTTGAATTGGAACTATTTCTGATTCAGCGTCAGATTAATCTTCTTATTTGAATTTGATCAAGCTTCTTGGTTCGTTGTTTTCTTTTTCCCCAAATATTCTTGGTTTCCTTCTGTTTGGCTATTCAGTATTTGAATTGTTACTGTTAGATGAAACAATATTACCCATTTAATTAAATTATGTTAAAGTCAAAAGAAAGTAAAGAAGCTGAGATATTCGAATGTTTAAGTAGAGATGGTACATCTAATCTTAAATACTCAAGACTCTTTCACTTTTAATGATATGGAGAATTTGGGTCCATGGCATAAATATGGAGGTAGCATACATTAAGAACTTTAAAGAATATCCTCATTGAAATTGGGCAAATCAATCTCTGAACATCAAACAGATAAGATAATAGGATCCAACTTGTAAATTGCTTAAATGCAATCAGGGAGAAGGTTCTCTTAAGAAATTATAAAGTAAACTTAATTGCCACTCGATGAAAAAATCGTGAAATCTGCATCAATCCACTAAGAATCTAGAAGCAGAACACAATTATTCAAATAACTCAGATCACCCAAACCGAAAGAGAATTCTTTAATCACAACTAAACAGGAAGAAACCCAAACGAACCATATTAAATAGGAGAAAACTAATGTTGGTTTCTTTGTCCAATGTTATCCAAATAGAAACAAATTCGATAGATCAAAATTGTCTAATTTTCAATCTTCCAAAGAATACTTTGAAGTAAAATAATATTTATTATTTAAGAGAAAATAACTTTGAAAATGATGTATGGTCTTAATAGAATGTAAAATGATGAAACGACATAAAATACGAATTAAAATCAATAATTTTATAAGCAATAAGAACAGTAAGAAAGAAATTAACAAACAAGAAAGGCTCCTAAAACAGTAAGCAGAAACTATTTTTATAAAAAAGAACTCAAATTTCATAGCTCCAATGCATCTCAAATAAATCTAAACAAATCAATCAATAACTCTATCAATTCTTTATTGAATCAACCATAAAATATTCCAAAATCGAGAATCCCATTTAATAAAATTATAAATAAAAAAACTGTTATTTCTTTTGCATCCCAGAATCAACTTTTGGAAAAGCAATATTAATAATCATAAATTCAAAATAACAAGGTTTAAAGAATGGTAAGCAGTTGATTTATCATTCTATTCGATTTTTTTTGTAATTTTTATGCAGATTCCAATTTATAATTTATTTATATATCAAAATGATCTGAAATTCTTATCTATTTTAATGCATGCATCCTCTAATAATTTTAGTAATGCTTCAGTAGTTGCTTCTCTTTCCCTTCTTTCAAAATTGATATCTTATTGTAATTTGCCATGTACATCTTCAATCATTCTGAATATTTTTCCTTGAGTCTCTTCCCTTACTTTCTTTTCGACAAGTAATTAATCTGAAAACTTGTTAATCTCACTATCAATTTATTCAGATAATGACTCAGCTGATTCCTCCCTATTTTAATTTGCATGATAAAATACCTTGATCTTCTTTCTTAATCTAATTAATTTTTAACAACCTAAATTTATTAAAGAACTTCTGAAATTTTAGCCTGGCTTCTATCCTCATATTGGTGAGTGTTTCTAGTGATCGTCAAAGTTATCTAGGCAAAACGTTCATCAATTTGCTTTTATAACTTTGTTTCTCCTTGTCCTCTAATATTTCTTTCCTATTCAAAGGATAGTGCAATGTTATCTGATAATGTTCTAAAATCTTTCTCCTTCTTGTCGTCAAATGCCTAGAGAATATGGTTTCAATCAAATACTTCTCTCTCTGATTTTTGATTATGTGCTTAATCTTAGAGTTTCAAGACTGAATCCTTAATGACTTTGAATTTTTATTCGTCTTTGGGTTTTTCAGATGCAAGCACGTCTTCTATGATTTTGATTCGTTCTTCCAACACTTCCCTTTTTTCGAGCTTATCTTTATCAATTCCATTTTGAATATGATTCCATTTATCTGAGAGCAATTTAATTCTCTATCTAGATGGGGAATCGAGATCTTAACTCAAATAGTTAATGGTTGATCTCTATGGACTTGATAGTTAGGATTTATTAAGTTTGGAAGTCGTTAATTTTGATGTCGAAAGAAGCATATGATATTTTTAATTAATTTTATTTACGATTTATCAAGTATTGCATTACCCCTATAAAATGTTAATAATATATAATAATTAAATGAATCAAAGCTAAACCATTTCAACTCTAAACACATCCATTCAAAAGGCCAAATCTGATTTTCAATAGATCACAACTCAAAATCGGTATTCTTCACCTTGACCTAGATCTCTCATTTCTTAAATGAAAATTGATAATTCTGAATACACAGATTAATTAATCAATTAAAAATAAAAAAATACAGTTGTAGACACTCAAATCGCCTTGAGTGTGATTAAGGCTTAGGAAGAATGCGCTTTGATAGCTTAAAAAATCGAAATTGAAACCAAAAAGAAGGTACTACATCACTTCATTTTTTAGTAAGACTTAGAGAATTTAGTAAATGCAATGAAAACAAGTGCAAAAGACATCTCAAAAATTGAAAACACTAATTCTGGCAGCGAGTTGACTCAAGTTTAAAAAGTAAAATTACTATTTTAACTGATAGGCAGTTCGAGATGCAGAATTGAAACTGTAATAGATTCACATTAAACACAATGAGTAATTGGCAGAAGTCGAAGCAGAAAAAGAATAATTGAATCTCAGCAGAAGGGAACGAGTCATTTATTCAACAGTGTTCAAAGGAATAGAAAAAGATGCCATTTTTAAACAAAGAGAATATTAAAATTGTATTAGATAAAACGAATTACTCAAGGAAGAGGTAACTCAAACCTTTATAAATTATAGTAAAAATTTCTTTAAGACCAACTGAAGTTAATTAAGGAATTAGCTGATAAAGAACAAAATAAATTCCAGCAAGAATATGAAGCATTATTCAAACCATAAAAGGATGATTAATAAGAGCAATAAAGCATGGCATCTGATTAAAAATCTTAGGTTTAAGGACCCTACTTAACAGAATAGGGTGATTAGACAAAACCAATATTAAAAGAAAGAAGTGAATCATAATAAGAATAGAAGGATGTTGCTTAGTAAGTCCTTGAATATGAGGCTTAATTTAATAAATTGTATTTGGAAACTGGATTCAATAATGTAGATGCAATATTGAAGTAATATTACAACTAAGAAATTTGGATTGATGAAATCTATAAAGAAATCAATGAGATCAATTAGGAGGTAATATTATTGTGATTTTTATAGATTGAACAAACTGAATAAAAAAATGAGAAAATCTAGTAATACTTACAAAAGTTTAAATAAATGGCAAAAGCTCCTATCAAAGAGTAGGTTAATTTGGAAGATTCCAAGATTGAAAGAATTTCTAGAGGAATTGATTAAAATAAAAAGCAAATCTCTTAAATTTAACAACAATATATGAGGATTCAAGAATAGATAGGAGTTGAAATTATTAATGATGATGATGATGAGACAACGCTCTTACCAAAAATAGAATAATTAGAAAAAATAATAGACAATATTTTATTAGTTTCAAATTAATATATTCCTAAATAAGACCAAAAGAAACAAAAGAAAGGTACAGTTAAGTTTGATGATGATAAGAGTGAATTATCTGGTACTAAGCAGCATACAGAATTAAAATCATAAACTGAACATTAAAATGATTTAGACATTATTTTAACAGAAGGTAACTACCATTTATCATTTTTTAGTTGAGAAGAGAAAGACTTTGGCTGAATCGAGACATACAAAAGAAGAATTATCAAAAGAAAGTGCAGATTAGATGCTGTTATCTTAAAATAGAAAATAGAATTCCAAAAGATCAAAGTATTAACAATAGCAATATTGAAAATATTATTTTCATATATAAATTTCTAAAAATCATTTCTCCTCTTTTACAACACACAAACCTAATTTCTAAAATGATTGCTAGGAATACATTTAATTTTACTTAACAGATAGATGTATATGATGGTCTTTTATTGGGGTTTGATTGTTATGCAGCTTGCTTTACGCAAATTATCAATTCTTAGTATGGTTGTAAGCAATTTTTTTTCTCAATTAAAGTTTCCATAATAATTATAATTAATATTTATTTTATATACGTTTTTATTTTCAATATAGGAAATTATGAATGCATAACACACAGAGTTTATAGAAAGCTATATTGATTAAAGCAATAATTTCAGCAAAACAAAGCTCATAGATAAAACTGTATAAAATAATGGAATTCATATGAAATAATAATCCATCTTAAGATACTTAGTTTTGTTTTTGTCTATCTGGATCATTATTCCTTCGTTTTATTGCTTCGACTAGCCAGTGGCAATATATAAAACACTATAATAATTATTTCAAGAAGATTAAACCATTAATTTTGACTTGTATTTTGCATCTCTCTACATCATTTATGCTTTTGGGAATGCCTTCTTTCCTCTTTTCACTGGCGGCATGAGAGATTGTCATGGTGATAGAATAATTATGACATATATTGTAGGTGTAAATTTTATAATCTATTATAGCTATTATGATAATGGGATAACTGACCTTTACTATAGGAGTCTATTTTAAATCGTTTTTATTAATGATTTTAGGTAGGCTACTTTTAGGTTGCGGTATTGAGTCGTTGTTACCTTTGTGGTCGTCTTTTTTGGCCCCATTTTTTAAGAATAGCATTGTATGCTTCAATTATGTATATAGTCAATAGTTCTGAGTATATTGCAACTATTTTCATAAATAGGTTTAGTACTATCTATATACCTAACCCCAATTATTTAAAAACAATATAATTTGATGACATCCTTGATAAGTGGGATAGTATTCATATTATTTGGCTATATTTTATTATGTCTTGGCTTTTTAATCGACAAGAAATTAGAAAATGAAAATTACTTATCCTCTTATAGACAACTCTAACCCAGCAGCGATATCATTTTAACTGAAGACACAAAAATAATTAATAAACTCTATTTTTTTAAGTTCAAAGATTTTAAGATATTTCCCTAAATGTTTTGGCTACTTTTAGCCTTCAACTCAATGTTTTTTTGTTCAATCGTCACGCTTGTGAACGTGTCAATATATATTATGGCATCGGTTTTGTTTGATACTAATAATCAAATCGAAGAATTAGATATTGCATTATTTTGGATGTTAGGCTGCTTATCTTTATTCATCATTGGCCCTCTGGTTTAATATTTTACTTATAGAAGGTACTTAATCATTGTTTCTGTTATCATTATCATTATTGGTCACATCTAGTACTTAACCTCTCCTCACATAGGTTTGATTATTTTAGCAGTTGGTTATTGTTTATCTTTTGTTTGCACATGGAGTGCAATTATTTACATAATCAAATTGAAATCGTTTGGTAAAGCATTTGGCCTCACAGTCGGATTTTAAAATCTAATTTTTGTGTTTATGCCTTTTTTATTAGATGTTGTGAACAGAAACATTATGGGCACTTTTAAAGTATTAATATCGTTCTCATTATTTGCTTTAATTTTAGCTATTCAGATTCTAGTTGAGGATATAAGATGCTTCAAGTAAAAATTATTATGAATATTTTAGCATTTTGGATAATAAATTGGCTCCCATGCAATTTGCAAAAATAAATAATGTAAGCAATGAAGAGAATAATAATAATGATACTGATTTATTTGCAGAATACTTAGAAAAGCCCTAATGAGAAGTGAAATATTTTTATTAAAAAAGGATAATTATGATTTATATTTTTTATCAATTCCTCCAAGTATATAAATTATGTTAATTCAATAACTTTATTAGTATATATATATATTCTCAAAGATTCACTTCCTTCAAAGGTTTAACAATAAGTTGACTGGACTAGCTAACTTAACTTGATTTCGTGGTTACAATATTTTCTTTATATAATGATGACTTACGAACCTCAAAACATGTTGATTCCTAGATTATTAAAATATATCATTACTCTAACTACTGTTGGATTTCCTCTTTGCTTGAATGCATCAAACTCGGCTTGAACCATCATTAAATCTTCTTATGTTTTATGATAATCTTTATTTAAGATTATAAATTTCTTTTTCCAAGTTTCAACTTCATTTTAATAATAGGTTATTTTTTCTTCAAATTAAACTACCTCGTTTTATTGGCTTGTCTCATATTCTCTGGTTCTTTATTCAAACTCATTAATTTATTACTATTTCTTTGCTAATTCTTCGATAAGCTTATCTAATTTGAATTTAAGCTCTGACTCTGTGTCTATTCTAATTTCAAGCTCTTATTTAAGAGCCTTGTTTTCAACTAATAAATGATCAATCTTAAATTAATTTTCACCAACTTCTGATTGTTATTCCTATAATTGCTTAGTAAGGAATGAATTTTTCTTTTACAATTCTTCGCCTAATTATTGTTGATATTTTAAATCACCAGTCATTCCATCTATTTATTTTGACAAAGTCTCAATCACGTGATTTTGCTCTTCAATAAAAGACTTAAAAGAAAGATTCTCACTCTCAAATCTAAATAGCTTCTCTCTTTGTTGAGTTAAAGCTTCATTCATTTAACTTTCTAATTTCTTCTATTATTCTTCAGCCTCTAATTAATTTTCTAATATTTATTATTGTAGCTGTTTGATTTCTTTCTAGTATTCATCTAAAATTGTAGTCTATTCTTAGATTAAGTCATTCTTTTGATTGATTTAGAAGAGCATCCTTTGAATTTCTGATGATAATAAGGATAATTTCTCTTCGTATTCATATATTTTTTTCTCCAAATCTTTAATTGTTTATTGGGTAGTTTATTTGTATTAATTGAACTTATCTTGTAAATCTTTAAGTTCATTCAACTTTTCTTCATAATCCTTTTATAATCTTGATCTTATGGACTATAATTAAAGGTTATTTTAATCAAGTTATTCAATTTGAATTCTTAAATTAGAATATTCCTCTCCAGATTTATACTTTAACGAGTTTAACTCATTTTAATTCTATGTAATTTGTTGTTACAATTATTGTATAACATGATTTAATTCTATGATTGTCGATTCTAATGAATTCTTTTTTTGTTAGAGCTAATTTGTAGTAATTAAAGCATCTTCTATTTCTAATTTTAGTTTGTGGTTTTCTTCTTAAAGCTTCATATTGAATGTATTATATTCACTATTTAATTAATGGTATCCATTTTTCAAATTTGAGATTTCATTTATTTTTTCATCAACCGTACTCTACAGCATTTAGTTGATGTTACTTAATTAATTTAACTCATTTTCCATATCTTCATTACTAATTCTAAGTTAATAGTTTTCTTCTTAAAATTTTTTAGTAATCACCAATAATTCCTATTAATATTAGGATTTATCTTGTTCCAATTCATCATTCTTTGATTAAAGTTCAAAGTTAAAGTCTTACTATATAGAACTCAGTTGTTAATTAAAATCTAATTTTAATTTCTCAATCGTTTTATTTAAATCTGTAGATTATTATTTTAATTTATTAATTTATTCCTATAATCTTGTGTTTTCTTGCTTTGACATTTCTAATTCGTTCTACAAAATATTTCGATACTTTTAAAGTTCATCAGATTCTGTTTGATAATAATCAATTTACTAATTAGCTGAGTCCAACCTAAGCATGAGATTATCAATTTCCTGATATTATGCCTAAATTGTAGTTTATTGTTCTTGCGATCTCATTTCTAACAATTAGATACTACCTCTTAATTACTATAGTTGTTATTCTTTTTGTTCTAAAATAAAATTATATTATTCTATGGCTTATTTGTCTTGATTCAAAATGAACATATTTCTTTCTTACTATTATATAGTATCCAATTATCTGTCCAACTCTGATCTCATAAGAAAAACCTGATTGCAGGCTTCTTAATATTGTTTTTTCAATTTAGATGCATTAATTTCTAAATTTTCAATAACATCTTCCTTGTTGAATAATTCAGAGTCTAATTAATTAATTTTATGGGTCAGTTGTTCTACAACTACATTTTTTTCAAGAATAACCGTATTTAATCTTTCCATTTCAGTTGTAAGCAAGGCAATTTAATTTTCTAGGTTCTCATTACTTGATTATTTTTTCAATTATTGAGTTAAATATTTTACTTAATCATCAGAATGTTAGAATTAAGTTTTATATTAAGTTATCTCTTAAGTAAGATATTGAATTTCAGATTTGTGATTAATTTATGATTCCTCATATAATTTTTTAATGTTATCTATTTCACAAGAATAATTATTAGTATGCTCACTTTAACAAATAGAAATCTATTCTATTTCTTATTGAAGTTCTAGAACTCTTTAATGCAACTACTGGTTCTCTTAAGTTAATTATTCGATATGTTATTCATGTCCTTGACACCTCTTGTCTGTGCATAGCCTTACTGTTCTAGTCTCAATGACTGGTCTATAGGTAGTGGTTGTAGTTATAGTAGTTTTTGGCCTTGTCGAGTAAGTAGTTATTTTAGTTACTCTACTATTCACTTATGAATCAGCTCTTTGATCTCTTATATTTGAGTGAGGGGAGCTTACTAATCTAGTAGTTGTAATTGCTGATGGAGGGATGAATTTCTATGTGGGTGATTGTGCTCTCATTTTTTCTTAATGTCGTTAAAATTAAAAAAATATAATAGTTTATAATTTATTGAACCAGACTGAAATATCTTGAAAATCTTCATAATGTTGTTTAATGCAAAATATATTGAGATATTTCAATCATTTATAATATTGTAGGTAGATTCTATTCTTTTTAATGTTATAAAATTTAAAAATCAATGGATTTTATAGAAAAAATATCTAAATATCTCAATTAACATACAATCTTTGGTTCATAAAATATCAATCATATTTATTATAAATTCCGTCCAATAGAAGAATGAGAGAAAATTGTTTTAGTAGGTTGTAATAATAAATTCTGTTTGGTCTTCAAATTTTAATATAAATAATAAATTAGGCTAACCTTTTCTTTTATTTATTTATAAGATTACTTTTAGAATTCCTTCATAACTAGTAATAAATGGACTTTATTTCGTTTTAGACTAAACCTAGTTCAGTATTTTATATATGTATTTGTGGAAAATACGGCTAGTATATGTTTAAACATCAAAATATTCCAAAATGGAGAGTTTTCTTATTTTTATAATTTTTATGGATATTAGTTTAAAAAGTAATAATATTTAAATGAATTTAGGATTATTTTTAAATCATAATAGATTAAATATAATAACATAGAGTGGATGAGCAATGATATTTTTTTCACAACTAAATTAATGTAGTCAAAATTAAGAAAAAATTAATAATACACAATTTTATGTTTATTTAATTGAATGTGAGAAGCAAAAAATTTGATTTATGATTAATAAAACTTTATGTTTCAATTATTTAATGAATTCGTGTAGAAAATTCTTCAATTTTTTTCTTATGGAGTTATTCAAATCATCTTGTAATGCCTTCTAAAAATGGAGGATTATTCTAAAGATTTCCATGAAGATAGATGGGTTTCTTTGATAATTTTAAATAGATTGTCTAATAATCTGTTTAGTAAGTAAGAATGGAGATTAATGTGATTTTCACACCTGACTACATTCTATAAAACCTTCACTTCATTATATCCTTGAAATATTCAAACTGGACTTCTTAATCTGAATCTGTTGTATTGAGCAATATCTATATTAAATAATTAATAAAATAATTGATTAGAATAAAACTAAAGAAATAGATAACAATAATAAACAAAATAACAAAATTAGTTATTCAAAATTCAAATTTTAAATTCTTTAGTAAGTAGTACAAATGTTAGTACTTTTATTTAAGTGATTAATGGTACAGTAGATGATAACTTAAAGTTTAATTATTGTAGGTGTCTAATAAGTTATCCTTATGTTGAATTTATTTTTATTTTTATTCTGCTCACAGCTTCATTTTTGATGATATATTAAATAAATTCTGTAACAAGATTTAAAAAGTTCCCATTTTTTCTGTGCCACTTAGCTACATACATTTTGTTGATTATGCTTTCTTTTTCTTGCAATTCTCCTAAAACAGTGTATAAGCAAAAACCCATATGACATTTATGAAATTTATTTTACACTTGATAAATTGTAATCAAAGTTTTCCCTTACTTAGACATTTCAACATAGAGTTCCTATTCATCAAACAGTTTGATCGCAACCTAGCCAATTGTACGAGAATTTTGTTTAAACTTTTGTTCTTCTGTCAACTCTCCTATTTAACGTTTAAGATTTTCAATAATAGCCGAGCCTCTGCTATTATAACTATCAAGAAAACGGGATGATTGCTTTATATGAGATTCTGAAAGTGGTTGTATATTTCTTACACCTGTCCAACTTTAACTTGATCCTGTAACTTTCCACCAATCTAGTGTGTGTTATTTATTCTTTTATGTAATATTAGTATCTTCTTCTGCTTATTTAAGTGAATTTAAGATGGAGTGAAATGAGTCAAATAGATAGTATACATCAGTTTCTTGATTTATCATATCTATAAATGCAGGGATAATCGTAGGTGCAATATCCTTTCCAATCTACGCAATTTGAAATTTATTAGGCACTTATTTAGGCTATGAAGAGTACTATAATTGTAGTGGCTATGATTAATGGACTTACAATTTATTCTTACGAACAGAATCATACCTTTTTTATTACATTATTTATATAAATGATTAAACTCATTTTATTTAATTAAATGAATTTCATTCTCTTTTTTATGTTTATAAGAATATGGCAAGCTTAAAATAGAGAATGAATTGGCTTTAGAAAGAAAATGGCTGTTAAAATTAGTAAACAGCCACCTCTGTTAATTATAAGATATAAAACAAAATTAGGAAAGTTTTGTAATGAATTATACGATAAGAAAAGAAAAAAATGGTTTCTGAAAATAAGGTTTAAACATTGGAAATTGAAATCAAGATTAAATACATAATATTTAATAGAATAAAGAGCAATCCCGACAAAACTAATGTTATTTTTTAATAGTTTTACATGAATCTACTTTAATTTAATAATTAAGAACTTGTTAATCCTATTTTAAAATTAATCAAATAAATCTCTTAAGCCATTTATGAAAAAGAATCAAGAAACGCTATTGTCTATATTAACAGCTAATTTCCAATTCAACAATATGAAATGAAGCTTTAGCAGTAGGTTAAGGTTGCGAAAATCTTATCTCTTAAATAAGTCATGACATTTATTATAAAATAGTGTTTCAATAATTTACAGAACAAAACTTAGGCTGGAAAACTATTAAATCGCTTAACATAATATGATTTTAGCTAACAAAATAAATAATTTAAGAATTATTTAAAAATTTCAAGAAAAACTTTCTAAAACTCAGTAAATTAACTCAAATTTATAAATTTGATTCGTGGTGTTGCTATAAAAAATATAGTGATTTGATTTAGCTGCAAGGGGGGTAAAGCATAATTATGATTGAATAATGATAAACAACCAAGATTAAATTTATCTTTTATGATCAATCATGTTGTGTAATTTTTCAATGGAAAAAGAAAAATGATTTGACACATAAAATATAGTTAAATATTAAAAGTTTCAGCAAGAAAGTAAAATTAAATTAGCCAATTATTTGAAAATCGTATGAAAAAAATTCCAAAATTGATTTGTTATGCCAATTAAATTCTTATCTATTTTCAAATTCAAAACATAATTTCCTAATTAAAAAAATAATGAGTAACGAGAATATGCAATATAATTCCACAAGCTAATAATTTACCAATTTATATTTTAACAATAATTTAGCCTAATTTCAATAATTTAACTAATATAAAATCCATCAAGAGAATTTTAAATTACATAAAAAATATTTCTTCTTATCCTTCGTATATCATGATAGCAAAGAATTAAATGTTTATATCTATGAAGTAATAAATAAGAGCAGAATTTAATTTATGAAAATGCAGTGTTGCTATTAGAATTATTAAGGTTAAAAATTTAAGGAATTAATATCAAGTGATATCAAACTTTATAATATAGATATCTCATTCAAGCATTTAAAGCTAGAGTGCGTTCGATAAATTCTCTTCTTGTAATTAAATATTAAAAACTCAATAATATTTGAGGATTTAATAGATTTGAAACCTTCCTTGTGGAAATAACAAGTTATTACTTAATACAGAGATCAAAAATAGAAAAAATGCATATTAATTCTAAAAATATTAATCCCAATGTGCTCTGGAAATATGAAACAATTTAAACATTCAAATCCTTAGATGTAACTCTAGTCCATGGTTATTGGATTGTTTAGGCTTATTAAGAGAGGGCCAAATATTAGAGAAAGTTAGTTTAAAAGTTCATTAATAATTATAATTACTATTATGATGAAGTTCACAAATTTCTGTTTCATAATTTTTAAAAGCCTTGATTCCATTTCGATTAGATTTGGACTGCTAGAGAAGGTTATATTAATGATAAACACAATTTCAAGTCTAACTTAAAATAATACTTAAGTTCTGAACAACTTCATAAAATTTTATTGAAAGACTGCTTTAATTTTATGATGGCACTTTAGGAAGGTAAAATTATTTCTAAAATAATAAATTGCATCCTGTAAATTTACCTAAATGGGAAGCACTTGAATTTTGTCCTTCATAATGCGGCTTTTCTGGCGAAGATTTTAACATCTCCTTTACTGAATTGAAATTGGATATAGATGTTATAATCTCTAAAGAAATTTTGGGAGAAGTTGTGAATAAACATTATCATAAAATTAATTTTGATAAATAATACAAACATGATTTCTAAATGGATAAACATTTAAAAGTAATCTATGCAGAATATATGTACTAATTTTGAAAAAATTCAAATAAATTTGTTTAAGGTTTTCAAATAAAGTACAGACAACAAGCTAAACAATCAGAAAGAAAGAAAGAACTTACCAGAACTGCTAGGGTTGAAGTTAAATTATATAACATTTTTCTTTCATATTATGTTGATCAACTCTCTTCAAGATTTCACATGCTTGATCAAGTAAATTTTTAATAAATACGGTTAAGTTTAATAGAATCTTTATAAACAATTAAATTTGAAAATATATTTGATATAAAAATCCAATTTTTTGTTATTAATCCATAATTAATTGTTTTAATTTTAAGATCTCCTGTGTCTTTCATTTAAAGGTTTATAACTCTCAATAAATCTGTTTAACATTAATTGAAAAATACTTTAATAGCATCTCACAACTTTTTCTCAATTTGTGAATTAATTTATTTTAACTCTAAAAATTTATGTGTCTAAATTAATGGAATTGGCCAAAAATGAAGAAAAAATCAATTTTTAAATGTAAAATATTGTCAACATTATGTCCCAAATTGATAAATATTATGAAAATTGAATTATTTGGATTCAAAATTTGTACTAAATGAAATCTCAAAAGAATATTTGGAATGCCATTATGTTGAAACAAAAAAATATTTTTAAGGCCCATATTATGACAATTAATATGATAATTTGTTATTTCAGATTTTCATATTAAAGATGTAAATCGAGTTGATCATTTACACATATAATAAATAAATTTAATGAAAAATGAAGATATTTTAATTAAGCCCTTTAGAAAAACATTGGAACTCTATTTGATTACTTTATCTATTTGCTGAAATTAAAGTTTCTATAAAACGAAAAAATTTTTCACCTTAATTATTTTTATGATTAATATTATTTTAACTCACTAATTTTCTTAGATTATAGAGTTAGATGAATTTTACAAAGATGGTATTAATTTTTAAAATTCTTCTTAATCAGTCAAATTTTATTCTATATAAAATGAGATCTCAGCAACCTTTGACATACTGAAAAATTATTGAATTAATTATCTTTATTCTAAAAAAGGACTTATATTGGAGTAAATTTGATATGAATTTAATTATATTAATAACTAAATATTTTTTAAAATAAATTCTAAGATGAATCTATAATAAATTGGATGATGAATCTTAGAGAGTTAAATGTAATAACATTGTTTGTTAAGACTAATATTTAATTATTATTTTTTATAATTACCCAAAAAATTACTATTAAAATAAAATCTTCTTAAATGTGTAAAATTATTAATTGTATTTAAGCAATATTGAAAACAGAATAAATTAAATTGTTTTGTTATTCTATCAAAAAATTTATAGATATCAGCTCAATAAAATTTATCACCCAGCTTCTCATTCTTGAAACAATCGAATGCCATCCAATTTCCAACTTTTTTGCCATTATTATAATAGCCATTTAAAGTAACCAACCCATTTAAACCAAAACCGTCTATCAACTCAATCCAATTACCTATCTTAAGGTTATCATCATATGATCCACCGCCGCTAAAACTATCTGCCTGATTCATTACATCTCTTTAAATTAATTTTCAAACATTTTGGTATATAAAATATTCCATCTTCCAATTTTTTTACTATTCTTATATTCTCCCTTATAAATAACTTACTATAGCGATGAAAATCCTTTACTTAATTCAACCCATTCACCAATTTTATTACCATCGCCATTTTCTTCATAATTTCCTCCTCCACTAAAATATCAATATTCCCAATAGTTTACATTTATTTTCCGCAAACAGATATATCCCATTTACCTACTTTGCTACCTTTGTTATATTAACCATTATATAAAACTTTCAAGGAATTCTAAAATTCATCACTCAACTCAATCCACTCTCCAACCTTCGCGCAATCGCTTTATTCATCATATGTTCCACCACCACTTAATATTTATCACTTATAATATTCTACATTAATTAACTTAAAGAGGCTATGTCCCATCTACCAATTTTTCGACCATTTTTATAGTGACCAACATGAAAAATCTAAAAACAATTCTAAAATCGATGATTCAACTCAACCCATTTTCCAATCTTAATCCCTTCTTTATCATATGATCCATAACCTCTAATAATTGTATATGCAGATATTACATTTATTTTTATGCACCTTCAAAATTCAAGAAGATTTCCCATTTCCCAACTTTTTTATTATTTTTATATTCACCCTCGTAAAAGACTTAGGATTATTCCCAAAACCCATCATTCAATTCAATCCATTGGCCAATCTTCGTTTCCTTTTCTTTTTCATCATAAGAACCTCCACCACTAAAACATTAATTCTTCTTGTAATTTACATTTCTAATCCATCTCTTATTGTCGACCATCTACCAACTTTTTTCCCATTTTCGTATTCCCCATTATATGTAACCACACAATTTAATCCAAATCCCTCATTCACCTCAATCCATTTTCCAATCTTAATCCCATAGCCTCTTTCATCAAATAATCCTCCCCCTCTATTCAATTATATGTTTAATTATTACATTAAAGTGAAATTTTCATTAGTTATCATCCTATATAGAATATCCCATCTACCAGTTTTTTTACCTTTTAGATATTCTCCTTGATAAATTATTTAAGAAAGATATTAAAAATCTTCACTCAACTCAATCCACTTCCCCATTTTCATCCCATTGTTTCCTTAATCATATGATCCTCCACCACTAATTCAAATTATCTAATATTTACATCTCTTTATTCTCGTTAGCCATATTCCACCAAGTACTCCATTTACCAACTTTTTATCCATTTTTATAATCACCAAAATAGTAGATTTATGAGTATTCCAAAAATTTAGTATTTAATTCAATCCAAGTACCATTCTTTATCTCAATTCCTTCTTCATCATAGGAGCCGCCCCCGCTAAGCCAAAAAATGAATTTAATAACATTACATTTATATTCCAAAAGCTACAGTATTCCATCTACCAACTTTTTTATCATTTTTATATTCTCCATTATAAGTAACTTACGACTTATTACTAAATTCCTCGCTTAGTTCTATCCATTATCCATTCTTCTGTCCTGACTATATGTATTCTCCACCTCCACTATTTAATAACCATTATGTTATACATTTCTTAATTATTATAAATATACTTCCATATTCCACTCCTAAATTCATTTACATATTCTCCAACTTCATATACTTTCGAATTACTATTGCATACATATTAAAATAATACTCATAATAGTTTTTTATCATTTCTTTCCACTTACCTCTTTTATTGCCATCTAATGTGTANTTATCACTTATAATATTCTACATTAATTAACTTAAAGAGGCTATGTCCCATCTACCAATTTTTCGACCATTTTTATAGTGACCAACATGAAAAATCTAAAAACAATTCTAAAATCGATGATTCAACTCAACCCATTTTCCAATCTTAATCCCTTCTTTATCATATGATCCATAACCTCTAATAATTGTATATGCAGATATTACATTTATTTTTATGCACCTTCAAAATTCAAGAAGATTTCCCATTTCCCAACTTTTTTATTATTTTTATATTCACCCTCGTAAAAGACTTAGGATTATTCCCAAAACCCATCATTCAATTCAATCCATTGGCCAATCTTCGTTTCCTTTTCTTTTTCATCATAAGAACCTCCACCACTAAAACATTAATTCTTCTTGTAATTTACATTTCTAATCCATCTCTTATTGTCGACCATCTACCAACTTTTTTCCCATTTTCGTATTCCCCATTATATGTAACCACACAATTTAATCCAAATCCCTCATTCACCTCAATCCATTTTCCAATCTTAATCCCATAGCCTCTTTCATCAAATAATCCTCCCCCTCTATTCAATTATATGTTTAATTATTACATTAAAGTGAAATTTTCATTAGTTATCATCCTATATAGAATATCCCATCTACCAGTTTTTTTACCTTTTAGATATTCTCCTTGATAAATTATTTAAGAAAGATATTAAAAATCTTCACTCAACTCAATCCACTTCCCCATTTTCATCCCATTGTTTCCTTAATCATATGATCCTCCACCACTAATTCAAATTATCTAATATTTACATCTCTTTATTCTCGTTAGCCATATTCCACCAAGTACTCCATTTACCAACTTTTTATCCATTTTTATAATCACCAAAATAGTAGATTTATGAGTATTCCAAAAATTTAGTATTTAATTCAATCCAAGTACCATTCTTTATCTCAATTCCTTCTTCATCATAGGAGCCGCCCCCGCTAAGCCAAAAAATGAATTTAATAACATTACATTTATATTCCAAAAGCTACAGTATTCCATCTACCAACTTTTTTATCATTTTTATATTCTCCATTATAAGTAACTTACGACTTATTACTAAATTCCTCGCTTAGTTCTATCCATTATCCATTCTTCTGTCCTGACTATATGTATTCTCCACCTCCACTATTTAATAACCATTATGTTATACATTTCTTAATTATTATAAATATACTTCCATATTCCACTCCTAAATTCATTTACATATTCTCCAACTTCATATACTTTCGAATTACTATTGCATACATATTAAAATAATACTCATAATAGTTTTTTATCATTTCTTTCCACTTACCTCTTTTATTGCCATCTAATGTGTACTCACCCCCACAACCTTCAGAACTTTCACCCTTCCACTGAGATGACCAAAATCCAATTTTTTTCATATTCTTCCCTACTTCGCCTATCCATTTAAGATTTTTGATTTATTCAAGATTTTTAAGTATTTATGGCTATTACAGTATATCATATTGATTAAAACTTTATAATAATTAATTATACATCCAAAGGGTTTCACCTTAATAAATATATTTAATTTATCTTTAGGCAGAGTAATGAATATCGAAATTTGTTTTTATTAAAATCTCACCTTGCTATTTCAACCCTTCTTATTTTTTAATTTGTTCTACCTACAATATATCTGAAAACAATGAATTAATCATACGAATAAACTTTTCGATTTCAAATTTTAAAGCTGATTTTAGTTATTCAAATAGATTATAATAATATTATTTTGAAAAGCGCCATTTATCTAACCCATTTCTCTCTAAAATTTTCACCATAAGATCAAGATCAGAATAAGATGATTCTGAAAGTGAAAATTAGGTATTTATTAAGTTGAGGTAAACTTATGCTTGCTTTTTAATCGCTTCATTTATCCCTTAAATGGATTAATTTACATCATGAAAAACTTTCTTTAAGTTGGTTTAAGTGTTTGCAAATAAAATTTTAAATTCTCGATGTTGTTTTACTTATTCTTGATCATTGTCTAGGTTATATGCTTAAGACTTCTTCTTAAGTTTTTTTGAAAACAATTCTATTGGAAGGTATTAATTTATTTCTCCGCCATGTTCATATTAACATTCTGGACAATATTTTCTTTAACAATTATGGTTCGCAATGCAGATTGTAGATATTTCATTTGAAGGATGATATGGGCAATTCATAATTATTTAATTTATCAAATTCTATTACTAATTAATCTTGATTGAGAAGAATTGCATTGTATTTAACTTTTATGGAAAACTTTAGTTTACTAATACTACTCAAAAGTTTGGTTCAAAAAATAAGTAAGTTGATTTGGTCTCAACACTAAGTAGAGAATAAAATCTAGGTGTAATTTAGTTAGAGATTAAAATCGAATATAAGTCTGTTCACATTTAATGAACCAAAAACAAGTATTTCCAAAAGGAAAATCTCAATTTTATAGATTAACTTAAAGAAAAAATAACATTGTTCCTTTTCAATCTCTTAAAAAAAATAAAAAGATAATTCAACTTTAACATAGTTTTTATGCACTCTGATATTTATTTAATAATAGAATTGAAATTATTAGAAATTTTAATAGATTTATTTAAAGAATCAAAGAACCTATTGTTAGGCTAACTCAATTGATTAAAAATAATTTAATTATTGTTTTAGGAAGTTACCATATATAGATATAAAAATTGTTTATGTTTTGGAAAATATAAACATCCAATTCAATGTATACAATTCTCTAAATAAGAAACAATTTTAGGCGTTTTCTATGTTTCTGTTTCAAAATATTCTTTATTTTTAAAATAAAAAAATAAAACACTAAAAATAATTTATTTGCTTAGAATCACTTATATCATTTCCTTCGCCATTATATCTAATTCAGTTTGTTTGATATCCTTTTGAATCTGATGGTAAAATTTTAATAAAGGACTAAATTGAATTGCATTTCTATTGAGTGTTGAGAGACGCGCAAATATCAGCTTAACTTCTTACTAGGGATCGACTAGTTATATAGCCAAAATAGCCTCAAATTACATTAAACTGTTACTTTAGAGCATAGATTCCTCCATTGATATACAATATTATAGGAACGAAAATTGACAATTCTACTACTTTATAATTCTTACTATAATGAAATTTAATTTGTAAAGCCCACATTTCACCTTCTTATTCAGTAAAATATTATTGACTTGCTAATGTTTTCAATACTATAAGTTTATCATTAAGTGTTTTGGAACCACAAAGTTCTGGCAAATCAACAATTTTAAACAAAATATTTGGATGCCATTTTTGGACAAGTGTTGGTAGATCTTTTAAAAAGTTGATTACTTTATTTGTCTCTAGTTATTTTGTAACAAAAGATAAGTCATGCCATTCTTTAATGAAGAATCTCTTTAAGTAGTTCCAAAGATAAAAATCAAATTTATAATCTCTCGCACATAACTTGCAACTAAGATTAACATCCTGCGTAAGAGAATATAATTTAGAATTTTATTCTGTTTCACATTCATTAAGTCTTCTATGATTCATTAACCAAGTGATATTATAATATTTTACACAAATTTAGCAGTTTCTTTTACATAATCTTTCAGAATTACATTCAAATTCAATCTAAACTACTCATAAAGCCCAAATTCACTTTGAATGCAGAGGAGCAAAATTTTAAAATGATAATAACCCTAAAGATAAGGAACCTGCATTAGGATATAATAAAGTAAGCAGCATTAAAAAAATTTGCTTTACTATTTCAGTTGCTATAATATTATCTTTCATCAAATAATATTCAAGAATGTTCAATTTATATTTTTTAAAATACTCGTATTCATCTAAACATCTTTTTATTTACCATTTTATTATTTTATTTCCCAAAGATAATGCTGACACAAGACCGGAAATATCAAATGAATTAACTTAGTAAAAATTTATGTGTTACACAAAATTTCAAGTTTCAGCAACCACAATTAGGGTAAGCAAACCTTTAAAAACCCCCTCTAAATATAATTGATAATTTGGATTTATAAAAAGTTAAATAATTGTTTTGAATGTGAAATTTCCAAAACTAATTATTTAAGTTGATTTAATATAAAAGAAACAAAAGTAAACAAGGCTAAATATGAGTGGCATTGCTATATCAAAGAATTTAAAAAGAGAATAAGAAAGTTTCATAATTGGCACTCTATTGAAACTAGAATACATAACAGACATAGTAAAATTTCTAAATAAAGTCAATTTACAGTATTTGCCAACAGGTAGGAAAATAACAACAGTTTGAATGATTAAATATAATATGATATTCATTGTAAAGTGCATAACTAATTGAATTTATTTTCGATAGTTTCTGGAGTTGTAGGCGTTTTAAGTAATGTGTGAGCTATAAACTGATAAAGATATTATTATACCTTTAACATTTTAATCTAAACTTAACTAAATTCCTAAGTCATAATTTTCGAAAGCATCTTCAAATCTATTCATTTTCTCAAAGAGTATTTAATACAAATGATAAAATGATGTAATAGCTACGAAATCGTCAATAGTTAATTGTACCTTTGCCATAATAAAAGTCAGAATTTTCTGGGTTTTTCTAAATTGCTGAATCATAAATTTCCAAAGCTTCCTCAAATCTATTCATTTTATATAATGTAATAGATATGAAATCGTCAATAGATAATTGTACCTTTGCCATAATAAAAGTCAGAATTTTCTGATTTTTTCTAAANTAAAGGACTAAATTGAATTGCATTTCTATTGAGTGTTGAGAGACGCGCAAATATCAGCTTAACTTCTTACTAGGGATCGACTAGTTATATAGCCAAAATAGCCTCAAATTACATTAAACTGTTACTTTAGAGCATAGATTCCTCCATTGATATACAATATTATAGGAACGAAAATTGACAATTCTACTACTTTATAATTCTTACTATAATGAAATTTAATTTGTAAAGCCCACATTTCACCTTCTTATTCAGTAAAATATTATTGACTTGCTAATGTTTTCAATACTATAAGTTTATCATTAAGTGTTTTGGAACCACAAAGTTCTGGCAAATCAACAATTTTAAACAAAATATTTGGATGCCATTTTTGGACAAGTGTTGGTAGATCTTTTAAAAAGTTGATTACTTTATTTGTCTCTAGTTATTTTGTAACAAAAGATAAGTCATGCCATTCTTTAATGAAGAATCTCTTTAAGTAGTTCCAAAGATAAAAATCAAATTTATAATCTCTCGCACATAACTTGCAACTAAGATTAACATCCTGCGTAAGAGAATATAATTTAGAATTTTATTCTGTTTCACATTCATTAAGTCTTCTATGATTCATTAACCAAGTGATATTATAATATTTTACACAAATTTAGCAGTTTCTTTTACATAATCTTTCAGAATTACATTCAAATTCAATCTAAACTACTCATAAAGCCCAAATTCACTTTGAATGCAGAGGAGCAAAATTTTAAAATGATAATAACCCTAAAGATAAGGAACCTGCATTAGGATATAATAAAGTAAGCAGCATTAAAAAAATTTGCTTTACTATTTCAGTTGCTATAATATTATCTTTCATCAAATAATATTCAAGAATGTTCAATTTATATTTTTTAAAATACTCGTATTCATCTAAACATCTTTTTATTTACCATTTTATTATTTTATTTCCCAAAGATAATGCTGACACAAGACCGGAAATATCAAATGAATTAACTTAGTAAAAATTTATGTGTTACACAAAATTTCAAGTTTCAGCAACCACAATTAGGGTAAGCAAACCTTTAAAAACCCCCTCTAAATATAATTGATAATTTGGATTTATAAAAAGTTAAATAATTGTTTTGAATGTGAAATTTCCAAAACTAATTATTTAAGTTGATTTAATATAAAAGAAACAAAAGTAAACAAGGCTAAATATGAGTGGCATTGCTATATCAAAGAATTTAAAAAGAGAATAAGAAAGTTTCATAATTGGCACTCTATTGAAACTAGAATACATAACAGACATAGTAAAATTTCTAAATAAAGTCAATTTACAGTATTTGCCAACAGGTAGGAAAATAACAACAGTTTGAATGATTAAATATAATATGATATTCATTGTAAAGTGCATAACTAATTGAATTTATTTTCGATAGTTTCTGGAGTTGTAGGCGTTTTAAGTAATGTGTGAGCTATAAACTGATAAAGATATTATTATACCTTTAACATTTTAATCTAAACTTAACTAAATTCCTAAGTCATAATTTTCGAAAGCATCTTCAAATCTATTCATTTTCTCAAAGAGTATTTAATACAAATGATAAAATGATGTAATAGCTACGAAATCGTCAATAGTTAATTGTACCTTTGCCATAATAAAAGTCAGAATTTTCTGGGTTTTTCTAAATTGCTGAATCATAAATTTCCAAAGCTTCCTCAAATCTATTCATTTTATATAATGTAATAGATATGAAATCGTCAATAGATAATTGTACCTTTGCCATAATAAAAGTCAGAATTTTCTGATTTTTTCTAAATTGCTGAATCATAATTTTCCAAAGCTTCTTCAAATCTGTTCATTTTATCTAATGTAGTAGCTAAAATATCATCCATTTTGAATTATACCTTTATTAGAATAATACTTTGAATCTTCCGGATATTTTTATATTGCTGAATCATCATTATCCAAAGCTTCTTCAAATCTGTTCATTTTATCTAGAAAGAATGCTAAAATATCATTTGTTATGAATTATACATTGATTCAAATATTATTTTGATTATTCTAAATTTATCTGCTAAATCTTTATTTTCTAAAGTATCTTCTAATTACACAATTTTGCTAAAAATTAATTTATTAGCTTGTTTATAGCTCAACGATATTTCTGAATGAAAAGAATAATATTTTGAATCAATTAAATTATTATGTAGAGCTGAATCGTAATTATTCGATGCAAATAGTTTTTTCTTTGAATGTGACTTTGTCATTTATTATTTCTTCATTATTTTACGTTTTATAATTGTTTCTATTTCTTTCTCTTATTTAAATAATTTTTCTTCTTTTGGTAGAATCCTTTAAAAATTTTTGACATTTTTATAAAAACCTGTTTTTTTGAAAATGTCTTCCATCTCCATGATGAACATTTAATTCAATGAGCTAAGATGTTTTAAAATTGACAAAAATGATATTTTAGAGACATCTTATCTAAACCTAATAATTTTTTTATTAATCCTCACTAAAATCCATAATTTATTTTATTTAACTTCAAATAAATATAAAATCGTCAACTTATTCAACTTGCAATTTCTATTTTTAAATTTTCTAAAGTTAAGATTGTTGTAAATATTTGAAGTACTAAAAAGTGAGAAATTGGTTAAGGCGGGACATATGACTGACCATAAGATGCCACACGAAGGCAAAAGGGTTTGGTTAAAACGATCCCTATTAGTAATGTATTTAACTTGCGAGATTATTATAGTCAGGGTCAACGCACATATTGATTTTTTTATTAATATTAGTTTTATACTTAATAAACTTTGTAAAGTATGCCTACTTTAATTAAAAACTCTTAAGATTTACTTATTTCTATGTTTTATCACTGAAATTTCCACAATTATTTTAAATTACCTTTTGTGTTTTTAAAGTTTTAATTTTAAACATTATTTAAGGGGTTAAATTTAAACTTATTATTTATA